AGGTTTTATACATGACTATGAAAAGAAACAATAAGTGAAACGGTCTGAATCCAAGGGAGGAACATCAAATGGACCAAATTTAGGAACCAGAAGAGGTAAGGAGTCCGAAATGTAGCTTTGCGCCTCCAAATGGGGGGAACTTACTTTTAGTGTATATGATGAACGAGACGGACCCATACTTACCCAAACATGGATTAATAGGTTGTATACATGACTATGAGGAGAAACATGAGTTGAAACGGTCTCAATCCAAGGGAGGAACATCAAATGGACAAATTTGGGAACCGGAAGAGGTAAGGAGTCCGAAATGTAGCTTTGTGCCTCCAAATGGTGGGAACTTACTTTTAGTGTATATGATGAACGAGACGGACCCATACTTACCCAAACATGGATTAATAGGTTCTATACATGACTATGAGGAGAAACATGAGTGAAACGGTCTCAATCCAAGGGAGGAACATCAAATGGACCAAATTTGGGAACCGGAAGAGGTAAGGAGTCCGAAATGTAGCTTTGTGCCTCCAAATGTGGGAACTTACTTTTAGTGTATATGATAAACGAGACGGACCCATACTTACCCAAACATGGATTAATAGGTTCTATACATGACTATGAGGAGAAACATGAGTGAAACGGTCTCAATCCAAGGGAGAACATCAAATGGACAAATTTGGGAACCGGAAGAGGTAAGGAGTCTGAAATGTAGCTTTGTGCCTCCAAATGGTGGGAACTTACTTTTAGTGTATATGAACGAGCGGACCCATACTTACCCAAACATGGATTAATAGGTTCTATACATGACTATGAGGAGAAACATGAGTGAAACGGTCTCAATCCAAGGGAGGAACATCAAATGGACCAAATTTGGGAACCGGAAGAGGTAAGGAGTCCGAAATGTAGCTTTGTGCCTCCAAATGGTGGGAACTTACTTTTAGTGTATATGATGAACGAGACGGACCCATACTTACCCAAACATGGATTAATAGGTTCTATACATGACTATGAGGAGAAACATGAGTGAAACGGTCTCAATCCAAGGGAGGAACATCAAATGGACCAAATTTGGGAACCGGAAGAGGTAAGGAGTCCGAAATGTAGCTTTGTGCCTCCAAATGGTGGGAACTTAATTACTTTTAGTGTATATGATAAACGAGACGGACCCATACTTACCCAAACATGGATTAATAGGTTCTATACATGACTATGAGGAGAAACATGAGTGAAACGGTCTCAATCCAAGGGAGGAACATCAAATGGACCAAATTTGGGAACCGGAAGAGGTAAGGAGTCCGAAATGTAGCTTTGTGCCTCCAAATGGTGGGAACTTACTTTTAGTGTATATGATGAACGAGACGGACCCATACTTACCCAAACATGGATTAATAGGTTCTATACATGACTATGAGGAGAAACATGAGTGAAACGGTCTCAATCCAAGGGAGGAACATCAAATGGACCAAATTTGGGAACCAAAAGAGGTAAGGAGTCTGAAATGTAGCTTTGTCCCTCCAAAGGTGGAAACTTACTTTTAGTGTATATGAGGACCGAGACGGACTCATACTTACCCAAACATGGATTAATAGGTTTTATACATGACTATGAGGAGAAACATGAGTGAAACGGTCTCAATCCAAGGGAGGAAGCCCCAGACAGGAGCTTTGAAGACCAAGACACTGCTCTTTGTCTGATTTTGTCTACTACTGCACTGAAAAGGTCTTTCTTTTTCCTCCCAAAAGCTTCAGGAAGTCCTAGGTATTTCCCTTTTCCTCCTTCTTTGCTGATTCCTAGAATGCTCATTGCTTTCCTTTTGATATCACCCGAGGTCTTTTTGGAGAAAGTAATTGCCGACTTTTGACAACTTATCATTTGTCCTGATGCTTCTTCGTATTGACGCAGGATTTCCTTTAGTGCCTTACAAGTCTTCTCATTGGATTTACAGAAGAACATCGTATCATCCGCGAAAAGTAAGTGGTTTACTTTCGGGCTTCCATTTGCCACTCTTATGCCTGTTAGTTGACCATTTTCTTGGGCTTTCTTGCATAAACCAGATAAGACCTCACTGCATAGTATGAAGAGATACGGCGACAACGGATCTCCTTGCCGGATTCCTCTTGATGGTGTGACGTTGCCTATCGCGGATCCATTAAGCAGGAACTTGAAGGTAATCGAAGTTACCCATTGCATAATCCACCCAATTAGCTTAGTGTGAAAGCCCATCCTTTCCAGCACTAGTCTAATGAACTCCCACTCTACTCGGTCATACGCCTTTGTCATGTCCGTTTTCATTGCCATTGATCCCCTCTTGTTTGCTTTTGAAATTTTCAGGAAGTGGAGAATCTCGTGAGTGATCATCACGTTGTCTGTGATAGCTCGTCCGGGAACAAAGGCTGATTGATTCTCGGAGATGATGCCATCTAGAATTGGATGTAGTCTTGCGGTAAGAATCTTCGAGAAGATTTTATAATAAACATTGTAAAGGGCTATTGGCCTATAGTCTGCCACTGATTTGGGATTTGTAATCTTTGGAATGAGGCAGATGTGAGTGGCGTTGATGTTTTGAGGGAAGGTTCCTGATCTGAAGACTTCCTGAATTTCTAGTGTGATTCTTTCTCCGATGGTTTCCCAATTGGAGTGGAAGAAGCTAGCTGAGAAACCATTCGGTCCCAGGGCCTTGTCTGGATGAATTGAGAAGATTGCTGCCCTAACCTCTTGAGCGCTTGGTATCTGGATGAGACGAATATTGGTTTCTTCTGAGATGCTTGGTTTTATGCTCTTGTTTACTGTCTCTGCTCTTACTCCTGCTTGAGAGGTAAACATTTTCTCAAAGTATTTTGTATTTACTTCTGCTATTTTTGCCTCTTCAAAGACAGTCTTCCCTTCATCGTCTTCAATAACCGATATGTTATTTCTTGCTCGTCTTCCTCTGGTTGCAGCGTGAAAGTAGCCGCTGTTTTTGTCACCTAGACTGAGCCACATCTGTCGACTGCGTTGTCTCCAGTATTCCTCTTCTGCTTCGTAAGCTCCCTTGAGTTCTTTGTTAATCTGGAAGATTAAGGTATCATTTAAGACATTGCTGGTCATAGCTCTCTCTAATTCGCTCTTCTTCTCCTCTATTATTTTCCGGCTATTGAGATGGTGACTTCGGTGCCACTGAATAATGGCTTTTCGACAATTTGAAATTCGTGTCTCCACATCTGCTCGAGGGTTTGTATTCCAACTCTCGGTAATCAACAATTTAACCTCTTCATTGTTTCTTAATCTTCTGTCATAACTAAAGAGACCTTTTTTCCTTTTCTTGACAGCTTGAAAAAAGGAGATTAAGGGTCTATGATCCGACCCCTCAAAGTTTAGATACTCACTTCTACCAGAAGGGTAATTCTCGATCCAAGCACTGTTTGCCATTGCTCTGTCGAGTCTACACCTCACAAGATGATCGCGCCTTTGCCCTCTCCATGATAGGAAGTTTCCAGAGAATCTCAAGTCATAGAGTTCACAAGTCGACATGAAGGATCTGAAGTCAACAAAGGAGCCTTCTGCCCTAGCTGGTCCTCCGCTCTTCTCGGAGTTGTCCATAATTTCGTTAAAGTCTCCCGTAAGGAACCAAGGTGAGTCACGATTCTCAGCTCTTCTTTGTATTGAATTCCAAACCTCTTTTCTTCCTTCTTTTTCTGGATCTCCATAGACAAAGGTAGTGTGGAATCTTTCCCCTTTGTACTTTACTTCAGTATCTATGAAGTTGTCACATTGATAAAGGATATTGACCTCTATTCCTTTTCTCCAGAGTAGGGCGAGGCCTCCCCCTCCACGAGCGTATGGTGGCACCACTGCTATGTGGTCATATTTTAACTGGTTTAGCTCCTTGAGAACGAAGATATTTTCATTTTTCGTCTCCATGAGGAATATTATCTCAGGATAATCATACTTCTTCTTGATTTCCTGTAGACTATGAACTGCCGCGGGATTCCCCAAACCACGACAATTCCAGCTTAGAACTTTTAAGGTGGAAGATAAGACGGATTCTGAAAATCCATCTTCTTCCTAGAGGTTGCCGGAATTAGGTTACACCGAGGAGGTTCTGACAAGATGCCCGGGTCCTGGGAGGTATGAGACTGAGCTGGACCCGAAGCGCTTTGGTTTTTTCTTCGGGAGGAGCTCCCGGTTGTAAAGCGTCTCCTTGGTGATATTTTGATCTATGCTACTTTCCTACTCTTTGAGCTTGAGACTTTTTCTGGTGGGGCTAAAGCCAGAGTTTTCTTCTTATTAGGTGGCCTACCTAGGCGCTTCTTTGCCGGCACTCTTGGAGGTTCTTCCATAATAGGGATTTCAGTCAAGACTGGTCCAAGTCTTTGAGTTGCAGGGATTCTTTCGTGCATTAGAGGTTCCAGGTATTCCTCTTCCTGTATTTGAGTCTGAGCTCGGATAGAGTGTCTCACCATTTGCTCTGCCGTTTGTTCCACTTCTCCTCTTTCTTCCGCTAATCTCATTCTTTCTTTTCTTGCCGCACTTTCTGTAGGATCTGCACAGTTTGAGTATTGGGCCATAACTTCACGAACTTCCCCTCTCGCTTCCCTTAAAGCTTCAGTGGGCAACTCAGTTCTTGGGGCTCGTACTTCTTCAATACGAGTTGATCTCCTAGAGTGTGAAGATTCAACAGGAGATCTTCCTTGACTCTGATGTAAGATCCTATCCCCTCCGCTTCTACTTCTCCTGATATTCTCAGGACTTAAACCCAGACTTCTCTCTCTGCTTGCCGATTCTGCAAGGATGGATGTTGAGATCCTACGTCCTGTCTCCACCCACCTTTGCTCAAGCCCATGAAACGCTGGCCGGATTCTACCAAAGTTTCCCCTCGACTCCACCTGATTGTCAGAGTGTCTGCTTCTACTTGACTGAGAATACCTCCCTCTCGATTCTCTAGAGTAGAAGCCTCTTTGAGAACCCAAATTGACATTCCGAGTTCGATCCCTTTGGTCCCCGGTATTATAGTCCTCTCTTCTTCCAGATGGGTAAATCACTTCATCTCTCTTACGTTTGCTTCCTGAGCTCTGAACGTTGTAGATGGATCCCTCAAGACGCCTTGGTTGAGGCGGTGGAGGTAATTGTACAGCTGCTTCCTTTCCTTTTGTGATTTCTGGGCACTCCTCTATCTCATGATCCAGCATTGAACAATAACTGCAGTGCTTTTCCAGTTTCTCGTATACCAGGTTAGCTATTACTTCATCTCCATTAGCGAATTCCAGAGTGTAGGTTTTGAGTAGAGGTAGGAGTCCATTGATGTGGACTCTCATCTTAGCATGAGCTTTCGTTATTTCCCAGCTTTCAAAAGAACCCAAATCTTCTCCAATGCTTCTTAACATGGCTTCACTCCACAGGTGAACCGGGACTCCTTGAACCTTTATCGTGAAAGGAATCAGAGAAGGGAAGGATCTGGACACTGTCGGCTCCCATTGCAGGATCAGGAGCATCCAGTGAGCAAAATGGTAGGGTCTATTTTCCAGAACTAGCTGCATGTCTTCTTTTGTCGCAAAAGTATACTGAAATGTTCCTTGACCAGATCCGCTCCAACTGCAGGGGAGCTTGTCTTCCAGTGTTCAGAGAAGAACGGCAGGAGAGACCACAAGCGCTGGATCTTGGGATTTGTTAGCCTTCCAATAATTGTCAGGTGATGTTGCTTCATCAACGCTGAGTTGTCAAATTCCGGCACTTTTACTCTTCCAACTCGAGGTGGTTCAGTAGGAGGTGCTAAGCTCTTCCCTTTTTCTGCTTGAGTATACTTCCTTGTCATTGCTTTTCTTTGAGTTTTTTGACTGTAGCTTATAAGTTTTCAACACCACTAGGGTGAGAGATTTCTCGAAAAAACTTCCGAGTAGTTTCTGAAAACGTTTCAAAACATACCCAAGTGAAACTTAAGGTAGATTAGAGTTTAAAGAAGTTATTTATGTGAACCATACCCTTATTCTTGTAGGTTACGGCGGTAGAGCTTCGACGGAGGCATGGTTTCGGCGTCGGTAAGGACCCTCCGACTCTAAGTCGGGGGTGGAACCCGGGCACACAGAACCAAGACTCTAGGTAAAAAGAGAAAAACACCTAGTTTGGGAAATATCTTGCGGGTAAAAGGGTTTTGGAGAGTGACAGGAATTGACTAAAACCCTTTCTCGCTAAACGTGTCTGGGAGAGAAAATCGTCCTTTTCACTTTGAGTTTGTATACAAGAACGTTAAGTTTTCCTTTTTTTTAAGTTCTTGTTTCTTATAATATATACTATTATGAGCTAGCTATCCCAAATCTGATCTTGAACAGGAAATGTATATAGAATAATAGAAGTGATAGAATTTAAACTCAGCCAAGATTAAAACTAATTCGACTTACGAAACTTTCGTTAATATATCGACTGATCATCGATCTTGTTAGGAGATTAATTCGGAGATACATTTCCAGTCACTTTTGATTAAGAGTTTCTTTGACTTCACTTTTGTAAACTTTTAATAAAAATGTGCTATTGAATAGACTGATATTTCTCTTGTTATTGAATATCCATGTCAAAAAAATCAGGTCAGAAATAAACCAGTTTTTCTTATTCAATGTTAATTTTCCTTATTTATATTTTCTTCCTTTTAACAGTATTTTATATTCAATTTAGTTCTTTTCTAGTCAACATATTTCAATTCAATTTAATGTGAAATTGAAATATTATCTTATTCTCATGACTAGCTAATTTAACATTTTTCATTTGTTTGGTTATATGGAAGGTTGTATTGTCTAAACAAAAAGACGCAGTAGTCAAACAAGAAGAGTATAATGCCAAAAAGGGTGAAACAATGAAAATGTTACCGGAAAAAATTGTATTTTACATATATTTATAGGTGCATTCTAGTAATGTAAACCAATACTTTCTCTCATCTATCTTTGAGGCAATTGTTCAAGTTTTATCTACCTGAATCCTGGGAGGTAAGGAGAATCTTTTCCCTCTAGATGACTTAGGTATTAGTAAAATTTGATAACAATAAGATATGAGTTTCTTTAGTTTTATCCTATGTTTTTTCTCTTGAAATTTATTTCAAAAGATTGTATCCATATATTGTGAAATAATATTTGGTTTACCTAGCTTTAAATTGTTTAGTTGGTAACCTCAAATTTCATTGCAGTTTCCTATGATTGTCCTCTGGTTACTAGATCTGATACTTGTTTTTTTTTTCGTATTTTGGAATGATTTTGAATTTTATTTTTTGAATATATAGGTTTTGAATTTGTTTGTTGTGGTTCTTAATTAATTTTCACTGATATATTTTTCTCCTTTTCTGAATAATTAATGAATTTCTAGGCAGTTTGAAAGCATGTTTGGAACAAAGGGTGGACGTGAATATCTCATGACAGTGAGAACTACATTTGAAAATAACCGTGAGAAATATGATGAATTTCTTAAGATCATGAAAGACTTTAGGGCTAATAGGTATATTTTCGATCTTAACGATTAATTTCCTCTAATATTTGTTTACGATTGATTGATGATACTAATCACTCATATGATTTATGAGGTGCTGAAATATTTGATGGTATATTCATTGTAGGATTGATCATATTTCTGTCAGATCACAAGTGAGAACACTCTTTGAAGGTCATGAAGAGCTGATTGTGGGGTTGAACCAATTCTTGCCTAAGCGTTCCATGAAATCACTCGGGAGTTTCCAACGTCAAGATGTAACATTTGCGGACGCTATTGATTATGTCTTCAAGGTTAAGGTAAACGCATTCACCCATGGTAGAAAATATGGATAGACAATTCAATTTACGATTTATTTATTTTTGTTCAATAAAGTTATAAAAAACCACAAACAAATAACACTTATTGTATTCTGGTCCTACTGGAGATTACAATATTCCCTTTATTTTTTGTTAATTTTCTCTTATATATGGTTTATATTATGTAGGCAAGATTTGAGGATGATGATCGTCCATACAAATCATTTCTGGCAATATTGAAGATGTATACAGAGTACGAGAAAAACCATGCAGAGCTGTACGATGAGGTATATACGTATAGCTAATCTATGTATCATATTTAAACTCTTTATTTTGCATTCTTCTCATATTAAGTCTGATGACATGATTATTTTGCAGATTTGTGTCATATTCCGAGACCAGGACGACTTGCGTGAGGGTTTTGCTCAGTTTCTCCCTCGTTGAGTCTAGAGAAGGGCGAAACTGCTTCTTGAATAAGCTGGGATGATGAGTTATGTATTCAATAAAACCATGTTGTAATCACTAGTTTGTTGTCGAACTTGCAAAACTGGTGACTCTTTTTATTTTCTTTTCATCGTTATTTTCAAAATTCTTATACAATTCTCCGTAATACATAAGTTCCATCATCATACAGTAGTTGGTGTTTTCTTTTATTTTATCTGAAAATTTATAGGTAAACCAATAATATAATGTTCGTAAATTCGTTTGCCAGCTCTTTTTTTCTTTCTCCTTTTTTCGTCTGAATATTAATTATATTGAACATCAAAGGATTCAAAGCGGGTCCATACGAAAAACACTAACCGAAGCCAGCTTTACATATCTCCAAAAACACTAACCGAAGTCTACATATCACTGGAGAGTGGAGACACATATCTGCCTAAATGATTTCATGGGAAAAACAGCCATAATTGGGTTAAAAACGTACCTTCACATTCTAAGAAGTCATCACGTTGACTTGAGGTTAATTCATAATTCATTATTAAAAACTGGAATCGGAATAAATCTAAAATTCATCGGGAAACCTTTTAAGTTTCATACTTCGGAAACATAGACCAGAGAAGATGAAATCGTAATTTATTAATATCTTTATAGCCTTAGCCCCAATCCATCAACAAAAAAAGGTTGACTCATTACTCTCTTTTTTTTTACCAAAAAAAAAGGTTGACTCCACAAGCCACCAAATTTTGTAGATGTAATCCTGAAATTTAGGTTCTAGGTGACCACTAGAGCAACAACAGGAATGGAGAAAAAAAGGAATGAAGAGGAACACGATAATATAAACGTTAATACCATTAATTAACCTCAATCCATCAAACACACACAATTCTCCACTAAACCCTAAAATTTTATAGTTACATATTTTGAGAACTAAAGTTCTTACATGACTGTGTTGAACTGAACTTAGCAAGATCAAGGGATCATATATCTATTAAAAGTTCTTTTTTTGGATATAGGTGAAAGGCTCTTGATCTGATTGTTTCTATGTTTCAGTTTACATTTTTCTTTATTTTTTGCTAATATGTTATGGACTACAATCTCTAATGGCCACTGTCGGCAATGAGTCTTTCCATAGCTGGAAAGTGGAATGGATAATTTTCTGAACGCACGCCTTAATCATTCTCTAGTGTTCCAACAAAAAGTGTCTATCATACAAAATATTAGTGGATCTCTCTCGTATTCCTCGTCCAAAAGAAACATCTAGTCTCTCTTCAGCCAATGGCAAGAATGGCACACGACGAAGTACATACCAATTTATTTGTTAATATGCATGTCTCTGATTGGTTGACTCATTGAAACGAGAGCATATGCGTTAACGTTATATTACAATAAATGTTATTGAGCCTTCTTTAAATAATGATTGTTTGTGCCCTAAAGACCTTTAAAAAAGAAGAAGATTGTTTGTGCCCTACTAAAATCAATACAGAGAAATGATCTCCATCAAACTATTTCTCTGACAGAACTAGTTACGATCTATAACATTATCGAACTCTCTCATCATCTTCTTGTTATTATTGGATAAGCTTCGATGACTTGCCACCTAAGATATCCATAACAAGTTGGTTTAGGATAAAATAATTTTCATCAAACTATTTCTAATGTAGTTGTCTAATTCTATTAGGAACAGGAGTAACAAAGGTGTGTTAGCTCTATATATATATATATATCATTGTCGAGTTGTGACGAAGATATTAAGTTAAGAGCAATTGCGTGTGTTTATTCTTTAAAGAGTGTTTTGTTCTTATTTCTTAAGATACTTTAGCTAGAGCTCCACAAAAATCTTCTCTTCTCTTTTCAGCCAATCGTAAAGAATGGGCTACACTGACGAAGAAGCAGCCGTTCACAACCGGCGACCTTCAATATTGGAGTGTGTGGGCGTTTGGTTCATTAGTCTTTGTATCGTAGCAGGTTTTATTGCTGCTGTAGTTTATTTTATCATTCTAGCGATCAAAGACACGTCTCGCAAAGTTCCGGAGCCGGAGATAGAAATAGCTAATATGGATTTCACGGCGCTTAACATCACAGAAACTCGTCTTAGTGCAGAGTGGGATTTGTCGATACGTATCCCTTACGATATTCCTGGTTTATATATCTGTCTTCAAGGAGACCTTCAGGCTTCCTTTCTTTACAAGAATGTTACTCTTGCTACTTCATCCCAACAAAAGTAAGTAATTTACTATATTCTTTTTGTTTTATTGATATTTATCGGAAAAAAAAACTAACCGAAGCTTCTGTGTATATATAATCAGGTACAACAATCTCAAATACAACGCGCCTCAGGTTCTTAAGGTTTCAGCGCATGTCTCTGAAGAAGATATAGATGGGTCGATTGGTAAAGATATCATGAAAGATATGAAAGAGAAGAAGGAAGTGCGGTTTGGAACGCGGTTTTCTCTTACGGATTGCAGTGCAGAATCGACAGGAGTTATGAGTTATGTGTGCGATGAAGTCTCCTTGAGGTTCGAACCAGGATCCGAGATGAAAGCGACTTTGTTTGGGAAGCACGCGTCAATTCTTGACCTAGCTTGTTTCCTACCAGCTCCCCACCAAAGTGTGTTTAAACAAGGATTTTAGATTAATATTGGCGATTATTTTGGTAGTTTGATTTTCTAGATATTGAACTCGGTTTTTTTAGCTTTATGTAGGAAAGTCACTTTGACAACATTTTTTTTTCATTATTACACAACTCTAAGTTTCCAATTTTCCAACGTTTTTAGTTTTTATTTCTAATGTACAATATTCGTGATATACTAATGGGCTGATTATAACTCTATGCTAGGCCCTAAACTATAAATACAATCGTCACGCTCACGATTACAAACCTAACGGATTCGTCTCTCTTGCTAGTTGCTATCGGATCTTCGGGTCTCCTCTTTACGCATGAACTAGAATTTGTGGAACATCTGATATCTAATCTAGGGCTTTGTTTTCTTTCTTATACTCAGTTTCCGATAATACTGATTAATTACATTGGTCGCAAGCTATGTCTCTGTAAGACCTATAGGCCTCCGAATCGTCTCTCTGAAACTTGCCTTTTCAGTTTTTTTTCTTGCTTTCTTTTTTTGTTTTGAAGAAAACGAAAAACTGGTAAAGCTGGGAGGTCGAAGGAAGATATGAATAGTATAAGCCAATTACCAGATGATATAATATGTAAGATACTTTCTCTTCTATCCCTAAAGGAAGCTGTTCAGACGAGCGTTTTATCAACTAGATGGAGGCATCTCTCGCTTTGGCTACCTAGTTTGGATTTGAACACCCGAGATTTCTCAGATTTCAACACCTTTAAGAGTTTTGGTGACAGGTTTTTCGATTCTGCTAGGGTTTCCTGCGTACACGAACTCAAGTTATCTCTTGGAAGAGTTGCAAGAAACGTGGACGATGAATCTTGTTTCACGTCATGGATTAATGCTGCGATCAAACGTAAGATCCAATATCTTCATTTCACCGGAGAGTTTAACCTCCCATGGTTGTTGTTTAGCTGTGAGACATTGGTAAGCTTAAGTCTCTTTGATGTCACCTTGGATGATGCGGTGTCTGTTGTCTTACCTTGTCTGAAGACTATGCATCTGGATGAGATTGTATACCGCAGTGAAGCCACTTTAGAGACACTTATCTCATCATGCCCTGTCCTTGAGAACTTAGAGATTGTCTTATCTGATGCTGATTCAGGATTGTTTCGGGTGCAATCTCGGTCCCTGAAGAGCTTCACCATTTTCAGAGATAAGTTTATTGTTTTAGCAGCTAGTCCAGGAGTTGTTATCGATGCTCCTTTACTATGCTATTTAAGCATCTCTGATGTCGTATCAGAAAGCTTTACAGTAAACAATTTGGAGTCCAGTTGTAATTTAGATATTCTTCTCTACTTTGGTTTATATGCATATGCCCTCGAAATAAGAGGAGTTTCGTCGAGGAAGAGTGAAATCCGCAAGTTTCTTCTCGGGATTTCGAGGGCCGGGACTATGAAGATATGTGTACACACTTGCAAGGTATGTTTCAAGATATGTCTCAATGCAGAATTTGGTTGTATCATGCAAGTCTCTGATCCACATTCTATTCTTTTTTGTTGTATATATAGATCATCTGTCGATACTCAGAACTAGAACCGCTGCCTCAGTTTTGTTTCATGTCACGCTTGTGCGTTCCTCTCTGGTCAGCCAATCTGAGATGGTTGGTAACATTTCTTGAAAGCTGTCCGAATCTAAAAACCCTAATCTTGGTGAGGAAGTTACTATAAAGCCATATATAAATTTTCTCATCTCAATGAAGTTTCTGGCATAACATATCATTGTTTTTTTTTCCTCAGGAACAGGAAAGGCTTCATGAGCTACTTTACGAGGAGATGGATGAAATCAGTTTTTCATCTGTGCCAGAGTGTTTGGTATCGTCTCTCGAGTTTGTTGATTTCGACTTCTCTTTATGGGGATACTGTGTAGAAATGGAGCTGGTAAAGTATTTCCTAAAGAATTCGGCTGTCCTCAAGAAACTCACTCTACGTTTGGGTTCTCATTCAACAAGAGATGAAACCTTGAAGGAACTCTTGGAAATCCCAAGAGCCTCTACCAGCTGTGAAGTCGACGTCCTCTGAATGGTATAAAGACTAATAAAAAATACTAGTGGATTTTTGGACCCTATTGCTCACAACTTGGTGTGCGCTGCTGCCTTTAAATGCAACCGCAGCATCTGTGTTTTTGTTATTTTTTTTTTGTTTTAGTGATCACTCTAGAAAATCTTTCAGCTTCTAAATGGAGAGTCTCATCCTCCTTTGGATTCAGCTCCGTTAAAACTCGGTAGAGAAATGATCTCTGGTATTATCCATCTCTTTTGTTTTCTTCGTCCAAAAGAAATACTTGTCTCTCTTCAATCGATCGCAAAGAATGGGACACGACGACGAAGTACAAACCAATTAATTTGTTTATATATATCATATATGCATGTCGGATTGTAATTATCTACAATAACTGAATCTGCGGTAACGTTATACTATCACAATAAAAATAATAATACTATTAGAAATATATATAAAACGAAATTCTTTTATGTTTTTTGGTGTTTCTGGTAATTTATTAAAGGATAAACGTTGGGAAATTTACATTAGATTTCTTTTTATCTTGTATATCTAGTTGAATCCCTAAATAATGATCCTAAGCTTCTATAAATAATGATTGTTTGTGCCCTAACTAAAATCAATACAGAGAAAGTATCTCCATCAAACTATTTCTCTGACAGAGGTAGTTACGATACTATCGAACTCTCTCATCATCTTCTTGTTGAACTCCACAAAATCTTCTCTCTTCTCTTTTCACCAACCAATCGTATATAATGGGCAACAATGACGATGAAGCAGCCGTTAACAACCGGCGAACTACGATTGAGAGGGTGATTGAGAAGGTCGGCCTTTGCTTCATTTTTGTTTGTGTCATAGCGTTTATTACTTTTCCTATAGTTTATTCTGCCAAATATGCGAACAAAGTCTCGTCTCGCAAAGATCCCGTAGCCGTAGTGCCACTAGTGCCGGAGATAGAATTAGCTAATATGGACTTCACGGCGTTTAACATCACAGAAGCTCGTCTTAGTGCAGAGTGGGATTTGTCGATACGTATCCCTTACAATATTCCTGGTTATTATATATGTCTTCAAGGAAACCTTCAAGCATCCTTTCTTTACAAGAATGTTACTCTTGCTACTTCATCCCAACAAAAGTAAGTAATTTATTATATTTTTTTTTATTGATATTTATCGGAAGAAAAAGAAAGACAAAACTAATGGGATCTTCTGTATAATATAATCAGGTACAACAATCTCAAATACCACGAACCTCAGGTACTTAGTGTTTCAGCGATTGTCTATGGAAAAAATATAAGCGATTGGATTGGTAAAGACATGATGAAAGATATGAAAGAGAAGAAGGAAGTGCGGTTTGGAACGCGGGTTTCTCTTACGGATTGCAGAGCAGAATCGACAGGAACTATGAGTTATGTGTGCGATGAAGTCACCTTGAGGTTCGAACCAGGATCCGAGATGAAAGCGACTTTGTTTGGGAAGCACGCAAGCTGCGTCAATTCTTGACCTAGCTTGTTTCCTACCAGCTTAAACAAGGATTTTAAATTGTGTTTAAACAAGGATTTTAAATTAATATTGGCGATTATTTTGTTATAGTTTGATTTTCTAGATATTAAACTCGGTTTTTTAACTTTATGTAAGAAACAAAAAAATTAAATAGACACTTCAACTAATGTTAACATTAGTTTATCATTATTACACAACTCTAACTCTATTTCAAAAAAAATTCCAACGATTTCACTTCTGAGATAAAATATATTCGTGATAGACAACGTTGGTAGAACACTAGAATGCTAAGAAGAAAAATAGTACTCATGAACATCGATGATTATGTTTTGTTAATTTGAAGTTCATAGCTAAGTTAAATAACATTTGTCTACAAAAGAAACTTTTGAGATGATGATGATATATGTAATCAAGTGAATTTTATACATATCCTAAATTAAGCTCTAAGTCCATGTTATAATGTCAACAAGAAAACACGTAAATTCATAGCTAACATGAAATCCAAGTTATGAAATTTCTTATGATCTCTATTCATTGAACGTTTTCTTCGAGATTCTAAGAACTATATTTTGATTATATTTTCTGATATGCATATAGGTCGCTGCTCCTCCTATGACAAATGATTAATGTGCAAATCCAATATAGAAGGGTTTGGGTCAATTCAGGACGAAAGTGTTGGGCTTTTGAAAGTAAACATGTTGGGCCATAAACAACAAACTATTCAGCCAAATTTAGGCAAAATGCAAAATATTTTGGCCTAAAAAGGCAAAAATAAGGAAACTGGGAAAGGAAAAAAAAGCTTTTGAAACAAAAACATTTGGGGGCGTTCCGAGAATTGAACTCGGGACCTCTCGCACCCTAAGCGAGAATCATACCACTAGACCAAACGCCCATTTGTGAAAGTTCTTTCACTGGATTGGTAACTATCGAATCCAATTTAAAACATCAAGTTATTTGCATCTTGTATTTTGTCTACTAATTATCCAGGTTATTCAAACTAATAAATATATATATAGAACCGACATAAAAGCCTAATTTACTTGTTGGGACTAAACATAAAATACTTATTAATTGTTACAGTTTTTTAGAAGTTGAAACTTAAACCTAAATAAAAATTACATATTTACAAAACGCAATAACCACCTTAGATACCATACCATATGTACAGAGATTCAGTATCTATAAACAATTCCCTTAACATTAAAGAAATCTGAATCATTTCCATAATTAAAAAAAAAACTGGCAAACACTTTCTATATCATTAAAACAAGCCTCGAATTTACTAATTCTAGCACATGACGTTGATAGTTAAAAAAAATATTTAACCTAATCTTCCTAGTTTATCCTCACCATCTTCCAAAAATCACAAAATTGCCACTAAACATAACATAACCCCAAATTGCAAGGTCCCAATCCAATCCAATCCCTAGCTCTGCGCCCTAATCCGCAGCTTAACCCTCACCGGCTATAACCGGTTACCCAACCTATAAGCAACCTAGCAACGTCTGTCTTTAAACTTTTTTATTTAATTCATTTTTCCATTCATCGATACAAAATATGTACTGTACATATCTACCGTATATACTAATGTTTAAACAAATTAATTTCACCTAAAACAAAATAAAAGATAGTCAAGGAAAAAATGATTTAGCTTAATCTAATAATTATCGTGACCAAAAAGAAAAATTACATTAACGTAAAAAAAAAATCCTTAAAAGAAGTCTCTCATCTTCATCATAAGTTCTTTTTTTTTTTTACTCTGTCTTATTTAGTTTCTCTTCTTTCTTTCTTTCTCTGCAAATTTTTGTTTTGTTTAAAGTCTTGTTCTCTCTGCTTCCGTGTGCGATAAGGAGGGAGCTTGTGCTTGTAGACTTGTGTCTTTACGAAATTCGGTAACTCTACGATCATCTTTTGCTTTTCGAAGCGTTTTTTTTTCTTCTCAATTCTTATCTTGAACCGCCGTAATGTGAAAAAAAATTATCCGGAGAGATTAAGTTAAGATCGATTTTTTTTTCTCAGCTTCATTGTTTCTAACTCCTTAATCGATTTTTGCTTTGATTGCTCTCTACTTTGCTAGATCTACTGCTTGCTTTGTTTTTGAGGATTGCCTTTGAGTTCGATTTCTTCAGATATGGTTTTTGCTGCTAATTTTGATTGATTTTTGATTTCTTGATTAAAAAGTTCAAAGAGATTCAACTCTTTAACTCTTTAGCTGAGCGATTGAATTTACACATAAATCCTCAAATTCGAAGACTTGTTGCTAAATCTCGATGCTAAATTTTGCTCTTTAATGTAATCTTGCGCTGATCTATTGAGGAAGTTTCTTGTGAGTGTATTGAGGAGAAAACACATTGATCCATTTTTGTAGCTAAAAGTCTTTTTTTTTTTTTTTATGTGATTAATGAAGCTAAGCTCTGGACCAATTTATAAAACCATGGTTGGAGGAGGGAGTGCACAGAAGCTAACAACGAACGACGCACTTGCGTATCTCAAAGCTGTCAAGGATAAGTTCCACGACAAACGTGAAAAGTACGATGAGTTTCTTGAAGTCATGAAAGACTTCAAAGCTCAGAGGTATATATATATATATATATATATATATAGATTTTTGTTTTTGACTTCTTTAGTTTCAGTTTATGAGTTCTTGAAAACTAAAATCTTGTTTTTTGGAAACTGTAGAGTTGATACTAGTGGTGTCATCTTGAGGGTGAAAGAGCTTTTCAAAGGGAACAGAGAGCTGATTCTGGGATTCAACACTTTCTTACCAAAGGGGTTCGAGATAACACTCTTACCTGACGAGGAAGACGACCAACCTCAACCTAAGAAGCCTGTTGAGTTTGAAGAAGCTATTAGTTTCGTCAACAAGATTAAGGTATATGGTCAACTTCTTCTCTTTGCTTACTTTGCATCTTAATAACTATCATTTACTCTCTGCAGACAAGGTTTCAAGGAGACGATCGTGTATACAAATCATTCTTAGACATATTGAACATGTATAGAAAAGAAAACAAGTCCATTACTGGTGTCTACCAGGAGGTATGTATCTGTTCTGTTCCTAGCCACTCTTGTTTTGGTTTTGCCCTTCTTGTCTTAATGCCTTAATCTTGCAGGTGGCTATACTTTTCCGGGACCATCATGATTTGCTTGTGGAGTTCACTCATTTTCTACCTGACACTTCAGCAGCTTCCTCTACTCCTGATTCTGTGAAAATGTCTGTACGTGACAGAGGCGTTAAGTCTCTTCCCACAATGCAGAAGGACCGGATCTTTACTTCGCATCAAGAACGTGACCTCAAGACCGAGCATATGGAGTTGGACCATGAGAGATCTGTGTTGAGAGAAAGTAAAGAGGAGATGAGACGCGTTGAGAAGAAGAGTGATTACATGGATGAGAGAGACAGGAGAGGTTACGGTGTAGATGACAGAGATTTCGAACATGATGTGAAGAAAGAGCATTTCCTCCACAGTAAAAAGAAGCTGACGCTGAAAGATGATGATTCTGCTGAGATGTCGAATCAAGCTAGAGATGGATCCATTCCAACTTCATCTACTTATGATGAAAAAGGTGCCTTATTATATACTTTCAAAACAAATCAGTGTGATAATTTGTTTGAGATAGTTAGGAGTGAGTTTCTTGACTTTTGTGATGACAGGTCATATCCAAGAACTTGCTTTTGTTGATAGAGTGAAGGGAAAGCTGAATACATCTGACTACCAGGAGTTCTTGCGATGTCTTAACCTCTTTTCAAAGGAAATAATCAGCCAACCAGAATTGCATTCTTTGGTATGTTTTTTTTTTTATGTTTGCATGATGAGATTGGAGTAAGATCAATGAGAACTCTTGAGGAACTTTTATAATTCTTGTATCAGGTCGGCGATTTAATTGGAGTGTATCCAGACCTTATGGACGCCTTCAGAGTCTTTTTGGTTCAATGTGAAAAGAATGGTAACCACAATGCAAACTTTTGCTTTCGATTCTTGCATTCACCTTGTAAAGGTTAAAGATTTGAGCCCTTTTTTTTTGTTCTTCTTGTTGCAGAAGGATTACTCTCTGGTATCGTCACTAAGAGTAAGTCTAGATACTTTTTATGATAGAGTGATTTGAAATAAAATCAGACTAACTTTTAATCATCAAACTGCTGTGACTACAGAGTCATTGTGGAGTGAAGGCAAATCTCCTCAACATGGCAAGTCACCAGACAAAGATACAGACAGAGAACGTGAGAAGATTGAAAGGTTTAGAGAAAGAGACCGTGAGAAGGAGAGGCTTGAGAAGGCAGCAGCGAGTCAGAAATGGGCTAAACCTATCAGTGAGCTAGATCTTTCCAACTGTGAACAGTGCACTCCTAGTTATCGGTTACTTCCAAAGAATGTATGTTGGCTACAACTTCATTATGAAACAAATCTTCTTCTCTTTGTTTGTTTTTCTTGCTTACATGTTTTTGTTTTCTTGCAGTATCCAATTCCTATAGCAAGCCAAAAGATGGAGATTGGTAGCCAGGTGCTTAATGACCATTGGGTCTCAGTCACTTCAGGAAGTGAAGACTATTCATTCAAACACATGCGCAAGAACCAGTACGAAGAGAGTCTCTTCCGATGTGAAGATGATAGGTTAGTAGTGATTGCTTCTGTTTCTCAGTTTCTTGAAATAGTTTGGATTTGATGAATATTTTGTTTGTTGTGGTGCTTTTAGGTTCGAGCTAGACATGCTATTAGAGTCTGTGAACTCAGCTACGAACCGAGTGGAAGAGTTATTAGCAAAGATTAACAGTAACGAAGTGAAACTCGACGCTCCCATCGTTATCGAAGATCACCTCACAAGTATGTATACATATAAGTTTCTCTGTGAGCAAACATCATCACATTCTTCTCTTTGTGACTGATGAAATATTGTTTGTTATTGCCTTTTGTAGCTCTAAACCTAAGATGCATAGAACGGTTATACGGTGACCACGGGCTCGACGTGTTGGATCTGTTAAAGAAGAATCCGAATCTTGCGTTACCTGTAATACTGACCCGTCTGAAGCAAAAGCAAGAAGAGTGGGCAAAGTGTCGTACTGATTTCAACAAAGTGTGGGCTGATATATATACCAAGAACTACCACAGATCACTTGACCATCGCAGTTTCTATTTCAAACAGCAAGATTCCAAGAATCTGAGCACTAAAGGTAAAAGCAAAACTGCTCCTTAGTTACTTACATGTATCAACCTACAAAAGAGTTTCTTACTTATTACTATCTTTCAACTGCAGCGTTACTGGCAGAGATAAAAGAGATCTCTGAAAAGAAACGAGCAGAGGATGATGCACTTCTTGCTCTTGCAGCTGGGAACAGACGAAATATGTCTGCTAACATGAGTTTTGAGTATCAAGATCCTGAGCTTCACGAAGATCTGTATCAGCTGATCAAGTATTCATGTGGAGAAATGTGTTCAACGGAACAGTTAGATAAGGTGATGAAAGTATGGACAGAGTTTTTGGAGCCAATGTTTGGTGTTCCTTCTCGTCCTCAAGGCGCTGAAGACCGAGAAGACGCTGTCAAGTCTACTACGAGCCAGAATTTGAAAAGTGGTAGCGCAAGTGAGGACAGTCCACCTCAGAATGGAGCTAGTGTTGCAACCTCTATGCGGTCGAATGGCCCTCGAAAAGCTAGTGAAAGCAACCAGTTGCGGCAAGCTAGTGATTCGGAGAGAGACGTCACTGCAAGTAAGACCTCAGATGCATTGTTATGTGATAAAACGCCGAAGACTCTAACCACTCCTGACGAGAGGCCTGAGACCAAAGAAGCTGTTTCGAATGAACGTGTGCATAGCTCAAATGCACCGCCTGTGGATGGATTGCTACCTCAAAGGAATGGAAAAACCAGCGTTTTATCCATAACCGGTAAGCACATTTTGAAACTTTGCTTGATATGAGTACTCTTGGAACTCTTCTTGTTATTAGATGATGAATGGTGTTCTTCCCTTTACTTGACCAGGGTTTAGCAATAGTAATCCAAAACCTAGTGCTTTAGCCACCGGAACAGAGGTGGAGTTGAAGCCGAATCACGTAAATGGGCCACGCTTAGAGGTATAGTATGATCCTTCTGTAGATTAGCTTCCATACAATGCTGTAGAGATTACAATTCTTGAGATGAGAATGACAATGATATACACTATTCATTTCTACAGATTGGCGACAGCAGAGTATTGCTAAATGGGACATTGGCGGAAACATCAAATAACCAAAGATCTAACGAAGTGTTAACTGTGCAAACCAAAGTGGAAAGAGAGGAAGGTGAACTTTCTCCAACAGGAGATTTCGAGGAAGATAACTTTGCGGTTCATGCAGAGGACAATGACTTGGAGGAGGCTCTCAGCAAAGGTAAGGAGATTGCTGGGAACAACTTAAACCAGAGGAGTAGTGGAGATAATGATGCTGCTAACGCTGATGACGAAGGTGATGAAAGTGCACCAAGATCATCAGATGTAAGCGGAAACACGTCACAGAACGGTGATGTTTCTGGAACTGAGTCTGGTGGTGAGGGTGAAGATTGTTACCGGGAAGATGATATGGAACATAATAACAAGGCGGAAAGTGAAGGTGAGGCTGAAGAAGAAGAAGGTATGTCTGATGATGCACATGGTGCTGATGCTGAAGGAGATAAGCCTGTGTTGCCTGTTTCAGTGCGAAACCTGCTGTATGCGAAGCCTCTTGCCAAGTATGTACCTCCAGGTTTGCGGAATAAGGACAAAGATGATGAGTCTCAGAAGAACTCCAGAGTGTTTTATGGGAATGATTCGTTCTACGTTCTCTTCAGGCTGCATCAGGTAAATAAGGATCATTATTCATTCTGCAACACAATGAGGCTGGAAGTTTTTGTGATACTAACTATTTCTTGTAAAACAGATTTTGTATGACAGAATCTTATCAGCAAAAGTCAATTCATCATCTCCAGAAAGAAAGTGGAAGACCACAAACTCGACAAACCCTGCAGATTCATACGCCAGGTGACTTGACCTTTCGGTTTCTCTGTGGTATTACTTCAAGATGCATCTGTGTTGCTGCTTGTGTAACATCTAGTTTTTTTGGTGTTGGAACAGGTTCATGAATGCTCTCTACAACTTGCTAGACGGAACATCTGATAATTCAAAGTTTGAAGATGATTGCCGAGCAATAATTGGGACGCAGTCATATGTTCTCTTCACATTGGACAAACTGATCTATAAGCTCATCAAGCATGTAAGTGTCTTGTTCCATTCTTGATCTCTAAGCCTTCACTTGTGTGATTTCAACTGACCAATCTTATCCTTACAGCTCCAAGGAATAGCAGCTGATGAAATGGACAACAAACTACAACAGTTATACTCATATGAGAAATCAAGAAAGCCTGAAAAGTTTCTCGACGCTGTTTATTATGGAAACGCTCGTGTTCTTCTTCCCGATGAGGATATATATCGCATCGAATGTGTAAGAACCAAACTCTCTATTGTCCTTATGAACAAGGAACTTCATGATGTAAAGTTGTTCTTGCTATATTTCTGCAGAATCTATCTACACCAACCAAACTCTCTATTCAGCTTCTGGACCACGGACATGATAAGCCTGATGTGACATCTATATCAATGGACCCAGCTTTTGGAGCTTACCTCCTCAATAATTTCCTTTCCAATCTTTCTAATCCAAAAGAGAATCCCAGAATCTATCTAAAGCGGTAAGTAGAGAGCATTGACAAAGGAACTATCTCATCTTTCTAAAGGATAATGCAGAAACTAATCAGTTACTCTCTCTTTCTTCCTCAGGAATAAGCGTAAACTTGGTGGTAGTGACGATGAGCTCAGCACCACGGATCAAGTTAAGATTATAAACGGTTTAGAGTGTAAGATAACTTGCAGTTCTTCAAAGGTACATTACCTTTCTTTATGCTTAACACTGAGTTTCCATGGCAACGACTTTAAAACGAGTTTGTCATGTATCTCCCCTGCAGGTCTCGTATGTATTAGACACAGAGGATGTTTTGCATCGTGCTAAGAGAAGGAAAGTTTTGAACCAAAACGATTCAGCTCTCAAACAGGACATCATTTCCAGTAGTTCTTTAATCAGGCAAAGGAGAATACAAAGATACCAAAAACTTCTCACCAGCCAATGACACGATCAGCAAAAAAAGCTCGGGGAATAGAGCACCTTCCACATACTTTCAGAGACGAAAAGATTGCCATTTCTCTGCTTGTTATACTCAGCATTGAGCTTTCGATGGCTCTCACTTATGTTGCTGCCTCTGGTCCCTGTTGAAATCTCACAGACAATAAAAAGGGAAGGAGGGGATTATACTGAAAGGATTAGCTGCACAAGCTAAGTCTTTCCATTTCCACAATTGTGTTCATAAAGCTTTTGTATGTTGTAACATTAACTCAAATTCATCTTTTGTTTTGCTCCTATTCTTTCCAACATTAATCACTTGAATGAATGAAAAATTTGTTCTGTATCTTCAATTCTTACATGATCTTGCACATCCTAGGCTCTAATGTTTTTCTCATCACTGACGTGGAGCCTCTTTTAACCGGCAAGCTCGCTGATTGGAGGACGGTCCATGATGTCTGCTGCAGCTGCGGCGCTACGTTGCAGCGTCGGGTCAATATCAGGCAACTTAGGAATCTGAGCCAAGAGATCGATGGTGCGTCGTAACAGCCGAGCGAGATCACCTTCGTCCATTGCACATTCCATCATCATTTCTTTCCAGCTCAATCCAGAAGCCCAAGCTTCAACCATACCAGAGAACTGAATATCCAAACAACAAGAGATCTCAACCTCGTGCTTCTCTTGAAGCTTGATAAGAGAGGTTCTCTGTTCTTCCAAGAAGTTAACCACGTCTATAACTGTATCAGATGGCTCGTATATATAGTTGTTGTCTCTCCAAGGTCGAACTTTAATGCCTTCAGAGACTAAACTTGCACACACGCCAGCTAGTTGAGGAGGCTTGAGATCCACCAGAACTTTATTCCGGAGCACCATTGCAAGCCAGAGCTCGTTCTCTCCTCGGATTGCAGCAGCTGTCTCTCCCAAAGGAAATATCAAGTGTGTGTTAATGTCCAATGCTCTGCTCTCGTGAATCACATTGCTTATGCGCATGAAATCTTTCCAACCAGACGGTTCGATCTGCTCTAAACGGTTTATGAGACGCCTCGATCTCGACTTGAGCCGTTTCATCTTCTCAACCGTCAGCTTAGCGTTCTCTAGGATTTTCTTGTATTCTCTGAACCCTGCTGACCGAGATATCCTCTTCTTCAAACGCGACACTTTGCTCCTTTGTTGCTGGTATTGTTCCGCAGCGTTATCATACTCTTGGGACATATGCAACACCTCGTCTTCTTCAGAAAGACTGCTTAACACAGGTACGTTTAAGCTCCAAGACCATGTCTCTAAAGATCCTTCCATCCTCCAAATACTTCCAAGTCCGGATTCAGCTAACTTATCCCACTGCATATCTGCTTTATCGAGAAGAGCCTTCATGATTTCTCGAGGCAAAGCATCTCCTATCGCTAGAGCAATGTTAGGGAAACCAGTCCTGTAAACAGTCTTTATCCACCTCTCAGTAAAGAGATACCATGAGTTATCAGAGCCAAGAGCCACATAGTAAGATGGTTTCACAATAGGCTTTTCAAGCTCATCAGCTTCTCGCTCATCCTCGATCACGTTCAATCCAAAAGACTCGTCCAAAGACATCATCTTCTGAAGCTTTGAACCGTTAAACGAATCGATATGTCCTAAGTAAACAGCAGGGACTGACTGTTGCATCCCTTCAGAATCTTTGAACTCCAGACATATAAACGGTAAGTTTCCCTCCTCCATCCCTTTTAGAAGCGGTTTTAGAGCTGAGAACCTTTCGAGTTCCATCCTTCTTCGTGATTCAGAACGCTTGCGTTTCTCTTCCCGAAGCTCTTCCTGAAGTACAGTGATCTCCTTGTATTCCTTCGGTGAAAGAAGTTTCCTACTCTTCTTGTCTATCGCTTCATCGCTTATCTCTGATGTCAGAATCTCAATCTTCTTGTCGATTTCAGCAAGCTCCTCCTTGGCAGCAACCATCACATTACTGCTCACATAGTTTCCAAAACTCTTCTCAACTAACTTCTTGGCTTCTTCCAGACTTCTCCCAGCTTGTAAGACTTTCCCTTCCTCAGTTCCATTTGATTTACGAGTAACTTTTGACCCAGCTACAAGATTCAGCACCATGCCATATGAAGCAGTAAACTGTGACACGAGGGGCTTTACTCCAGCAAAGACAAGTTTGCAGCACTCTTCAGCGCCTTCAAAAGCAGTCTGGACAAGCACAGTGTAACCCTTCTCATCAATGCCTCTACGTCCAGCACGTCCAGCCATCTGGAACAACTCGTTAGGACCCAACTGTATCCGTTCATTACCAGCCTTTTTCGTCAGAGACGAAATAACAGCTGTTCTTGCCGGCATGTTTATTCCGGCAGCAAGTGTCTCGGTAGCAAAGACGACTTTAACTAGTCCTCGCTGAAACAATTCCTCTATGAAAGATTTCCAAAGAGGTAGACATCCAGCATGATGTGCAGCAATTCCTCTTAGCAGTCCTTTCTCCGCACTTTCTCTCACTGCATCTGGATAGAGAATACGAAACTTCCTCAGGGCCAGCTCAACTTCACCCTTCTCGCAATCATCTAAAAGCTGAAAATTTTCAACGTACTGTACAGCTGCATCACATCCTCTACGGTTGAAAATGAACCATATCGCCGGTAACATATCTTTCCCCTGGAGATGCCATAATGTGTCGCTAATTTGAGGTACCTACAAGTTCAGACTCAGCTCAGTCAGTTACTAATCATGTGAAGTTAAAACTCATAATCGATACGAACATATAAGGAACTTAGGAAGCACAATGTAAGACCTGTGAACGGCGAATCTTGTTTATCTCATTCTTTGAAAGAGGATAATCAGACATGTTCACGAGGCTGTTGTAGCTCGTATCACTTTCTCGTTTTCTAGACCTCCTTCCCCTACGCCTGTCATCATCATCACGAAATCTAGCCTCGGAGGCAGACATTTGCAAATAATTGAGAGACAGCTTCCTGCTCCAATAAATAAAAGCATCTTCCAGTTATTATCAGAGAAAAATATTCTACACGACATGTTGATAATAAAATCATAGAGTTGAACCTGTTCACGTGTGTCCCTTTCTCATCAAGCAGAGGTAGTAAAGAATGCTTTGTTGAGAAGAACCAAGTTAATGGCACCGGGCGTCTTGTCGACGTTACCAGCTCAGTTTTCCCATGTATCTGAGGACAAATCACAGCAGCGGCAAATGAACCTAAGGATTACTGCAGCTAAATTACTAGTACAGTAGTTAACATGGCATGAGGTGCATTATTATAACTCCTTATGATAGGAACATGATAACGACTCACCTCACCGATCCAACCAGCTAATTCATCAGGGTTTGCTACTGTAGCTGATAGGCATATAAGTTGAACCTTTTTGGGGCAATAAATGACCTGAACATAGTGAAAAACCAGAATCTAAATGAGACACTCCACAAGATAGTCCTTAGGAGGAAATAAGAGAAAAGGTTGGAAGCAGAAGCACTCACTATCTCTTCCCACACAGTCCCTCTAGATATATCGCTTAAATAATGAACCTCATCCAAAACAATTGCATCAACATGAAAAAGTCCAGTTCCTGAAGAAGCCATTCCAACACTACAGATTTTGGGGTTAAAGAAGCTCCTCAACAAACCAGACACACAAAAGAATTGTAATTGATAGAAGTCCAAATGAAGAAACACCTTTGATACAACATGTTGCGGAGAATCTCTGTAGTCATGATCACAATCTGAGCGTCTTTGTTAATGGCAGAGTCACCTGTGAGTAGACCAACATTATCATCGCCAAATGTCTCCCTACAAACATTTCAGCGATTATAGTTGCTTCTCACAACCTCCTCATAGTGTTAACAGGAATCACGATTACCTAAACTCGCGAAACTTTTGATTAGAGAGAGCTTTAAGCGGAGTAGTGTAAAACAACCGGCGACCTCGAGCCACCGTAGCAACAGCCGCTGCTTCAGCTATCAAAGTCTTCCCACTACTCGTCGGAGCAGAAACCACCACAGAAGAACCTCTCAGAAAAGCCTCAATCGCCAATCTCTGACACCAAAACGATTCAATTTTCAGATTCCATAACCTCCAATTTCCACAGAGCAACGGAACGAAAAATTGACATTAAGCAAACCTGAAACTTGTCGATTCGAAAATCGTAGATGGAAATGAGCTCATCGATATCAATCATCTCAACTCCGAAATCCCGAACGAGGCTACGAAGCTTCTCCACCCTCTGCCACCTAAACTCGACGCGTTGCCGAGACGATTCCGCCGGCAAATCAACCGGAAACTCGGCTTCATCGTCGCTATTCCGAGCTTCGTCGCTAATATCTTCGTACTCGTCAGCGGCTTCATCATCTCCGTCGTCATCCTCGTCCTCATCTTCTTCTTCCTCCTCCTCGTCCTCGTCGTACTCCTCTGAGAGCTGAGACTGCGACGGTGAGAGAGAATTCAATGGTTTGAAGGAAAGTTGTGAGAAACGTGTCGGAGTGAAGATTGGGGATTTGGTGAAGTAAAACCCTTGGGAATTAGAGAGAGAGCGATGGAGAGAAGGGAAATGGAAGAAATTGAAGGAAGAAGCAGTGAGGGAGACGACGGGAAGAGTGTTCATGTTGAGCGCATTTGGAATTTGAGATGGATTGATTTTTGGTCTTTTGGATATTACACCCATATATTTTTCTTTTTTTCCACATATTTCCACGATACTACACTAGAAACTCTATAAAATAATACTAATAATTTGATAAATTCTATAAAATAATAATTTTCTTCGGTACTAAATCAGTCCAATGTAAAAAATAGCAAAATTCGATAAAATAATATTCAAATCATAATATTTTTGAAACCTCTATGTAAATATATGGTCTTAATAATATCATAAATTACTAATTACCATAAAGGTGGGAAAACGCATATTTTATTCATGAACTATATGAAATTCCACATTTTATTACCCTAATCTTGATTGCACAAATAATTCTTCAAATTATTGTTGACTTTACCAAATCGGATTTCAATTAGTCAAACATTAACATGGAAATGGATTCCGTTGAATTTGTAATATTATCCGTCTAGATTTTCAGTTCTAAACTCAGAATTTTCAAATCTAAAAACTTTAATGGAATTTCCGCCTTTCTTCGGAAATGTTTAGCAATTTTCAACCAGTTTCAGGCCCGAATTTTGAATTAATACAATCCCTAAAATATGTTGGAATTTGCTAAAAATTGTCAAAGTTTGTGCAATAAAATGTGCATTTTCCCACATAAAGGTAGTGTTTTCAAAACCAGACCGAACCGAACCAGTGGTCAGACGAGATTCAATCATGAATCGGATGTATTTTTGGATTGGGTTACGATTAAAACTTATAGTAGATAGTTAGATTGGTTAAATTCCGGTTCGTTCAACAAAAAACTAAAAATTGGTGGTCTATTAAATCGTATTAAACTAGTTTTTCTAATTAAACAATCAAATTTTATTTTTCTTAATTCCCAATTTTTCAATAAGGTGGGATTATAAAGAATTTATACAAATGATTTTCCAATAATGATCATTCCAAGTACCTTAGATTTTAGATGATTTTTGCAGATGTTAAATTCAATAAAAAATGATTTGAAAAAAAAGAAATATCCTCTCAAAATCACCTTTAATCTCTCAATCGTTTCCGATTATGAAAAAGTTTGTTCTGGTACACTTCAAGCTAGAGAATGTGCAAGCAATCAAAGAGCTTGACATCTTAACGATGTTAAGGAAATGCCTCCCAAACCCTCTTCCCTGGTAAATATTTATACCCTTTTCAACAACAAGAGCATCTGCAAGTAGAGATGCCCGAGGGAAGCTGCCTCCAGTTCTATAGAATCAATCTGAGGCTGCTAAAGCTCTTTTTAGCTCAGAGAGGAATGCTTGACATGATAGAGAGAAAAATGAAGAAGGCTACTAGATTGAAGAGATGAGAGAACAATTAAAGATGCATAAAAAAACTGAAGTTATTCTTGAGATTGATCAACAATTTGCATTCGAATAGAGTTAACCAGCTCTGGCTCCGTGAGTCTATAAGAGATTTGGTAGACTTGGATCTTAGTAGAACCAGTTATCATCTATGCAATCAGCATTTATAGCTTTACTAGTATTTTGCCCATGCTATGCACCGGCATGGAGCTTTATTTTCATCTTCTGAAACCCAAAATTGAGATGAATTGAATTAATAACAATTGGGCATCTAACTAAATCCCCAAATCTTATTTTGGTAATTTATTTTATTACGCTAATCATTTGATTTTGTAACAAATAATTTTATGAATAATAGATTAAATTGATCTTCTTTTAGTGACATATATCTATTAACAATGGAATTATATAGCTATAAAAATTGTTGTGTGATTCTGTTTTTAGAAATTGTCAACTCAAACAAATAAAATGCAAGAAAGATAAACTCTTTACATGAAAAACGCATAAACTGAACAAAAGATTGATAATTTATCTTCAAATGCATAAACGCAAAAACCAAAAAAATCATGACTAAAAGTCTAAAAAATTGATCATTTATCCTCAACAAAGATAGATCTTTTCCCTCAACATAAATGTACCTACAGATGTAATCTCTCCTCTCCGGTTTGATCAACCAAATCATTTTATTAATACAGTATCACATACTTTATAAAGATATATAAAGTAAATAGATTGACTATCTCTTTCCAAAACAAATTGACTAGCATCTGCCAAAATTTTAAACCTTGGTTGAATAGTCTTTATACAAAAATAAACAGTGGAAATCTTGGTCCTTGGAGATATGGTTTACTAATCATGTGTTTTTTCAGACTTATTTGTATACGTTTTAGAAAAATAAAATTGAGATTCTTTCTTGCATTTGACATTTGAAGAGAGACGGAGAGACAGAGAGGCGTTTAGAATTTAAAAACGCCCTTTTGCGTTACGAAAAAACGTTGACACACTCTCTCGCTTTCTCTCTTTTACAAAATCACTCAAAAACATTCGCCTTTTCTTTCTCTCTACTGCAAAAACCTCTCAAAACCAAAATCGCCGGCAGCGGAGAGAAATCAGAAATGGCACTATCACGACTCTCTTCTCGATCCACCAACCTCCTCCAGCCATTCGCCACCGCCTTACCCACCACTCTCCGCCTCCGCATTTCCACAGACACCTCACCGAACAGTCGAGACCTCAGTCCCGTTCACATCTCACCTCTGCGAAGCTCCGTCGCGAGTATTGGTTTGCGAGAACAACCATTGTGAGTAATTTTGATTTTTGCTTTTGTGATGGAGCTGTGTTGTTGCCGACTGTAGTTTGGTTCGATTGAATGATGCTCTGTTGCAGACGGAATGGGAACGGCTGAGTGGATCGAGGTCTGCTAAGTCTCCAGCTCATTTCAAGCGTGGAGACTATGTTCCTGGCTTGAAGGTGAGATTTTGAAGTTTCTTTTAGTCTTTTGAGCTTTGGATGTTGCAATGTAGCTATGGGCCCTATGGCTCTTTTGGTTGGTTGTAGAGTAGACTTGTGAAATTAAGTTATGGAGCAGGAAAGGCAAAACCTTTTTTGTGATTTCTAAATCTTTTATGCATTTGGATGAGTTTAGGTGATGGGTGAGAACTTTGTTGAGGAGGATTTTGTTCAAAAGTGTCTATCTTTGTAGTTTGAATGATGCAATGTAGCTATGAGCCAATGACAGCCTCGTTTGGATGTTGTATAGTAGCCTTTGTGCAAATCAGGATTCTACTGAAATGAAGATATGGGTCAGGAATTGGAGTGTAGGATAAGATTTCACACAGAGATTGAAAGAGGAAAGACAAAACCTTTTTGTGACTTCGAAATCTACTATGCAGTTGGAAGGGTTTAGGTGATGAGTACGGATTTTGTTGAAATTCTCTATCTTTGTTGTGTTTCAGCTAAGTTCGCTAGTTAGTGAGTGATCATCTTCTGTTTTTTTTGTGTACTTAGGTGGATGGTATGGATGCAGCACTGGCTGTGAAGCAAGCGTGTAAGTTTGCCAAAGAACACGCGCTCAAGAATGGACCTATTGTAAGTTTACACTATCATCATTTTCCATCAATACACATTACAACCTCTTTGAATTCTTTTTTTTTTTTTGGGGGGTTTCATTGTGGTCTAAACTGCTCCTGTTACTTCTCTAAATCAGCATTGCATTTACATTTTGTTTGAGCAGATTCTTGAGATGGACACATACAGGTACCACGGTCACTCTATGTCCGACCCCAGGAAGCACTTACCGTACACGTGATGAGGTCTCAGGCGTGAGGCAGGTTAGTTATTGTCTTCTCTCCTAAGAATGCTGCTCACTCACTCAATCATTACAATTTCAAACCTCTTAATCTGTATAGCTTGTGAACTTTTTTAGGTCAATGTATTTCAAAAAAAATATTGAGGCGTCCTACATCGGATCAGTCCGAGTAATTTGGGAGGAGAAGTGAACTTATAATTATAAATAGAGTCTAGTTCTTTCTTTCCAAATCACGCAGCCGCGCCGCTATTCCTTAGATTTTGTTACAGTTGTTTTCCTAGGGTTTCGTCCTCAAATGTCAGAAGGTTCTCGGAGGAGTGGGCGGAGTGGTAGAGTGGTCAGTGTTACTCTAGGTAGCGGCGAGATACGTTTCTTCTTCATCACACAGTTGGTATTTGACTTATTCTCTGGTAAAAGGGAACATGTTAAGTTCTTTTTCATGTTAATGTGTGAGAGTACTAGCTTGCAGAGAATCTGATTTGTTGCGTTTATGAGAGTGCTTTGGAAATCTGGAAATACATGTATTACGAAGAACATATTAGTTTAGAAAAATGGTTCATTTGTGTTATATTTCTTTTGCAGGTGGTAAGAAGAGAGGAAAGTGTTGACTTGCGCAGAGCTAGAATGAAGCGGTCTGTCGAAGAAGAAGAGAATCAGTCAGATACTTCTCTTCAGGGAAGTGATGGAAGTGATGTGGACAGTAAATAGTGATTTTTCTTATGATTTTTGCATTGCCAACATTTTGTTTTTTAACAACGTATTGCCAACATTATATGGTTGATTTATGTTAGGCTGATAAATAGTTGAAGAATCGACAGTCATTTCTTTAGTGCGGGTTTGATAAATAGTCAAGAGACATGTGTTCTGTTACCATAATTTGAACAATTATTTTGCTCAAAAGTTCAAAACTGAGCGCGCGATCTACAACGATAAATATTTTTCATTTCACATAAATTATAAGCTTTGATGTTTGTGCATCAAGAGATATTTCTTTCTTTTCATACACGCGGCCTAGAGATAGTGTACAACTTAACGAATGAAGTTTTTAAATCAAAAGGTCTTTTTAGCCTTTTTTTTTTTTTTCATTGTCTTCTAAATGCAAAGCCTGGTTAACCTCTAATGCCAGTGGTTAAACTTTCTCCTCTCCGGTTCGATTAACCCAAAACATCTTATATATAATTAGGGAGTTGCTCTCTCCATCTAGAGTGTCCACATCAGCACAAAAAATTAAATTGTATTTAAAATATTTATTAAATATATGACTATTCATATTTCTTTACATTTATTCATATTTAATAAAAATATACAAATAAATTAATTAATTAATAGAAAGTATGTGATAATTTGATGTTAAAAGTTATCAAAAAGTTGGAATATAAAATAGAGATGGAGTAAAGAAATATTTAACTTCAAATAGTATATATTTACCTTTTTATTCAAAGGATTATCCTATTTAAAAATGTTATAATGTGTTTACAAGTTAAAAAGTTGAATATAAATTAATTAAGATAATAGAAAGCTAATGAAAAATTAGAGTTAGAGTTTGTTTTTCTAAACAAATAGAAATGGAGTTTTATATGTAAATTTAATTGTAGTGAAAAACAAGAATATGTTTACAAATTTTAACCTTCAAAGTCAAATGCATATACATATTTATAAATTTTAACCTTCAATCAAATACATATACATGTTTACAGTCTAATAGAAGTAAAAAAAAAGTAAACAAACATAATATTTATAACATGATAAAATTTTAGAAATAGAAAACTCGAGATAAAGGTGTTAATATCCTAATAAATTAAAAAAAAACAAATTATTCATATTTTTTAGTGTTAGTGGTTGAGTTAACTCAAAACATAACAAAAACATGAAAGTTAACACAAAACCATCATAATTCAAATCAACGAGTATAAATAAAATTAAACAGAAAAACTATCGCAAACAACCCCGCGCTTGCGCGGGGCTTCAAACCTAGTTTTATTAATACAGTACCACATACTCTAAAGATATACTCCCTCTGTCCCATATTATAAGCTGTTTTTGTATAATGTATCTGCAATTTTCTGGATGTATCTGGACCATCCAGATACATCCAGAAAATTGCAGATATATTATGCAAAAACAGCTTATAATATGGGACAGAGGAAGTATAAAGTAAAAGATATATAATCCAATAAAATGATTTTTCAAAATGCTAGATCCAATAAGAGGTGATTTGAAAGAAATAAAAATTTCTTCTTAAATTATCAATTCAATAAGCCCACTAGACATATTCCATGAAACATGCGTTTCTACCCAGTAAAAAGGGAAAAAGTATTCTCACTTCTCATTTCTCACTTCTTACTTCTCAGAGTCGGATCAATGCTATTTTTGAATCTGTCTATCATTTCCAATTATGGACGAGTTTGCTCTGTTGCACTTCAAGCTAGACGATGCGCAAGTAATTGAAGAGATTGGCATCTTAAGGGTTTCAGATAAAAGTTTGTTGGAGCTTTCCCACGTTTTTATGCGGAAACCAAATATTGTTTACGGATCCCGGTCACTCAATCCTATTAAAATAATGGAAGTTTGATGACAAAATCCTAATAAAAATAAAAATCAGACAATTTAAATTTGATACCAAATAAACAAAAGAGACTCATAAATCTCAATTCTCAGATAAACAAAAGATATTCATTCCCAAACCTCACGCTTAGAGAAAAAATCCCGATTGCCTAATCTGGGACTCACACAATGCCAACATATTTGAGTGATGCACGAAAAAACACATATGCGTAAGACAAAAAGTTAGACCAATTCATAGAGTCCATACTCAACTTGCACCTAACACAAAAGGGAACAAGCAATGCCCAACGAAATTAAGTATATAAATAAGGTGGGTTTTAGATCTCAAACTTATGTATATCATAAGAAAATAATTAATTTCTTGAATAATAACAAAACCTTCTGCAAAAACAAAACAATTTGTAAATTCCCTAGCTCTATTCTATTTAGGAAAAATAAATATGTCAGCAAATAACTTGAATCCCAATCAATCATAGTTTAAAAAACTAAATTACCATGAGAAGTTTGAAACAAACTCAAACACTAAATTCTAATAGAATTGGGTGAAGAGAAGAATCAGAAGATACATCCATGAATTTCCCTCCTATCAAAATAATAGTTTTCTATCAAACAAAAAAAATTGGAAAGAATGACTGACCAAAAAAAAAGATAACCGAAGACATTGTGGAAAGTGCAAGATTATTAATGAGTTTGAATAGCTCAAAGGCATAGAAGATTGCAAGAACATTCAATTATGGAAAGTAATGCCGATGAGTGAAAAATATCTGCTCTATGTCAGGAAAGCTCGACTACTAATATGAGAAATGAAAAAAAAAAAAAAATTCTCTTGGTCGTGGGCAGAAAAATGAGTGAATTACACTTTGGGTGACTTTTAGACTTCTCTTTACACAAGACATTTTGACAGAGGTGGACTTTTCTTTGGCTGGTAGTGAGTGGAAACTTCTGTTTTACCCTTAATGAGGAAGAAGGTGAAAATACTGGAAATTGATAAAGTAAATCACTTTTGTGCGTTTAATATAATTCCGGCGATGGCAGATTGCCGGAAAAAATCCATACATTTTTTTGGCGGACCTCTTGTTGTTCGATTGGAAGACTTGCGTTTACAATATCTATAGCTTTTTTCTTAACACTTTCATTGATTGAGCAAAGAACAAAGACAAGTTCGTAGTCTGATACCAAAAGGCACCCAACAAAGAAAAAACCACAAAAGCTCAAAAACAGAGGAGCGAGAATAAATAAAACAACAGCAACGATTGCAGAGATTAAAATGCTACTCATAAACCCAGAATTTTGAAGGAGGCTTTACTGATGGGGGCCAGCTGCTTCTACCTCAAGGAGATCGACTTAGCTTTTTGGACAATTGAACAATGGACGCTTTTTTATGTACAATTAATTTATTATTCACGATCTCGACATTGGACAGTTCTATGATGAACTCAAATCATCCAAACTAAACATGTCCATGAACTCAATTTCAACGAGAACATGTAACGAGAAAAGTGTAGCTCTTCTTGGATGAAATGTTTTTTGTACGAATGTGAATTCAATGTAGTTCTAAGATTCTCTGGTTCGACACTACGTAAGAACTGAGTCTCACTTTGGTAATCAATCAGCCTAAATATATAAACATGATTTCAACTCTTACTCCATGACTTAATTTCTTATATATTGTCCTTTCTTCTTTTGATAAGCCCTGAAAATCATAAGAAAAAAAATTAGTTGAGAATAAATAGATGAATCAATAATCACAGTGAAACAAGAAATCGTTTTAAAAGTATCATGGAGTAGAAAACATGGGCAAAGACTTATAAACCGAATATCAAAAGCTCACATGAGTCGAAGCAACATTAAAGAACATTAAAGCAATTCATCCACATAAACTTGTCCATGGTCTCAAAGCATCCAAATTAAAATATCCACTAGAAATTATCCATGTCTAAGTGTCCACCAGAAACTATCCACGAAGAGAAGATGAGGGTTGTTTGCTGATTTGGAGACACATGGATCTATCCATGATATAAAGAAATCAATGTATATTGTTTGCTGGATTTTGAATTAAATCAACCCAGAAAATAAGTAATGCAACTATGCAAGATGAGTTAGTGGTGAACATTTAACATAGAAGAATTGGATAAATATGAACTGATTCACGACTGTATTGTCTAACCAATTGGATATACATACTTTAATCAGGTCGTGAGCATGAACCAAAAAAGTTATAAGATTTACATGGGAATTCGAATTTGGTACTTTCCATATCGCGAGAGGAAGTCGGAGAATATAATTTTTGACTCAGATTTTCGGTGGATGATATGTGAGAGGGAGAAGAGTTAAGGGTCAGATTGAGGGAAAAAGAAAACGACACAAATTGTATGAGAGAGGAAAAGAGTGAAGTCAGTAGATGGAGAAACTTACGACTTCGAATCGGCCAAATCTGAGAGAGTGAATCGGTGACGACGGCGGAGTTAGAGTTTGCTAAGTCGGCGATACGCAAATGTCGTGAAAGTGGAGAAGAAGATGAAAAGTGAAAATGGTAAAATATGAAGGTAAAAGAAATAGAAGGAGGATAGCTATGTCAATTCATGTGTCCAAAGTCCACCACAATCACGAAGTCACTCTTTGTGTAAGAGCAAACTCAAAAAGTCTCTCTAGATATAATTTTCTCGCAGAAAAATAGATTTCAAATGTTCTTTTGATTTTGGTCAAAGCAGTCAAAATTTGAGAATTAACTAAAAATCAGCATCGTTTTTTTTTACTTCAAGTTTTTAAATAATACTAACAGTGGAGAAATACTGAAAATCATGTTTAGTATTGCCTGAACATAAGATTTTTTCTCATGATTTTTGCATTGCCAACATGTTTTACGTATTGCCAACATTATATGGTTAATTTATTTTAGGCAGATAAATAGTGAAGAATCGACAGTCTTTTCTTTAGTGTAGATTTGATAAATAGTGAAGAATCAACATTAGATATGTGTTCTGTTACCATAGTTTGAACAATTCTTTTGCTCAAAAGTTTGTGCGTCAAGAGATATTCCTTTCTTTTCATACAAACTGCCTAGAGTTAGTGAAAATGACTATATATATATAAATGACGGATTAGCCAATGTTACAACTTAACGAATGAAGTTTTTGGATCAAAAGGTCTTGTTTAGTCGTTTTTTTTTATTTCCATCGTCTTCTAAAAGTGTTTAACATCTAATTCTAGATTTCACTCTTATGATTTTAGTTTTGTCTCTCCGGTTTGATTAACCAAATCATTTTATTAATACAGTACCACATACTCTAAAAGTAAATAGATACGCGATCAAATCTTTCCAAATAATTTTTTTTGACTAGCATCTACCGAATTTTAAAGCCTTGGTTAATACTTAATAGTCTAAATACAACAATAAATGGTGGACATCTTGGCGATGGTTTACTAATCATGTATTTTTTCAGACTTATTTGTATACGTTTTAGAAAAATAAAATTAAGATTCTTTCTTGCATTTGACATTTGAAGAGAGAGACAGTGGCGTTTAGAATTGAAAAACGCCCTTTTGCGTTACGAAAAAACGTTGACACTCTCTTTCTTTATTGATTCGCTTTCTCATTTTTTTTTTTTTCAAAATCACTCAAAAACATTCGCCTTTTCTTTCTCTCTTACTGCAAAAACCTCTCAAAACCAAAATCTCCGGCAGCGGAGAGAAATCAGAAATGGCACTATCACGACTCTCTTCTCGATCCACCAACCTCCTCCAGCCACTCGCCACCGCCTTACCCACAACTCTCCGCCGCCACATTTCCACAGACACCACCCAATTAACAGTCGAGACCTCACTCCCATTCACATCTCACCTCTGCGAAGCTCCCTCGCGCTCCGTCGAGACCTCGTCCAAAGAGCTCCTCTCCTTCTTCCACGACATGGCTCTGATGCGGCGGATGGAGATCGCCGCCGATTCTCTCTACAAAGCCAAACTCATCCGCGGATTCTGCCATCTCTACGACGGCCAAGAGGCAGTCGCGATCGGGATGGAGGCGGCGATTAACAAGAGAGACGCGATTATCACGTCGTATCGAGATCACTGCACGTTTATCGGCCGTGGCGGTGGGCTTTACGAGGCGTTCTCGGAGCTTATGGGGAGGAAGAGTGGTTGCTCTAAAGGTAAAGGAGGATCTATGCATTTCTACAAGAAAGATGCTTCCTTTTACGGTGGTCATGGGATTGTTGGAGCTCAGGCTCCGTTGGGATGTGGTTTGGCTTTTGCCCAGAAGTATTCTAAGGAGGAAGCTGTGACCTTTACGTTGTACGGTGATGGTGCGGCGAATCAGGGACAGTTGTTTGAGGCTTTGAATATCGCTGCGCTTTGGGACTTGCCTGCGGTTTTGGTTTGCGAGAACAATCACTGTGAGTGGTGTGTTGTAACTTTGTGTTTTTGTGATGGTGATGTGGTGAAAATGTTGTGTTGATTGATTGAATGATGCTCTGTTGCAGATGGGATGGGAACGGCTGAGTGGAGGTCTGCTAAGTCTCCTGCTTATTTCAAGCGTGGAGACTATGTTCCTGGCTTGAAGGTGAGGTTTGAAGTTTCTGTTAGTCTTTTGAGCTTTGGATGTTGCAATGTAGCTATGCCTCGTTCGAAATTTATACAATGCAAATTAGAATTCTACTTAAACTAAGATATGGAGCAGGAATTAGAGTTTAAAATAAGAATTTAGACACAAATTGAAAGAGAAAGGACAAACCTTTTTGTGATTTCCAAATCTTTTATGCACTGGTGGGGTTAAGGTGGTGGATGGATGCTGTAGAGTAGAGTTGTGGAAATTAGAATTCTACTCAAATTAAGATATGGAGCAGGAATTGGAGTGTAGGATCACAATTTAGACACAAAATGAAAGAGGAAAGAGGAAACCTTTTTGTGATTTCTAAATCTTTTCATTTGGATGGGTTTAGGTGATGGCTGAGAACTTTGTTGAGGAGGAATTGATACGATTTTGTTCAAAAGTCTCTATTTTTGTTGTTTGACCAATCAAATCATTTTCTCTGTTTTACTTGTCTGGGGGAGTGTGTGACTGAGTTTAAGCTAAGTTGGTTAGGTAGTGATCATCTTCTGTTTTTGTGTACTTAGGTGGATGGTATGGATGCACTGGCTGTGAAGCAAGCGTGTAAGTTTGCCAAAGAACATGCCCTCAAGAATGGACCTATTGTAAGTTTGCACTATCATCTTCCATCAATACATAATACAACTTCTTTGAAGTCAACTTTCCAATAATCGGAATAGATCAGACAAGCATACCATCCTTTCATGTGTGGCATTTTTGTTTTGGAGCTAGTATGCTTTACTGGAACATTGATTGCTTGTGTACATAGTTGGGATTTTGGATTGAAAGTTGTGTTTTATTCAATTGGTGGGAGAAAACTGTTTCTGTCTTTGATTACAGTAATGTTAAAATCTTGTTAACATGTCTCAATTTAAGGGAACTGACCAGTATGCATTTTCCTTTTGTTGGAGCAGATCCTTGAGATGGACACTTACAGGTACCATGGTCACTCTATGTCTGACCCAGGAAGCACTTACCGTACACGTGATGAGATCTCAGGCGTCAGGCAGGTTAGTTATAATCTCTCTTCTTTCCTAAGAATGCTTCCCACTCTATCGTTACAATTTCAAACTTCTTAATCTCTATACTTAATGACCTTTTTAGGTGCGAGATCCAATTGATAGAGTGAGAAAGTTGATCATATCTCACGACATAGCCACTGAGAAAGAGCTTAAGGTACTCACTGACACTCATACATAACAAAACCTCTCCTTTTCTGATTATTTAGTCCACAGGAAGAAGTAAGAAACTTAATGCACTCTTTAATGTCTTACTTTAGGATATGGAGAAAGAAGTGAGGAAAGAAGTAGATGCAGCAGTAGCTCAAGCTAAGGAGAGTCCGATACCGGAACCATCAGAGCTTTTCACAAATATATACGTCAAAGGTTTCGGATCTGAGGTAACTTCAATTCCCTTAGTATCCTTTTGGAAAATGTTAAGTGAGTTTGTCTTTGAGTTATATGCATTTCTCCTTGCAGTCGTTTGGAGCAGACAGAAAGGAACTGAGAGCAACACTTCCTTAACCAAGAGATCCCGGTTCATTGAAATCCCCAAAAACAACTAAAAACTTTGAACCAAACATTTTGGTTCTCTCAACTCAATTCAACTGTAGAGCTTTCTCATCTTCATTTCAATAACTCGTTCTTGATTGTTTTGGAAACACTGTGAGTGTGCAACAAATTGGCTCAAAGGCATTGATTCCATCGATTAAAGGAACAAAATTATCTCCTAAATTTGTTTTCGGATAAAAACCCATTTCTCTAAACACACAGAGACAATAAACATATAAATGAAGATCTATTTGTTTGTCTCTTGTAATTCAAAACATACTCAAACAAAACTTGCATTGCCTCGGAGTTAGGATAAGAGCAGAAACGAGAAGAGAAGGCAAAGAGCTGGTTCAATACTGGCTTTGTTTTGTCTGTTTATATCTGTCTTGTTGTAGTAACATAACAGCAAGTGGAGAGGTGAAGACAAAGTTCTTAATGAACCCGTGTTGTACTCGTTAAGCAAAAGCATCATTCGTAAATCATAAATTTGTTGTCACACACCAAAACAACACATTTATTAATTATATACCAAAGTTTAAAAAAAAAAAAAAAGGAAAAGCATCTACCACCTTCGTCCGTATCCAAAACGACATCATTGTTCCATCACCTAACTTCAATTTATTACTACACCCACACTATCAGAGCTAACTCTACGTCTCTCTACCAAATTCAAAACTTTTTTGTTTCCATACATTGAAGAAAAACAAATTAATGTTTTTTGTTGTTGTTTTTATAATTTCCCGTAGATGGAAATGTTTACACGTCAAGTAGTTTCCGTAGTTAGTTTGGCTTTCCTGATACGTTTTGGTTGGTTTTTTTTATCATCAGTACATGGCAGACAATTGTAGTGCTTATAGTAAAACTAAAAGAACTCAAATAATCATAAGGTTTGTTCTTTATTCTTGTTAACACAATTAACATTGGTGGCCTATAGAAACATTACTAAACTCACACTAACAAATGTTTATTTTTTTGCTCGACAGTATCTTAAAAGGGATTTTAAAATCCTAAGATATGAAGAACTTTCTCCATCACACAAAGAAAAAAGGAATATTTTTCGTATAACAACAATAAATACCTAATTCGTTAAGTAGATGCTCGTCGTTTTATATTCGGAATCAAAGGATTTACAGTACACACGAAAATTTGGTTTTTGAATATAGATTTGGGAAATGAAAATTTGAGATTTGAGTGGCACACTAGTGACACATACACTAAGTGGCACCACGCAACGAGAATATTCGTAGTGAGACACGCTCGATACTCTTTCTTTATTACAACAACAACAAAAAATGTAAATAAGAGAGCATTAAAAGATTGAAGATCAATATAGTTATGTTATGTAGATGATGAAATTCAATCTGTTAAAATCTTGAAATCCAAAATTTCCTTGTTTGCGTAAGCAAAATAAAATTTTTCTACTATCACTGTAAACTAGTATTTTTTTCCTTTCTTGCCCAAACATCTTTTTAAGTCTTTACCAATATTTTTGTGGTCACCAATCCCAAATTACCGTATGAAAAGTTACTGCTCAGAAGATGAGCGTGCGGGACACGTGAGAAAGTGTGATCAGCCAATCAAAAGACTTCCCATCGTGTAATCTCAGCCGTCCATCTTTTATATCGAGCCCATACAAAGAGAAAAAAAATCCAGCTGGCTCCATCGTGTTCACAGCTGGCACAAATCGAATCACAAGTTCCAAAAGCCACAATTCAATTTGTTAACTACATCAGTTGAATAGGTAAATTACGTTGGGATCGATTTGATGAGCATAAAAACTTTCATCTTTAACGACTTAGCCAAATGAGAAAAATTAATTACTATAACGACTAAGCCACATCACTCTTAAGACGCGCTTTCATGCCGCGTGTAAGCCAAATCTCTCTCTAAAACCCGAATAAAGCCAATCTTCTTCTTCTTCTTCTTCTTCTTGCTCTGTCTTCTACATTCTTGAACTCTCTCAGCTTCACCGTTCTTGAAAAAATGCTAAACCAGTAGAGAAAGAAGCCAACAGATCTTTACTCGCTTCGATGAGTGAGGAGGAGAAAACGCGTTTTCCGATAATGCGGTTGCGTTTTCCGATGAAAACCGCGGTTTTAGCGTTTACCGTCTTCCTGATGTTTCTCTCTCAGCTCGCCGTCGGAATACGTATGATTCCGGGGAGGATCGCCGCCGTATCCGCCACCGTCGGCAGCGGATTCGACCTCGGGCCGTTCGTGGAAGCTCCGGAGTACAGAAACGGCAAGGAGTGCGCGTCGCAATCGGTAAACAGAGAGAACTTCGTGTCGTCCTGCGACCCTTCGCTCGTCCACATCGCCATGACGCTGGACTCGGAGTACCTCCGTGGCTCAATCGCAGCCGTCCATTCGATGCTCCGCCACGCGTCGTGTCCTGAGAACGTCTTCTTCCATTTCATCGCTGCCGAGTTTGACCCGGCGAGTCCACGCGTACTGAGTCAACTCGTCCGATCGACTTTCCCGTCGCTCAACTTCAAAGTCTACATTTTCCGGGAAGACACGGTGATCAACCTCATCTCGTCGTCGATACGGCAAGCCCTCGAGAATCCGTTGAACTACGCCCGGAACTACCTCGGAGACATCCTCGATCGGTGCGTCGACCGAGTCATATACCTCGACTCGGACATCATCGTCGTCGACGATATAAGCAAGCTGTGGAACACGACGTTGACCAATTCAAGAATCATCGGAGCTCCGGAGTATTGCCACGCGAACTTCACCAAGTACTTCACCACCGGGTTCTGGTCCGACCCGGGTTTATCCGGATCCTTCTCGGGTCGAAAGCCTTGCTATTTCAACACGGGCGTGATGGTGATGGATCTTGTTAGGTGGAGAGAAGGAGATTACAGAGAAAAGATCGAAACTTGGATGCAGTTGCAGAAGAAACGGAGAATCTACGATCTGGGCTCGTTGCCGCCGTTTCTTCTCGTGTTCGCAGGGGACGTTGAAGCGATCGATCACAGATGGAACCAGCATGGTTTGGGAGGAGACAACGTACGAGGAAGCTGTAGGTCTCTGCATAAAGGACCGGTGAGCTTGTTGCATTGGAGTGGGAAAGGGAAGCCATGGGTGAGGCTTGATGAGAAGAGACCGTGTCCGTTGGATCATTTGTGGGAGCCGTATGATTTGTATGAGCATAAGATTGAGAGAGCTAAAGATCAGTCTTTGCTGGGGTTCTCTTCTTTGTCGGAGTTGACGGAAGATTCAAGCTTTTTGTGAGAGTGTGTGTGTGTGTGTAAGTCTACGTTTAAGTCCACATTCTTTTACTTCTTGTTACCACAAATACATTATTTTTTTGGTTGTTTGGTTGGTTTGTGTACAAAGTGATTAGTTGAGAGGAGAGTTTGTGGAAGTCATTTTGATGAGGAGGACTAGTTAGGATAATGATTCTGGTTTGTTTTTTCTTTATATGTTGTTGTGCTGAATTCATATTCGTTTTGTAAACCTTTGCAATAAGGAATCTCAATTTTCTCTGTTGAGAGACATTTTCAGTCATAGAGCAAGTGTTGTTAGCTTGAAACACACTCATATGTGATATAATGTGTCACTGTAGCTTTGACTGTGGTTACTTGATATGGTAAAGAAAAGAGTTTGATGTCCGCAAATCATGAAGCAAAGTAGAGTAAATGAAGAAGAAAGGAGAGGAAGCGTTACGTTATTTGAATCTGAGGCCCTAACTGGTGTAAGCATAATTGCAGAATGCTGAAGAATCCAGCTGAATATTTTTTCTTTGTTACCAGTTGAGCTTAAAGTTAATTCAGCTGGAAAAACAGAAAAGCCACTAAAAGACAAAAATTGCAGAATTGGTTTATTTTTGTTTCTTTAATTTTGTGACATTACATCTATTTTCATTACTATTTAATTTACTGTATGTTAATTTTAGAAATGAAAATCCACTTACATATAATAATATTACCATTTAAACTATACATAGAGGGATATTTTTGATTACTATGTTATAGACTTATAGTACAATATATATGAATACTAATATGATAAAAAACAATTTACATTCAAAATACTTTTTTAAAGTAATTCAATATAGATAGCATGTAAAATACATGTAATTAGGATGAATATCTTACTTTTTGAAAGAATATGACTCAAATTCGTATTATTATTTTTTGGATAACTGTACATAATTTTCAAAATTAGAAATAGTTTCCATTTAATATTTTAAATATAATTTGAAAAACCTTAAAAATTTCATAGGAACAATTTGTATATTTTCATTATTTCATATGATTAGTATTACTAGACTTGTTTAATTAAACAACAATTTTTATTTCTGAGTATAACAATTTAATTATAATAAAATTTTGTTGTTTTGTTAAGAGAAATTTTGTTTAGATTTAAAAGGTTAATATATATATATATATATATATATATATATTCAGTTTGATACCACCATTTTTATTTGAATTTACAAGTTTAAAAATATTGTTGAACAAAAATCTGAAACAAATATTTTAGTTTTAGTTTACTTTTTTTTTTATTCCGCATTCAGCAACATTCAACAGTTACCATTCACATTACAAACTATTCAGCCAGATTCTACAAAAAAACTTCATTTTATTCAGCCAGATTCCGCATTCAGCAACATTCCTCGGTTACCATTTAGACCCTGAACTTTTGAAAAGTCATTAAAGAAAGGCTCATGCTCCTCGGAAATACAAGTTTTCAAACTGTACACACAATTATAGCTGTGCATTGTATCTTTAAGTCTCCACTGTACTAGTCAACCATTTGGCAAACTTCAACATTTATATAACTTCTTTTGTAAGAAGAACACATCTAACTGCAAGAATTGGGCTGTTACAGGGCTGGGCTGACATGGGCTAGTTTAGACCTCTTTTCTCAATCGGTCGCCGCCCAAGCATTAGCCAAGGCAACACCACCATTCTATCGGTTGGTCAAATAAACAAACAGTAGAAAATATTTTAAGCTGAATAATATTGTGTGATATTCACACAGTAAAAATGTGTGAAAAGTTGATGTACACTATCAGTAACTCAGTATAGTATCTTCAATCTTGGACTTTACAACTATTGAGTATTAGGCAGTTACAGATAGTTAATAATCTCTCTGGTCCCCGCTTAATAATAAGTACAGTGTACTTAAATAGTTACTATCGAACCCTTTTTGATTCGTCGGCTTTAACTTCTCACTCGTAACACTTGTTACTTTACTATTTTCCGACCAAGGTCCCACCGTCTTTTTGTCTTCACTGCTCATCCTTGTGTCTGAGCTCATCTCCTCTTCTTCTTTTATCTCTCTCTCTCTCTCTCTATCTCAAATCTGCATTGGGAATTTTCGTTCTTGATATCGAAAACAATCATTCTTTATACTTTTTTTACTTACGTCTTTCTTTGTGTTTTTGTTTCATCCCAAAGTCTCAAACTTTGATAAAGCACTGGTGAATCTTCACTTTTAAAAGGTGTTTCAACTTTTTGTTTCCATCATCATTTTTGGAACCAATACAATATTGTGGGTTATCTATATTTTCAGGTAAGCTTTATAAGATTGCGACTAGATATTCTCTTTTTCTTCTATCTTTCTTTTATTTTTGGATATGAAATGATACTTTTCTTAGCTTCAATCGTTGATGAGCGTTTTGGCTCTTTCTTTTGCTTCTTCAATTATTTGATGCGTTACTCAGTTATTTTCACAAGAATCTTTAGTTTGCTCACCATGAGGGTTTAAATCCTGTGACAGAGATTTAATTACTAAAACCAATCTTTTATTCTTTTCTTCTTCTTCCTCTTCTTTCCTTTATGACAATTCTCCTGCTATGTGCATATGTATAGGACTCTACAGTGAACCTGCAATTGCTGGACAGAAGTTGATTCTAGTTTGTTCTTTGGTTTTGTGAGTATTAAACTTGATGTGTTTCTTTTAGATTTATGCTTAATTTTGTGATAATACTGTCAATATCATATGATCTGTTATGTATTTGTGTGGTTCTTGATTAGTTAAGTGTTTACATGACTTGTTTTGTGGGTAAACAGATAATGACCGCAACTTCATCGAATGTACAAGTGTCTGTTTCGTTTGGCAAGTTTGAGAATGATGATTCACTTTCATGGGAGAAGTTTTCATCATTCTCTCCAAACAAGTACTTGGAAGAAGTGGAGAAGTTGCACACTCCAGGATCAGTAGCTCAGAAGAAGGCTTACTTCGAATCACATTACAAGAAAATCGCTGAAAGAAAAACCGAGATCATGATGGAGGAGGAGAAACAGTTGGAGAGTAATGCATCTTTCAGGTCTAGTAGTGTTCAGAACCACAGAGATACAGAGAGTGCAAATGAAGATGAAGATGGTTCGGTTATGATCGAGTCTAGTGCTTGTTATGGATCTAATGGAGAAAGTACTTCAGAAGAAGATAAGCTTGTGACCAGCATTGCTTCTGAAGTGAAAGAGACTTGTATAAATGAGCCTCTTCAAGAAACTGTGCATTACAAGGAATGTCAAAGCTCGGTTGATGCAAGGGAGGATCTGAATACCCTGAAGTTGGAGAAACTTGAAGAGATTGTTCAAACGGAGGAAAAAACAGAGTTGATTGTCCAAGTGGAGGAAGCAAGGAAACCAGAAGAGGTTGTTTGTATGGAGGAAGAAGTAAAAGAAGTTACACTAATGAAGGAGAAGAAGAAAGAGAGAGATCAGAATCTTGTCAAGAAGACAGATAAAAATGTGCAAACAAATCATACAAGAGGCTCTCTCAACGTAAATACCATTAAGCTTCTTTATACTGTATGTGTGATATCTCTTGTTTCTTCCAAATGACTGTGTTCTTGGTCTTACAGCCTGATCAGGTGACCAAGAAACCTGTAGCGAGCAAGATTGTAACTCCAAGAGTAACCAAGAAACCAGCAGCGAGCAGGAAAACTCAACCAAGCATGGCAAAGGCAACAAATAAAGCAGCATCACCTGTCTCAAGAGCCCCTAGATTTTCAACTTCTGATCCTACTTCTCTTGCTACCACCAGAAGGTCCTTGTTTATGGAACGAATGGGAGATAAAGACATCGTTAGACGTGCTTTCAAGACTTCTCAGAAGAGTTTCGACCATTTGAAACCTTCTGTTGATAAGCAAGATACAGCTCCAAAGCAGGTATTGGTCTTTTAGTATTTTAAGTGTTTTAAGATTCTGCTGGTTAGTAACTAAACATTGATGAAATGTTGCCAATGTTCTTACACCAGGTTCCTGCAAAGACAAGTACAGTTTCGACTTCAGCTACTACTGCTCAGAAAGAAAAGGGCAGGTACAAGTACTAACTCGGACTTACAATATATCTCTCTGTTTTTTTTTTATCTCCTTTTGGTTCTTGCATGTTTATTTGAGTCCTGAAGTTGTCTAATTTTTCTTGAAACAGGCTTGCGAAAACAGATGGCACGGAGATAAAAAGTTCAAACTCTCACCGTTCTTCATCTTTTGTACCTAAAAGCAACGGCGCAGCCAAGAAACAGGAGGTAACATGTTCTGATGAGCAAACCAAACTGTATCCACCTTTTCCCTCTGAGATAGCAATGTGATGGTTTAACCAAAGGCAACACTCATTAATATGTCTTCTCCAAATTCAGATATTCAGGCCTGGAGCAAGATCTGTAGAGAGGATACGATTACAGGCCAAACCAAAGGTAATACTCATTAAGGGATTCTTCAGTTTTTAAGCCTCGCAAGAGACTTCTTTTCATTACTGTTGATATACTGTCTCTATGATCATTGAGAATTGCTGTCTAATTAGGCAGAAGCAACCAATGCCAAAACTCGGAGGCAAAGTCTTGAACCTAAAGCAAAATCCACACAAGGAGCTCTTCCAAAAGGCTCTTTAGACAAAGACGGAGTACCATGATGTTTCAAGAACCTTATTCTGTAAGAGATGAGCATTGTTTTGTCTAATCTCCTGGTATCAAATATCAAATATCTCCAAACTTCTAGGGCAACATTCAAAGAGGTAAAAAGTGGAATATGTTTGTTATATAGAGAAGTCACCAAGTTTTTCCAGTCTTAGTTATCTGAGAAAAGTATTATACATTCTGTGAATGCAAGTGTATAGAGTCTCTAGACTATAAACGTGAGGATAATGTTACATATTCTGAATCATATCAGTGACAGCATAATTGAAAATCAATCTTTTTTTTTTTTTTACATTTTGTCTTCTGATCTTTGTTACACGCCTGCAAGCACATTACAGCCAAAGCCAAGTTCATCTAGGTTTTAGTCTTTTAGCGCCCATGAGAAACAAACGGTTCTGTAAACGTCAACGGGGCAATGGAGCTTGATGCAGGAGAACTGAATGCTTCAGTACCTCCTTTACTTTCTCGATCTTTCATAATTTCAAGCAAGTTATGAGGAAGCTGAGCCACACTATCCAAGAACTGAACAACACTAGACATGCTTGGCCTAATGGATGCTACCGGATGCGAACAGAGCAAACCGAGTTTCAGAACAAGTGCCACTTGCTCCTCTTTGTACTCCTGCCCAATCTTTTGATCAAGAACCTGCATTATATCTCCATTCTCCCAACACTCTAGCACCCAATCAGTCAGTACTATCTCGCTTTGCGATGCTCTTGGCAATATTGGCTTTCGTCCGCAAGCAATCTCTAGCATCACCACTCCGAATGCGTATACATCTGAGCTTGTGCTTGCCTTTCCTGTTCTTGAAAGCTCTGGTGAAATATACCCAAGCGTGCCTTCGAAGTAACAACAATGTGAGTGAAAAAAAGATCATTTAATGAGCAAAAGTGTTCAGCACAAATAAGAAAAGTACCTGCCACATGAGAGGCCTGCGGATCAATTCCGTGATCGTATAACTTTGCGAGACCAAAGTCACCAAGTTTAGCATTCATGCTTCCATCAAGAAGGATGTTAGCTGGTTTAATATCCCTGTGGATGATCACTTGCACCCATTGTTGATGTAAATAACAGAGCCCTGAAGCTACATCTTTGATGATCTTGAATCTTTGTGACCAGTCAAGACTTTCCATCTGTTGGTGATAAAGGAACTTATCAAGGCTACCTTTTGGCATGCAATCATACACCAAGTAGAGTTCACCTTTGTGTCTGTAGTATCCTTGGAGCCGAACTAAGTTAGGGTGTCTGAGACGTCCAATGGTAGCGATCTCAGCTATGAACTCTCTCATGCCCTGTCTTGAATCGTGAGAAACTCTCTTCACCGCGATCTCCATGTTAGACACTGGTAATGTACCTTTATAGACTTTCCCAAACCCGCCTCTACCTAGAACCTCACTGTCCTTAAAACCTTTTGTGGCAGTGTGTAGATCTTTGTAAGCAAACCTATGTGGACCAAACTGCACTTCCCAGTCCTCAATAACTTCCAGTAGTTTCTTCCGCTTCAGGAAAAACTATAAGCTAAGACTCAAGACGATGAGTATGGTGACGCCTGATATAGTCAAACTGATCGTCAAAACCCCTTTCTGACTCTGGATCCAAGGCGGATCGTAACGGGGAATCTTTGGAAGGCGAGAGGGATCTATATTTTGAGCTGTCCCCTTCATCTTGAACGTCCAAGCCAAAATGTAGTGAGATGCAGTTAGCAAACCAGTTGATGAAGTGAACCCAACATACATATATTCAAGCAAATAGGGAGAAAGATCTTTTTTCAGAGAAAGAAGTGGAAGCTTTGGTTTAGGGACACGAACAGGATGAAGTGTAACATTAATCTGTTTCTGTTTGCTGTCATACTCGATCCACAATTGCATAGGATCTCCACTAGCAAGAGAGAGGGTTCTGAAAGTACCGTCTTCATCAAAATAACCTGCTGAAGCAGCTTTTTCTGAGACTAAAGTATTTATGTCAATGCCAACATGATTATTATCCATGTCATAGAACTCAGCGCTTTCGACTGTATCGAGCTCAACAGCTACTATATGATTTTTGGGATCTCCCATGTTGCTTACGTTGAAAAGTCCTAAATATTGGGTGGGCTCAGTTGGAAAAATCTCTTGTAGGAGAAAGGAAGAAGGCTAGTCCATGGCCTTTATCAGTTCCATAACGCGAGACTATAGCGAAAACAAAGGTGGTGGAGAAGGAAGAGACAGTACCATTTGCAGAGTCCTTGAAACGCAATGGGAAACTGTAGAAAACTTGACCGGATGTTTGTGTCTGAGAATTCGTAAGTCTGAACAGGCCATTGCTGTTTAGGTTGGCTGATCCACTGGTATAGAGGAATCCATTGAAGTTGAAGTCTCCACCAGTTGGGTCTGAACCCTGACATACTACGTTCTTGGGGAAGAACAGCAGCAGGAAAAACAGCAACAACATCGTAATTAGCTGAAACATGATTGATTGATTGGCTTTGCTAATACAAAAAAATGTTCATGCCAAGAAAAAAGAGCCTTTAGGATAGGTCAACGCAGAGAATTGATCAACAAGAAGAGTTCAAGAATGTTAAAAGCTGAATGAGATAATCCATTCTATTAATTATCATTGAAGCAGCACTGATAGGGAGTGAATTATATAGCTATTTTTTTTTTTCTACTCCACAAGAGTCAAAGTCATACTTCCTGAATTTTCAGTGAAACACTCTTTCAATATAAAGTATTCAGTTACGCAACTTCCCAACATAGAGAGATGTGGACAATCTGAGAAATTTCAGAATTGTTCTTCCTTTCTTGATTACTTTATTGGCTCTTGTCCACAATCTTTAAACAATAGATAAAACAATGTATTACATTTCCAAACCAAAGGACAGAGATTTACCAATGTTTCTAGGGTTTGAAAAAAGGGATTCAAAAACCCAAAAAGGTTGGATTTTTTTCCTTTTTTTATCTACAACACTATGGGGAAAGATGAAAGTAATTTACTGAGAAATTGTGAAATTGAGGTCTCTTCTGATGAAGATGGCTTGAAAGGAGCTTGGTTTAAAGCAATCCTCGAAGACGATCCAAAAAGGCGAAAGAAAAAGTTGAATGTCCGCTACTCGACTTTGCAGGCCAACAATGGCTCACCTCTTCTGGAAACAGCTTACCGGAAATTTATCCGGCCAGTCCCGCCGGAAAATCTCTTCTCCACCGGCGATTTTGAGGAAGGCTCAGTAGTGGAGGCTGCTCACAGAGACGGGTGGTGGACTGGTTTGTTTGTCAAGAAGCTAGATGATGACAAGCATTTGGTTTTCTTCGACTCTCCGCCAGATCTAATCCAGTTCAAGAGAAAACAACTCAGACAACACTTTAAATGGACAAAAGGGAAATGGATCAAAGTCAAACCACAGAACAAGGTACGAGGTTTTGATTAACCCTTTTGATCTTTCATAATATCAAGTAAGTTATGAGGAAGCTGAGCCACATTATCCAAGAATCGAACAACACTGGACATGCTTGGCCTAATGGATGCTACCGGATGCGAACAGAGCAAACCGAGTTTCAGAACAAGTACCACTTGCTCCTCACTATACTCGTTCCCAATCCTTTGATCAAGAACCAGCATTATATCTCCGTTCTCCCAACACTCTAGCACCCAATCAGTCAAGATCATTTTGATTTGCGATGCTCGTGGCAAGATTGGTTTGCGTCCACATGTAATCTCTAGCATTACCACTCCAAGCGAAAATACATCAGAGCTTGTGCTTGCCCTTCCTGTTCTTGAGAGCTCCCGTGAAATATAAACCTATGAGTCCTAAACTGCACCTCCCAGTCTTCAAGAACGTCCATCAACTTCTTCCCTTTTTTCATGCAGAGCCATAAACCAAGAATCAAGAAGATAACGATGGTAAACGCAGATACACTCAAACTGATTGCTAAAATTTTCTTTAGAGTCTGGCTCTCTGGGTGATCACTCGAAAGGAATTCTCGGAAGACGAGAAGAGTTTATATCTGAAACCGTACCATTCATCTTGAACTTCCAATCCAATATATAATGAGATGCAGTTAACGCCCCCGTGGCTGATGTGAAGCCGATGAACATATACTCAAGCAGATACGGAGAAAGGTCCTTTTCCAGAGAGAGAAGCGGAATCTTTGGCTTAGGGACATTAACAGGATGAAGTGTGACGTTAAGCTGTTTCTGTTTACTGTCATACTCAATCCAAACTTGCATAGAATCTCCACTTGAGAGCAAGAGGTCTCTAAACGTACCATCGTCATTGAAATAGCCTGCTTTTTCAGCTTTATCTGAAACTAAGCTGTTGATGTCAACTCCAACATGGTTAGCATTAGACATACTACATTCTTGGGGACGAAGAGCAGCAGAAAAATCAACAACAAGAACATCATAGCTTCCTGAAACATGATTGATTGCTTTTGAATATTTCATAACACAGCAAAATATTGCCAAGAAAGAATCTCTAAAGGTGTGTCAAAAGCAGAGACTTGATCAACAAGAGTGCTAAAAAATGGACTTTTTCAAATCCTTTGTGAGTTCTATTTAATTATCATTGAGCAAAGCACTGACAGGGAGTCAAAACAATATGCTTTTCTGAAAAATTGCAATTTTTTATTTTTAAGTGGATGATAAAACGAGCTACGAAAACATCAACGGCGGTGTAGAAGATAAAAAACGAAAATCGAAAGAGGCAGAAGAAAAAAAAGTACCATTACCGGGTCTGTTGTTGTTGTTAGCTAGTCGCCTTTGACACAGAGAGCAAAAACAAAGAACAAAACTCTGAAAAATCCTATTTTTCATCTTCAAATTCAAACTTTTTCGTCTATCTGAACTTCGTCTTTGCGACGACGGTGCGGCGAGTTTAATCTTAGTTGCTTTTGTTGTTTTATGCTCTCTCTTGTTTGACTCTTTCTCTATATTTCGATCTAGCAGCTGCGGCCGGTGACAGTCCCAACGGCGAGGAGATGGCGGTTCGGCGACAAGGCCGTTCATCGGGAGTCAGAAGTCAGAACACGTGGCGCTGTGATCGACTGTGTCCCTGTTGGGCCTTACTTTCGCATGTGGGTTCTTTCCAGTTAATGGGCTTGGGCCCATTCTACAAAATGTGTCTTTTTCCAAAATGTGTCATGTAGGCCTGGGATTTTACCCAAAACCCGAACAGAGTCCGAATTGAAGATTTTTAAAAACCCGAACGGTTTTTAAATCTCAAACCCGGAAAAAACATTAAAACCTGAAAAACCTGAACAAAATCCGAAATCTCGAAAAAAATCCCGAAAAACCTGAAAAAACCCTAAACCAAACCCGAACCGATACTTTAGAAAACCCGAATGGTTTCTATATTTCTAAACCCGAAAAACCCGATCCAAACCAAATCCGAACCCGCGAAGTCCCAGGCCTACTATCATGTATAAAATTTGTATACATCGGAATCACCTTCAGGAAAAGGTATAAAATAGTGGCAAAAAAATGTTATATTTATCGTGATAAAGAAAAAAAAAAGACAAAAAGAGGAAAAAGAATTGTGCCAAAGTTGTGTTTTATTGATTGGATCTTTGGGAATTTTTATGAACGGAGCTCTCTTATTCACTTATTCACTGTCACTATCAGAACTGAAAAGTTCTATGTGTTCTTCATCAGTCTTGAGGTGATTGATGAGTTCATCACAGCTTTCGATATCAACATTGCATACTGTGCAAATCGCGGGAGGTCCTACATAATCTGTATCGCTGCTTATCTCGTGTAAACCTGAATCATCCCCTTGCAGTAATTCTTCCCAGACCCAAATGTTTCCTAGACTCAGATATTCGCCGGATGGTGGCAAATACTTTGGATGTGCACAAAGAATAGTGCTTCCAATGAACTCAAGGCTAGGGATTTTATATCACCAAGGATCACCCGATATAAGCATTAATTCAGCCGGAGGAAGATGTTGATAACGCGTGTCCCAATCGGCCAACATCTGGCCCACTTAGTCCTCCCTCCTAGAAAATACGCAAGGCAGATGAGTTTAGAGTACTTTAGACTCTAACATACAAAAAAAGAAAGAAAAGATTAAACCAACCGGAGGTGGCGTGTCTAAGAAGGAATCCAGAGGATGAGATCTCTTTCAAGAGGTCATCAGAGATATCTTCTAGGTCTCCAAGTGCATAGAAGGAAAACTGACGAGTTTCACCCAAGTAGTGTCTCAACGCCGATTCTATTATCTGTCGGACACGACCAGGTTCGATATCAGCGGGTACCGGACAGGTGTCGAGGTCCCACAACACCACCGTCTTCGTGAACGTGGTTTTCTTAAAACCTACGAAATTCAATCAGAACCAATTAGGATTCAAACTGGAAACCCTAGATCAAACCCTAACTTACGATATAAGTAACTCAAGAGTTGAGACAACTTACTTGATTTAACAACTGGCAGAGTTCTAGGAGTGGAAGCCTCTTCACTAACATAACGAAACATGTCATTCAAGACAACGTAGGAGTTTGGATTTTTGTGACTTATGTCATGTGTCAGATAGAACATTTGAGAGAATTTCTTCTTGGTCTTGTCTTTGCCAGTCGAGAAACCAACAACCTTGATAAAAACTCCGTCGTTCACCGACTTCTGAGCATCAATACTCACGACCTCGAACGTCGTGCTCTCATAGCCACCGGAGAGGAAGTGCTCGTTGATAGCCTGGAGACCAAGATGATAATGAATAATGTGAAACTTCTCTAATTTGCAATAGATACTAGACTAGAGTACGATGTGAGTACAACAAACAAGGACATCATAGCTGCTAGTTACTTTCCACTTTTGTTCCCTGACATACTAGCAGCAGCAAAACACAACAACAAGGACATCATAGCTAGCTTCCTGAAACATGATCGATTCCTTTTGAATGTTTCATTACACAGCAAAATGTTCAAGGCAACTTTGCCAAGAAAGAATCTCTAAAGGTGAGTCAAAGCAGAGACTTGATCAATAAGAGTGCTAAACATGGACTTTTTTCAAATCCTTGTGAGTTCTATTTAATTATCATTGAGAAAAGCACTGACAGGGAGTGGAATATGCTACTCTGCAAGAGTCTAAACAATATGCTTTTCTGAAATTATTTAATTTTGTTAACAATTGAATCAGTCTTTCTATATGAAGTATTCAAGTTAGGCAACTCCCCTAAAAAACGTTGCTTCAGATCGTCAGATGATGTGGAATCGAACTCTCACAGTGGAAGACTTTTTGAAAGCGAGTAACATTGGACTGCCAAAAGTTTATGATAGGCAAATGTCATCATAACGCAACTCACAAGTTATCTACATATAAAAGAATAGGAAATAGACTTATTTTACATAAGTAGATCTACTAAAATGTGTAATTTTTCCAAACACATTGAAATATCTTCAAATCGATCTAGTAACTTCGAGCAAGAAAGAAATATACACAAACGTTAACTTTTAAAAAAATGCAATATAGAAATATGTTCCAATCGATTTTGAGATCTACTGAGACCCCCCATTGTAATAAATCTCGTGCGTGTACATAGGCTGTTTCGTTAATATCTCTACCACTACTAAAGTACATATCAAACGTGAACTTCCAATCAAATATACAAAAACCCAAATTTACAACATGATATTTGGTTTCATGTTCCCATAATTTGTATTCACAAGTATTAAAAACGGAACTATCAACACCTATTTTAAGAACGTTTGTAAAAGCAAGTATTACTCGGTTAAGTTAAAATTAATATTTTTTAAAAAAGAAAAAAAGCCTTCGATCGACATAAGTGGAGAGTAACTAATATTATAAGCAGAACATATTCACCATGATAAAAAAAAAAAAAAAAAAAAAAAAAAAAAAAAAAAAAGAGATAACTTTTGAAATTAAGCAGAGTATTATTTTAGAAAAAGGGCCATGCCCTCTCTTCTTCTCGTTGTTAAAGAGATCCTCTCGTTTAGCAGGCAAGAGGAGAATCTTACTCGTTTTGAGGCCATCTACTCCACCTCCTTGACAACCAAATCCACATCCAGTAGAGAATGCTTACCTTATGTTCATCTTCTTCACTAGCGTTCCCATTCTCATCAATAGGCCCCCCTTCTCGACACCTTAGCTATGTGTTCTTCATCAGTCTTGAGATGATTGATGAGTTCAACACAGCTTTCGATATCAATATTGCATACTCTGCAAATCGCGGGAGGTCCTACATAATCTGTATGGCTGCTTATCTCGTCCAATGCTGAATCAACACCTTCCAGTAACTCTTCCCAGACCCAGGTGTTTCCCAGACTCAGATATTTGTCGGATGGTGGCAAATTCTTTGGATGTGCACAAAGAATGGTGCTTTCCATGAATTCAAGCGTAGGGATCATATACCACCAAGGATCACCAGATATAAGCATTAATTCAGCCGGAGGTAGATGTTGATAACGCATTCCCCAATCGGCCATCATCTGGACCACGTCACTCTCACCTAGAAAATACAAAAGGCAGATGAGTTTGAGTTTAGACTCTAACTAAAAAAAAAAAACGATTAACCAACCGGAGGGGTCGTGTCTAAAAAGGTGTGTGCACCAATGACGACGTGGTTCATAATTTTCTTATTCATAATTAGTTTTAGTTAGTTATGTTTTACAATTAACAAGTAATATATATACCAATTCAAGTTAGTTTCGCTGCTTTTGGTGAAATATATACCAAGTTAAGTTACGAAGAATTTGTCACATACCAGAATTATTTATCATATTAAGACTTTAAAGACTTTGACTGTTAGATTTTTATTTTAAAGTATGACTGTCAAAACTGTGACTTAATTGAGACTTTAGAAAATGTTAAAAGCCTCATTTTTGGGCTTTAAAAAAAATCAAAGTATTGTGAAGAAAAAAAGAGAAAAAAGGCTGTGAGAACTTTAAGGAGGGAAGTTAATGACTTTGAAGATTTTTAAACTTTAAAAGTGTGATTAGATAAAATATGGCTTTTAAGACTTTAAAAAATTTTAAAAGTCCCTAAAGCCTTTAAAGCCAAATTGCCAATCACTAAACAATCAGAGCCATAATCTATCAACAAAATTCAATAGCTTGCAATTATTTATCATCTAAGCAGTGCTTAAACTTATTGAAGCAAAAAATGTTATCATGCACATCCAAACTAACACTCTCTCACAAACTAAATAAAATAAATTTAATGATCATGTATTACTAAAGCAGAATGCAAAAGAGAAAACACATTCTCATACCATTCTATGAATCCTCAAATCCTACTATTACAGATAAATTCATTTAAAATCATTGTACAAAACATGCATTTTTTTGCTTTCATTGATCCAACTGATGTCTTGAACAATGTCGTCATGCATCTCTTGGTGCACACACCTCTGACCCTACATGAAATGAACTTGATTTTTTGGGCTCTCAACGAGGTCAAGGCAGCACAGAACAACGACCTGCTCAACACCTTCTTTACCCGAATCCAGCAACATGATATCCTTTCAACACCCCGGGTCTGTTCTACCTCCAGACCAACTGTTGATCAACTTAATAGTAAATACTCATCTTTCCTAATCTCAAGCAATAGAAGAGAAACGACCAAAACAAAAGCAGCATAGCTTGGTTACAAACCCCAAGGTTCGTAGAGCATGGAAGCAGTAAAGATGTCGAAGAGAGCAGGATGGGGTGTGATTGTCAGCCACAACAGTGGTGAAACCGAAGACGATGATCTCTCTCTCTCCAGGGACAAAAATTAAGACTGGAGCTCCATGCAGATCTGAGGGTCTTGCCAAGTTCAACCAGCTTTTGCGTATCCAGGAGGAGTTGGGATCTGAGGCCGTTTACGCTGGACTCAACTTCCGCACACCTGTGGAGCCTTAGTAGATCCATCATCCATGTCGTCTTCTTTGTCTCGAGAATTTGACTTCTGTTTGGTATTTTGCATAAATAATAAAAGGATCATATCTCTTAGTTGGTTTTTGCTGTTGGAACCCTTTTTAGTGGGTCAAGTAATTCAGTTTTGTAAGAGAAACATGAGATTGCTCTGCCTTTAGTGAGGATAGTAGCGCTTCTTTTATAAAAAACTAATTTCGGCTTTACTCTTTGCATTTCTCGTGCGATTCTTATGATCTCCAATCCATGGCTCTATGATCTGTCAAATTAGTTGTATGTTTTGCTATTGCTCTAAACGTCTTTGTCTTTTCAAATAGATAAAAACTTTTGTATAATTGTTTTCAAACTGTAATTCGAAAAGATCAATAGGCAGTGATAAGGAGATCAAAGCTTACATAATCATCAGAAGATGAGTAGAAGCACATTCAAACGAATTTCGATTGAAGATCATTATTTGTAACTTGCTCCAAGATGACTAGAACTAATCAAACAAACCCCTTCTCTGTTTTATCCTTCACTTAAAAAAAGTTAAAACCTGCTGGAATAACTGAAGCAAGAGTGATGAATTACTGACTTGTTCAATTTGACCTTAGGGATAAGATCTGATAATGAGTTTAGAATTAAGATATGAGCTCATATGTCATATCTACAAGAAGCAGCTTTGCCCGAGTGGTTAAGGGGGAAGACTTAAGTTCTTCTGCATATAAGTGCGCGTGTTTCGAACCACACAGCCTGCATTTTCATTTGATTTTATTTTGCGGTGTTACTAGAGTTAATACACTCTGATATGTTTAGAGTTTCAAAAATATTTTACAAAAATTGCAGGCTTTAGGGTTCGAGCCCACGCGCGAAGAACTTAAAGTCTCACCTACAGTGAAAATCAAGCCAACATAAAGAACTCAGGAGCAAAACATATGATTTTGGAAAGCAACCAGGTAATTACCTGAGGAATAGTTCGCTTTAAAGTACTGAATTTCCAACAAAGGCATCCAGGATACGTCCCTATATACAGGTGTTGCATGAGTTAGCTTACTGGATAAAGAAGCCAACTGATTCAAAATTGAGCTCTCCAGAAAATCTTTACCAGTAGAATTCGTGCTTCATCCATTGACTGCTGATCGTGCATGTTTCTTGAAAATAACAGCGACATTTTCATAAATAATTCAGAGGAATGTTAAGTAAAGCACACTCGGAAATGTCAAGATCAACGTTAAACACAGTTTAAAGCTATTCATCAATAAGAACTTGAGAAAGAGAAAGATCTCCACGAACGTGGTGAACGATCTCTGCGAGTAGGCTATAAGCCAACGGCCTCAAAGACTCGAAGCAATCTCGGCCTGTTCCAACGAGCACCCTGACACAGAGGACAAAGAAGAAAAAAAAAAGACAAACCAGACATAAGTCATAATTCTTAATTTGTTTATAGATACTTGAGCTTGATAGATTATATGGACGAACAAAAGGTGTGCTCGACTAAACAAAGAAGCTCCTTATAAATATGAAACGTTTTGAAATTTAACGTTTATAAAAGCAAGTATTACTCGGTTAAGTTAAAATTATTATTTTTTAAAAAAGAAAAACTTCTTTGAAATAAGCAGAGAGCGTTTTGAGAAAATATATCAATGTATCTGAATGTATTACAGTAGGAGAACATTCACCATGATAAAGAAAAGTATTGGGCGTGATTGGTAACTGCCATGAGTGCTCCGCAGAGCAATAATTATTTCTAGAGCACTAGTGTTAAACCAATCATGCTTTGATTTCATTTTTTTAAGTTCAGAGCCATAATTTTAAATATGGAAATATTTTGGCTCTGCAGAGCAGATTTTTCAAAGCACAAATTTCAAGGCTCTAAGAATTCTCTCTCTTCTCATTTTTTAATCTCACTCTCTATATTCATTTTTTAATGTTTCTTTCTTATATCTCTTTTATTTATTTTTAATGCTACATTTATGATATTTTATAATAAATTATTTATAATAAAAATTCTACAGCATTAAAATCTACAGCCACAGCAAAAAACTCTACAGCTTAAATTCTACAGCAAAAAATTTAAAGCTATAAACACAACCAATAAGGCCCATTATTTAGTTAACTTAGAAACAAAACAAAATAAAGAGACTTTTGAAATTAAGCAGAGTGTTATTTTAGAAAGAAGGCCATTCCCTCTCTTCTTCTTCTTGTTCAAGAGATCCTCTCGTTGAGCAGGCAAGAGGAGAATCCTAATCGTTTTGAGGCCATCTACTCCACCTCCTTGACAACCAAATCCACATCCAGTAGAGAATGCTTACCTTATGTTCATCTTCTTCACTAGCGTTCCCATTCTCATCAATAGGCCCCCTTTCTCGACACCTTAGCTATGTGTTCTTCATCAGTCTTGAGATGATTGATGAGTTCAACACAGCTTTCGATATCAATATTGCATACTCTGCAAACCGCGGGAGGTCCTACATAATCTGTATGGCTGCTTATCTCGTGCAATACTGAATCATCCCCTTCCAGTAACTCTTCCCAGACCCACGTGTTTCCCAGACACACATGTTTGCCGGATGGTGGCAAATCCTTTGGATGTGCACAAAGAATAACGCTTTCCATGTATTTAAGCCTAGGGTCCATATACCACCAAGGATCACCCGATATAAGCATTAATTCAGCCGGAGGTAGATGTTGATAACACATTCCCCAATCGGCCATCATCTGGCCAACGTCACTCCCACCTAGACAATACAAAAGGCAGATGAGTTTAGACTTTAGACTTAACTAAAAAAAAAAAGAACGAAAAAAAGAGATTAACCAACCGGAGGTGGCGTGTCTAAGAAGGAATCCAGAGGATGACATCTCTTTCAAGAGGTCATCAGAGATATGTTCTAGGTTTCCAAGTGCATAGAAGGAAAACTGACGAGTTTCACCCAAGTATTCTCTCAATGCCGATTCTATTCTCTGTCGGACACGACCAGGTTCGATATCAGCGGGAACCGGACATGTGTCGAGGTCCCACAACACGACCGTCTTCGTGAACGTGGTTCTTTTAAAACCTAAGAAAATCAAATCGCAGTTAGGTCTTTAATCATAAAAGCATTCCGAGTAATTGACACGGTTATAATCCAAACTCCCCACCTCCTGCTTTAAATCTGCAAAATAACATGCATGGAGTCAATGCAAGGGATAAAAGCTGAGACTAGGAGGCATGCAAGGATGCTTACCTTGTGTTCATGTTCTTCACTGTGGTAATGGATGAACCCGGCTTGGTCTCAGCTGTCGTGGCCATATAAGTTTCTGGCACTATTATAATGATAGTCCACATAAGAGTCCTCAACATAAGATTTACGAGATGTACAAGTAACACAAGACTTGAGCACAACTTACCAGATTCAACAACTGGCAGAGTTATAGGAGTGGAAGCCTCTTCACTAGCGTAACGAAACGTGTCATTAAGGAGGTTGTTCTTCTCCACCTCTCAACCAAATGCATACACATCCAGTCATAGAGTTTTCTTACAGTGTAAGGATTAAAGCTGAGACTAGGATGCAAGGAATGCTTACCTTGTGTTCATGTTCTACACTGTGGTAATGGATGAACATATTGTATTGGTCGTAGCCAGGATAGTTGCAAAGTTGGCAAAAATAGAGAGGGTTCCCATTCTCGTCATTAGGCACCCATTCCAACACCTGCTTGACAATGGGTCAAATTTTTATACAATTGTGGCGATTGTTTTAGACAACTACAAATGTAAAGACACAAACCTCAGCCATGTGTTCTTCAGTCTTGAGATGATGGATGAGTTCAACACAGCTTTCGAAATCAATACTGCATACAGTGCAAATCGCGGGAGGTCCTTCATAATCTGTATGGCTGCTTATCTCGTGTAAAGCTGAATTCCCACCTTGCAGTAATTCTTCCCAGACCAAGATGTTGCTTGCCCCTGGTGGCAAAAGATCGAGTGGTGGCAAATGGTCTGGATGTGCACGAATGATTGTGCTTTTCATCCCAAAGTTATGATACCACGAAGGAGTTCCCGATATAAGCAATAGTTCATCCGGAGGTAGATTAGGCCATTTCCAATCCTTCAACAGATTTCTCACGCTATTCCCACCTAGAAAATACCGAAGGCAGATGAGTTTGAGTTTGGACTCTAACTAAAAAAATAATGAAAGAAAAAATATATATATGAAGATTAACCAACCGAAGGGGGCGTGTCTAAGAAGGATTCCAGAGGATGAGATCTCTTTCAAGAGGCCATCAGAGATATATTCTAGGTTGCCAAGGGCATAGAAAGTGAACACACGAGGTTCACCTATGTAGTCTACCAACGCCGATTCTATTCTCTGTCGGACACGACCAGGTTCAATATCAGCGGGAACCGGACAGGTGTTGAGGTCCCACAACACCACCGTCTTCGATAACATGGTTTTTTTAAACCTAGGAAAACAAATCGCAGTTAGGTCTTTAATCTAGAAATAAAATCAAACATATCATAAAAGCATTCGTTATATTTTATGATATTAGGGTTAGGGCTTAGAGAATAATTTCTTATTGATCAAGTCAAAGTTTAAGGAGATTACAGAGAAGATGTTGAGGTCGGACTTAGGGTTTAGAATAACAAAGAGAAATTAAGCTTAAAAAGTATCTAGGTCTTGGGGTTGCTCTCTAGCTCTCTTGGAAATTCTGAATGATTTGCAAATTGTGAAGACTCATCCTAATATAACGAGAGGAAGTTGGTTCCTTTAATTTCCTTCTCCATATGAATTTAGGAAATTTTCTTGTTTGTTTATCCTTTTTCTTTGAATTTTCTTTGAATCATTATAAAGTTATTCAACATAGATATGTGGAGGATTTGAGAAATTATGTATTGATTCTCGTTCATAATAGTATTTGGTCAAGAGATGAAACAATGTAATATACGCTTGGAAAGGACAAAGACTTCACCAAAGACGAGATTGTTTTGGGTTGTGTTATCTCACTCTCGTAATAAATTAGAGCCGCAGTTTAATTCCGTTCCTTTCATTTTTTCCTGACAGCATAATTAGAAACGAATCAACCCTTTAATTAGTTGAAGGTTTAATATGCTTCTACTATCTAATTATTGTTTGCAAGCTTACAAACTAATGACAATCAACCAACACTCACAATCACAATGATCATATATATCAACACAAGCATGTACATAGTTAGTTAGTAAAACACATGCATATATTTGAGATCATATGCCAAACTCCATATTCTTTAAGGTACGAGTGATTGCAAAGTATGAGAATTTGTGTGGTATGAAACTCTTTAAGCAAAGTTCAAAAACTAGAATCCAATACTGTTAAGATGTTTCAAATGATACAAAGTTTGAAAACTTGTGTATACCTTTCTAACAATAGCAGAAGCTGATTTGAGATATATAACCTAGAGGAAGAGACTGCTTAAGCTAGTCGGCTTTCTCTTGGTCAAGGACGACGATCGTGTAGAGGTACTTTGAGTATCTGACCTTGGATTTGACATTGTCGTTGCTTCTCTTGATCTTCTTCACAGATGAGGCGACTTTCTGAATTGTGCTTAGGCTACAGATTTATCAATCATCATCAATGTTACAAAACTGATCGTAAGCAAATCCGCAGGATAATGATGAACATGAGAAACAAGTCTAATACATCAAAATGACATTAACAGATCAATTTCTCTAAAATCCTATAAAATTTTACCATCCTAACGAAAGTAATAAGCTAGAATGAAACAAGAATTGATATTTTGAGAAAACTTTAAGACACATGAGCAACGATACTGCAGAATGAAATATTACAATTTTTATTTATTTTAAATTGGACGATGAAAACGAGCTACGGAAACCAAATAAAAAAAATCAATGGCTATGTACACATGCTTGTTAACGTTGGGTCTATGATACCGGTCCACTACATGCATGTGATTCTTCAAATCAAAATATCTGTTTATTTATTTTTATTTTTTTTATGATTAGGATTTGTGAATTTTATTCAGGATTGTAACTAATCTCGTGTATATAGGGCACATTCATTATTATCTCTAGCTACCACAACTAAAATACCATATCAAAATTCTCTCTCTCTCTCTCTCTCTCTGTGTGTGTAACCAATCGTCCATAATGGCAGTTACTGATACTCATGAGAGAAGAGAAAAAGCGTATTGGATGTTTTTGTGGTTCATGGCCCCTATAACTATGGTGTCTTTTAGTATACTAGTACATAATTATGTGTCTTTAGTGATACTAGTACGTGGTGTTGCTGGCGTGCCGAATATAGAAGTAGCTTCTATGGATTTCACGGTGCGAGGTATGTCACAAACTCGTCTCAGTGCAGATTGGGATTTCTTGATAAGGATTCCCACTAGGCTTCCCCATAGGTATATATGTCTTCAAGGAGACGTTAAAGCTTCCTTGTTGTACAAGAATGTTACCCTCGTTACCTCCTCTAGACAAAAGTACGTAAGAGTTTGTTTAAATATTTGATTCATAATTTGAGAAGAAGGAATAAGAAGACTGAGTTATATTGTTCTTGCATGATCAGGTACAATGATCTCAGATTATACACGCCTCAACAACTTAGGGTTACAGCTTCTCTCTCTGGAGAAGATATTGGCGGTTTGAATGCAAGAAACATGATCGAAGATATCAAAGAAAGGAGGGAAGTGAAGTTCGGATCGCAGTTGTTTCTCACGGATTGTAGAGAAAATTCGTCAGGAGTTATGAGGTTTGTGTGCGATGAAATCACGTTACGGTTCGAGCCAGGTTCCGATAGGGAAGCGACTGCGTTTGGAAACAACCCTAGATGCGTCAATGTTTGACTAGTTTTCTTTATTTTACAAGGATTTATTATTTTATTTTCTAGTTTTCTTTTTACCGAAGTTTTGTTTTTTACCAATGTTGTGTTTGATAAGGATTTTAAATGAATATTTAGTTAATAATCATCACTAGCTACTCTCCCGGCTCAGCAGTTGCTTTCGCTTGAATTTTGAATTGAATTGATCTGCAAGTCCCAAAGATTCTTTAGCAGATTTTTTTTTTGTAGGATCAATAATACACTACAAGAAAACAGCCGATATTCTGACGGAATTACCGACGGCCAAAATCCGTCGGACATTTTCCGACGGACTTCTGACGGGGTTTTAACGGCACGAAAACGGTCGGTAATCCGTCGGAAATAAGCATAGAATGAAAGTAAAGTTCACAAAAACGAAATTTAGGTTGAAACCATTGTTAGTTTTTATAGTTTCTTTCCCAATCCTATCTCAAATTTTGGTGAAGATGATTTCAAGTTACCGTGTGAGTTGACAATTTACCGCGCATGAGAGACAAACGATTCCGTGCTTCGCAAGCTTTCATAATGTCAACTACGTTATGAGGAAGCTGAGCTACATTAAGAACTGATTGACGCTTGACAAGTTTGGCCTACTGGTAGCTAGGAAACCGAAGCCGAGTTTTGAACAAATACCCAATCGTTTGATCAAGAACCTGCATTATATTGTGGCAAGATAGTTTGCCTCCACCTGTAATCTTTAGCAATACCACACTCCGAGTGGAAATACATCTGAACATTGTTGCAGTTAATGTTGGGCCTAGGATTTCAGTTACCGGTTTAGTTAGCTCACTGACATTCACTGTGATTCTTCAAAATAAAATATGAAATATGTTTCTTATTTATTTTGTTGTTAACAATATCTTATTATTTTCATCGGAATCTTATTTAGGATTGTAACAAATCTCGTGTGTATAGGGCACAGTCATTATTATCTCTACCACAACTACTGTAAAATAGTAAAACCTTAAATCTAGCTATCGCAACTAAAGTATACCACAACAAAATTTTACAATCCTCTGTACCATATCTCGTGTATATAGGACACATTCATTATTATCTGTACCATATATAAATTTTATAATCCTCTCTCTCTCTCTCTCTCTCTCTCTCTCTCTCTCTCTCTCCAATCAGTCGTCCATAATGACTCCCAGCAGAAAAAACAGTGATAGGAGAGTAGAAGCTGAGTTATGCATCGTCATCTCTTTTTGGGTCTGTTTTTTCCTTTTTGTTGTTGTTTTAGTGATGCTATCCAAAATTAATGATGCTCGCGTGCCGAATATAGAAGTAGCTTCTGTGGATTTCACGGTACAGAACATGACACAAACACGTCTGAGTGCAAATTGGGATGTGTTGATAAGAATTCCCAAAACTCTTCCTGATAATTTTATATGTCTTCAAGGAGACATTCGAGTTTCCTTGTTTTACAAGAATGTTGCCCTTGTTACCTCCTCGAGGCAAAAGTAAGAATCTGTTTAAAATACTTTATTCATAATTTGAGAAGAAGAAAAAACAAAACATATTAATTAATTGTTCTTGTATGATCAGGTACAACGATCTCAGGCTCAACTCGCCTCAACAACTTAGGGTTTCAGCTTCTCTCTCTGAAGAAGATATTGGCGGTTTGATTGGAAAAAACATTATCAGAGATATCAAAGAAAGTAGGGAAGTGAGGTTCGGATCACACTTGTTTCTTACGGATTGTAGAGAAAAATCGAGAGGAGTTATGAGGTATGCGTGCGAAGAAATCACGTTACGGTTCGAGCCAGGTTCTGAGACGGAAGCGACTGCGTTTGGAAACAACCCTAGATGCGTCAATTTTTGACTAGTTTTCTTTATTCTACAAGGATTTCTTTTCTTTTTACCGCATATTTTAGGAGGTTTTTTTAACCAACAATTATTATTAAAGATGTGTATGATTAATATATCTTCTTTGACTATCTTCATTCTTGTTGCAAACACTCACAATCATAAAGACAATCAATATATATATATATACTGAAAGTAAAGTCCACAAAAACGAAATTTAGGTAGAAACCATTGTTATTATTTTCTTTCCAAATCCTATCTCGGATTTTGGCGAAGATGATTTCAGGTTATCGTATGAGTTGCCAATTTACCGCCCATGAGAGACAAAAGATTCCTTGCTTCGCAAGCTTTCATAATGTCAAGTACGTGATGAGGAAGCTGAGCTACATTAAGAACTGATTGAAGCTTGACATGTTTGGTCTACTGGTTGCTAAAGGTTAGACAACCGAAGCCGAGTTTAGAACAAATGCCCAATCTTTTGATCAAGAACATGCATTATATTCTGGCATGGCAAGATTCGTTTGCTTCCACATGTAGTCTCTAGCTCATACCTACCACTCCGAGTAGAAACACATCTGAACTTTTTTGCTGTTAATGTTGGACCTAGGATCAGTAACCGGTTTAATTAGCCCACTAACATTCACTGTGATTTCTTCAAAATCAAAATATATGTTTCTTTTAAACAGTATATTTTTTTTGTTAACAAAATCTGGTTATTAATACCGGAATCTTATATAGGATTGTAACAAATCTCGTGTGTATATTCATTATTATCTCCTCCACAACTAAAATACCCTTATAAAATCTCGCTCTCTCTCTCTCTCCCTCTCCCTCTCCCTCTCCCTCTCTATTGCGCATAATGGCACCCCAAAGAAATACAGGACGAGAAGAAGAACAAGGACTCTTCCGGTTCCGTTTTGCCGTTGTTTTATTATGGGCCTGTTATTCTATTGTTCTATATCGGATTCCTTTCCAGAAAGCACAAGAAGCTGTCGTGCCGGATATAAAAGTAGCTTCTATGGATTTCACTGTAAATTGGAATTTTTCGATAAAGATTCCCGAAGATATTCCTCAATGTCTTCAAGGAGATATTCAAGCTTCCTTGTTGTACAAGAATGTTACCCTTGCTACCTCGTCCAAACAAAGGTTAGATCTCTTTATTTTATACCTAATATTGATCGAGAAGAAAGAGAAAAACAAAAACTGATTAATTAACATCGTTCTTGCATTATCTAGTTACAACAATCTCGAACTCAACTCCCCTCAGCAAGTTAGGGTTTCAACTTCTATCTCTGAAGAAGATATCGGCGGTGTGATTGGAAACAATATTTTCAAAGATATCCACGAAAATAGGGAAGTGAAGTTCGGATCACAGTTGTTTCTTACGGATTGTAGAGAAAATTCGACAGGAGTTTTGAGCTATGTGTGTGATGAAACCACCTTGCGGTTCGAGCAAGCTTCTGATATGAAGGTCACTGCGTTTAGGAACAATCCTACTTGCGTTGTTGAATAGTTTTCTCTTTTTATTATTAAAAGGATTTTATTTTAGTATTCTTTTCTTTTCTTTTTTTTAACCGAATACTTAAGGAGCACTTGAGTATTTTTTGAATGAGTTGATCTTAATTATTAAGTTAAATACTAACTTTGTTTTTGTTTTTTATTTTGTCAACAATATCGACGCACATACTAGACTATAAGTCATGGTTAATAAGTTCTTATGTTGAAAAGCAATTTATAGTTTTAGAGCTTACTATATATCAATGTGGAAACAATATATAATCTCAATCCATCATTAGGTAATTAACGTCCACCAGAGACAAAAGATTCCGTCATCATCGAATAAGAAACGTTACTCGGAGACTCAATTGCTTCACCTAAACCATCAAAGCCTCCATCGATTTTCCGAGCATTCACAAGGTCGAACAAGTTATGAGGAAGAGTGGCTACACCGTCTAAGAAATGGATTACGCTTGACATGCTTGGCCTAGTGGCTGCCACTGGATGCGAGCAAAGCAATCCCAGTTTCAAAACCATGGTTACTTGTTCCGCAAGATACTTGTGCCCTAGGTTTTCATAAACCACTTGCAAAATCTCTCCACTGTCCCAACGGTCTAGTACCCAATCAGTCAAAACCATCTCGTTCGGTGATCGTCGTGGCTCTATGGGTTTTCTTCCGCAAGTTATCTCCAACATGAACACTCCGAATGCAAAAACATCAGAGCTTGTGCTTGATTTCCCTGTTCTTGAAAGCTCCGGTGATATATATCCAAACGTACCTTGCGTCCAAAGTAACAAAAAAAACTCCATAAGTCCATATATATCTTGACTGATTAAAACGTGAACAAAAAGGCAAACTTACCTGCTACATTGGTGGTTTGAGAATCAATCCCATGGTCACATAGCTTTGCAAGTCCAAAATCACCGAGCTTCGCGTTCATATTTTCATCAAGAAGAATGTTAGCTGGCTTGATATCTCTATGGATAATCACTTGCACCCACTGCTGATGCAAGTAACATAGTCCAGAAGCCACGTCTTTGATGATCTTGAATCTCTGTGACCAATCAAGAACTTGATCTGGTCGATGATAAAGAAACTTATCAAGGCTTCCTTTTGGCATAAAGTCATACACCAAATACAATTCGCCTTTGCGTCTGCAATATCCAAGAAGACGCACTAAATCTGGATGCCTAAGCCTCCCAATAGTAGCAATCTCAGCCAAAAACTCTCTCATTCCTTGTTTTGAATCATGAGAAATCTTCTTCACCGCGATCGGTATACTAGACAACGGTAAGATCCCTTTGAAGACTTTGCCAAAACCTCCTTTACCAAGAACCTCGCTGTTCTTGAAACCTTTCGTGGCGATGAAGAGATCTTTGTAAGTAAATCTATGAGGACCAAACTGCACCTCCCAGTCTTCAATAACTTCCAAGAACTTCTTCCTCTTCAAGAAGAATAAAACTCCAAAAACCAAGACGGTGACTAGAGTAAATCCTGAGATACTCAAACTAATCGCCAAGATCTTGGAATTCATAGACCGATCTCGATACTCATTAGGGACTTCAGGAAGACCAAATGGATCAATATCTTGAGCTGGCCCGTTCTTGTTGAAATTCCAGCCGAGTATGTAGTGAGAGGAAGTTTCTGTTCCCACTGAGGTGAAGCCAATGTACATAAACTCGTCAAACAATAGAGAAAGATCTGGTTTCAAAGATAGCAGAGGAATCTTGGACTTGGAGACATGAAGAGGATGCATAGAGACATTAAGTTCTTTAGTTGAGTTGTCATACTCAATCCAAACCTGTATTGGTTCACCACTTGCGATAGATAAGTTATTGAAACTACCATCATCTTTGTAATAACCGGCCGAGTTATATTTCTCCGACACCGAGTTGTCCAAGTCGATGCCAACTATGTCCAAATCTTTACCGAGTGGTTTAGCGGTGTGAAAATCAACTGATAGAGCAGGGTTGTTGGAGGAGGAGTCCATGTTTGTTTCACTTCTTGGAGGTGAGATGTTGAAGGAAAGTCCACAACCGGTGACTGTTTTCTTGACTGCAACGATAGCGAAAACGAAAGTGGTGGAGAAGGATGAAACGGTGCCGTTTTCTGAGTTCTTGAAACGGACAGGGAACTTGTGGAGATCTTGGTCAGTTCCTCCTTGTGTCTTTGAAACTGTTATTTTGAATAAGCCGTCTGGATTTAGATTCACAGCTTTATCTGTATATAAGGAGCCGTTGAAGCTGAGCTCTTCACTGATCGGGTATGAAACAACAACCATGGGAAAGAAGAAGATGAACATATGGAGAAGCAGAAGCAAGAACATGTTCGTAATCGGAGACATGATTGATAAAATTGTCTTAGGAATTTGTTGAATGGTTGATCTTCCCTTTTATGTGTTACTTATAAGCGTTAAAACAACAGTTCATGAAACTATTATCTTAATCGAGATTTATCCATGGTAAACTCGTGTTTTCCTGGAACATATATAATTATGTTATTGGCTAACGCGTTACCATAATTCGTAAAGTAGTCATCTTGCTTTAAAGCTCTGCTTTTTTCACCCAAAATATTATAAACCAAGTTACACTATAATATTATTGATGTTTTTGTTCATATCTAAAATCAACTACTACTTTCTCTAAAGCTATGCCTTTTGTTACCTCAATAATTAATACCAACAAAGATATATTCACACACACTGATGTATGCTCTGATCCTAATTCAACTCCTACTTCCTCTAAAAGTTCATCCTCCTTTTTAAACCAGGTTGAGAAAATTAAAAAAACTCCATAAACTAAAGATGGATAAAAGGTAAGTTCAGACTTCCCTTTACAAAGTAATTACTATTGCTTAGTAGATAAGAGCTACTTCTGGTGAAAATAATATATGACTCCATCTCAAACAAATGGAGCTACTCTCTCAAAAAATGCATAGTTCAAACAAATATGAGTTATAATGACAACAAGTCAATGATCTAGAGAGTTGTAGCAGTTGTAGAGGAAGTTATAGAGGAATAACCGGAAGGGTATTCCATTCTGAAAAAGCATAGAGATGGATAATGTTTACTTTTAAAAAAAATGTTCACTCTTTTTTTCCTTTCATGTTTACCCTTTCTGAAAATTAATTGTTTGTCTTCACTTAAACAATTCAATTTTTAACATCTGAGATACTCATACTAATCGCCAAGATCTTGGACCCTATGACCGATCTCGATACTCATTAGGGACTTCAGGAAGACTAAATAGATCAATATCTTGCGCTGACCCGTTCTTGTTGAAATTCCAGCCAAGTATGTAATGAGAGGAAGTTGATCATGTTCCCACTGAGGTGAAACCAATGTACATAAACTCTTGAAGCAATAGAGAAAGATTTGGTTTCAAAGAAATCTTGGACTTGGAGACATGAAAAGGATGCATAGTAACATTAAGCTCTTTAGTTGAGTTGTCATACCCAATCCAAACCTGTATTGGTTCACCACTTGCGATAGAAGAACATGGAAATGTCATAAACCAAAATTCTTTATCATATAATCTATCAACAATTCAATACCTTGCAAATGATTCTAATTTTTTACATTTTACATATCTTGGACTATCTCACATATCAGAATCCGACTCACCGGAATCACTCCTAGACCTCTCCGACATAAAATTAATAGGCAAAACCGGAAATTTCACAGCGTTCCTCTGCGAAGAAGGCGACTCCGAACTACCTATCTTCCTCCTCTGCATATTCCTCATAATCTCTAAACACACTTTATCAACCATATTAAGAAAATCTCTCACAATAACAAACAAATGAAGAGGACTCTTCCCTTTTGAATTAGCTCCTGCTTGATAATACTCTGTTGTACGCTTCACAAACTCCATCACTCTCCTCTCTTCTTCTCTCGCCATCTTCACTTCTTCCTCTACCGAATCAAGAAACGTCGTCATCTTCTTCACAAACCTCCCTCCTTCTTCTTCACACTCTGCAATCACCACTCTCGCGTCTCTCGCTCTAACCTCAAGAGCAGAGCAAGTCGCAACAACGGTCTCGTAGTCTACACAAGCAGCTTTCTTCACGTTTGAAAACTCAGAGCTTAATCCTCCGACAATCGGTAAACCAAGCTTCAAGAACTCTTTCTCTTGCTCTTCTTTAGACATTGCTTGAGCACTAGTGTTACTCTTACCACTACTACTACTGCTGCTACGTGTCAAGCTATGGCTTCTTCTGTTTAAAACGCAGCGTTTTCCTTCCGATCTAACGACTTCCTCCACCACAAAGTTAAGCAGAGTCGTCTTCCCGTCAACGCTCTTAACGTCAGCGAGCTTCAAAAGCGCGCTTAGATTAAACGCCTGGGCGTTTCCTCTCGCGGTTCCTGCGTTCATTCTGTTACCGGCTTTGAGAATCGCCTCCAGAAGCTTCACGAACAAACCGCGAGATCTCAGCTCTTTGCACGCCGATTCCAGCGTTTGCAGACAATCGCTGTGGTGCTCAATCTCTGGATAGTAATTCGCTTTAAAGAGAAATGCGTTTAGCCGCGTGAACGCGGTTGGTACGGATTTGAGGAGATGAAACAGGAACGATTCCGCGTCAGCGAGTTTCGCGGTTTCATCGCCGCCGTCGAATTCGAGGATCGCTGATTGTTCTTCTTTCGTCGGAGCTATTCTGGCTAGTCTCTCGAGCGCCTCGGGGACGAAATCGTGTCCTTCCATTAGTGATTCCACGAGCTCTTCGCGTGTCATTCCTAGGGATTTGAGCACGATCGCTGTGTTTTGAGATTTTCTCGGATCGAGGATGAAGATCTGCGCCGGCGAGGGTGATTTGGGGGTTTTCTCGTCGCCGTGTTCTGGAGATTTCTTTCCCACAGCGACGTATCCGAAGAGAGCCTCCATTAGATCTCCGTCGAAACTGAGAAGAGAAGAAACGAGTTTTGATCAGAATTGGGGATTTTGATTGATCGGAGTTTCAAAAATCTAATTTCGAAATCGATTTACCTGAATGAGCCACGATCGATTTTGTCCCAAACCATGGAATGATCAGAATCGGGGTTTACTTTATCCCAGTGTAACGGCTTTAGCTTCACCTGACCATTTCCACCTCCCGAATTCTCTCCTCCGCTTGATCCTCTCGGCGCACGCGGTGGTCTCGACGCCGATGGCGACAAACCACCTACTTTCTTCACCGGCGGAGGTGGTGGTGGTGGCGAAGGCGGAGGACTTTTCTTAGGCGGAGGTGGAGGAGGAGGAGGAGGAGGCGCACTCTGCTTCACCGGAATTGGCGGTGGAGGCGGTGGTGGAGGTGGTTGCGGAGGTTTAATTTCGATCTGAGTAGTTTCATGATGAATCTCGTTATGGATCACACTGTGAGAAGTGGATGATCTTCCTCTGAGAAGAGGAATCTCGGTGACTGGCTCCGATTTCTTCTTGCTCTTGTAGTAGATCACCTCTTTCTCTTGACTACCACCGTCTTCTACGGTGACGATGTCCTTCCGGAAACTTTCGCTTCTCCTCTGTCTTTTACTCTGGAGGTTTCTCCAATACAACACATCGAGGCCATTCTCGTCAAGGATCAAACCTTTCACGTTACCGCCATACCTCGTAAAACCTTCTCGTTCCAGAATCGCCGCCGGAGGAGGAGGAGGAGCGATAATCGGAGGAGGTAAGGTGTTCTCGACGCCGACTCTGTTGTCTCTCCTTCTCCGCCTTGCGATGACGCATTTCTGGAGGAAGAAGAAGAACGCTGCTGCGACAACTACAGTGCTTGCCGCCGTTATGAGCACGGCCTTTGTGATCTTTCTTCTCTCCGATGACGATGGAGGTGGCGGAGATGGGTTTATTGGCGGTGGAGAAACAGGGGATAGTTGGTCGATTGGGAAGAAAGTTTCGATGTTTTGTGGAGAATCGGACTGAGAAAAGGAACGGAAAGGTAAAACGACGACGCAGAGGAAGAAAATTAGGGTTAATTGTAGAGGAAACGGCCATGACTGATGCTGAAACATGGCAGCGATGAAGCGATTAGCTCATTGACAGAGAAGAATCAAATCAGAATAAAAAACAAAAAAGAAATATTTAAGGTAACGTCTTGTTTTAGTTTCACCAAAAATCTCAGGAACTTAAAAACGGAAGAATAATAATGTAAAATAAGAATCCGGTTTTGGTAGGTTTTTTAATAAATTAATTGGGAAATTTGAGGTTTTTGGTAACATATTGAGGAGTTAGAAGCAGAGAGCAGTTGATCTGTTCTTCTTCTTCCTCGAACCTCTTTTTCCCGGGTTTTGCTCTATGACGGAAATACCCTTACTAGTGGAACTGACTGTTTACGTTAACTAGAGGATGTGATGGTAATTACAATTCGTGTGTGGACTTATTATGGAGCGGTTTGATGTTATCGTTGACTTTGTCAAATGGAAGTGATGTTGTTTTCATTGTCGTTTTTTTCTTCTTCTAGAAATGTATTGACGCATTGGAAGACTGCACTAACATCCCATTTAGATATACTTTTCAACTATCAGCAACAAAGAAATTGCAATTTTCTATGGCGATTAAATGGATTCACATTTGATTTCGAAAACAAATGGTTGGGAGTTTGGAATTTGGGAGCGTTAATCATTTTCAGATCATTTTACATACAAAGCAATAATGTTAAGAAGGAAATTCATAAGGTTGAAATTACTAAAACTCAATTCTTTGAACTAATAAATACTGAATATTGAAAGAAAATTTAGAGACTTTTTTTTTTCAGTATTCCCTTAATTACAAATATTTTTATCTTTCTAATGATCTTTAGTTTCCAAGTTCCAAGTCAACCTTAGTCGGTCAAACGAACATAAAATGAAATCAGTGATAGTATCGTCATTGCTTAGACTAAATATAATCAAAATTATAGTTATGGTAATCATTTACGTATGAACATGTGGTTCATTAAAAAAAATGGTAATGTTCAGAAGAATTTGGAGATTTTAATTCTTGCTGAACCAAAACATTCCTTAATAAAAGAAAGAACAAAATACTTATAAAATGTGGCCGGTCGTCTGATCTTTAATGCAAAACGCGGTAACACACTCGTCGAAGTAAAGTAGGAAGCGTATCGAGATGATGAAGATAACCGCTCTTTTGTTTTTCCTGGTCAACTCAACTATTATAATTTATGAACTTTGAAGTCAACATAAATATGTTAATGCTTTTGTGCCTGCATAAATATTAGTAATAGTTTTACTTTGAAGTCAACCTTTAAGAGTCTTGTTTTGTCCTCTCTAGCTCCAATTTCGGATGAAGATAATAATCTATGTTTTAAAAAGTTTAGTAAAACACAAGCAGCTTGTCAGTTTCTATCTTCTGTGATTGTTTTCTTGTTCTTTCGAAATTTCTATTATGTAATTGTTTGTATTTAGTTATTTTCTATATTTCATGTAATTCTGGATTTTAAATAAATAAAGATAGTTGTTAAAAAAAATAAGAGAGAGAGATGGAGTAAAAATGTATGATATTGAATCATTGTCATCAAATAAGAAAGCTACATTAAGAAAACATTATTAACTTATGAAAACACTGCTTAACCTTGTTTAAGCAAAACATTATTAAAGCAAAAATTGATTATCATGCACATCGAAACTAAAATCCAGTCTCAAAAACTAAATGATCAGGTGCTACTAAAACAAAAATGCAAAACGAAATCCGAGTCATCGTCATAATTACATCCCTGGAAAGTAAACATATTCTTTGACAATTTGTACGAATGCTCAAATCCTACTATTACATATAAACTTAATTAAAATCTTTGTGCACCAAATATGTGCATATAAACTATTACATTCCCTTCAACACACATGGTCTCTTCTACCTCCAGACGGACCCTTTGCTGGACCACGGCAACCACTTCACCCCCTGCACCATCTCTCCCGCAGAGTCGCTTCCTCTTACCGCCTCACTCCAGACGCAGACGACCTCGCCTTCGGATGCTCTCCTTGCCAAGGCACTCTCGCAGATGGACCATTCGACCACCATCTGTTTCTCCGGAGGCAGGTCATCAGGCGCGTCAGACAGGTCCATGACCCCAACCACTTGACGGAGAGCAACAGGACACTCTCGTGCACTACCTCCTCACTGATCTACTGTTTCTGTTTATGTGTTTACTCTATCGTTCTCTCCATTTATGTGTTTTCTCTTTGCTTACTCTTATTGTACTCTCTGTTTATGTGGTTACTCTTTGTTTACTCTATTGTGATCTCTGTTTATGTTTAGTTGTTTATATTATAACTTGTTTCCTGTGTTTGGATAATGTTCATCTCACTACATGTGACCTTGATCCATGATAAATTGTTCAGTTATTAGTTTATTCTTCTAACTAAATTATTCACTTTCAATATTGCAAATTATGCTCTTGAGCAGATTCCATCAAACTTATTACGGCTAAACAAAGTGAAAATTAACGATGAAGTGTTGAAGTAATTAACGATTCACCAAACAATAATGGGCCTCACGATTAAAAAGAAAATGGGCCTTAAGTTAGTGTGTGTTTGTTGACATTCCCTGATTATTTTCGTCCGGCGAAGCAACAGCGGGTTTCTCGTTAGTCACCGACGGCCGCCGATGGAGTGTGCTGCGCGGGGCTTCGGGACGCGGTGCGTTGGTCCACCGACGCGGAGGTGTGGCCAGTGTGGCGCTGTGGCGTATTGCTCCATCTCTCATCAGGTTTCGTTATGCTTATATATACTCTCTCTATCCCTTCTTCTTCATCGACCTTCGCTTAGATTCTGGAAAATTGGTGATTTGAATCGCTTATAGCTAATTTGATAGATCAATTTTCTGAGCAAAGAATGAAATCTATTTTTAACAAATTGTTTTGCAGACTTGGCATTGGAGCTATCACAAGGAAGAATGTGAGAGACTAGAAGAGCAAATGCGTCGTGTTGATCAGTTAATTGACTTTCCATTTACATTTACGGATGAAGCTACAATCCAGGTTTATAGATGATAACTTTGCATGAGACGAAAACAAATCCAATGCCTTTTGTTCAATTGCAAATTCATTCAGCTAAATTCGTTTTATTTGTTCTCAGATTAGTCAGAATCAGGAGAACAGATGCTCGTTCCTTAGCAAAAGGGAATTACATAATCTTGGAATGTGGATGTATGAATGCAAATGTGGATCCTCTGCTTATCATAGGTTTCTTCGCTTCTCTTTTTAATAACTTTGCGTTGCCATTGTCAATCTTTTGAGCTAATTAGTATCATTTTTCGTGCAGTTTTGGAAATGAAAGTTGGCATCTTCCAAGCTCTTCTTGTCCATGTCGTGGTATTGCTTCATTTCATTTCTCTGTTTATGGTTTTACTGAAAGAGTTTGTTCCTAAAGGATTTTTCTTTTGTTTGGGATCACACAGGTCCTTTGTCTCCAGTAACAAACCAGCTATGCAGTTGGATGGAGTATTACGAGTGGAGAAAGATACCTCTAGATTCTCCTGTAGCTCTGCTTCTCCACTGGGTAACATTTTATTTTTGTTGTGATTAATGTGGTTGCTAGTCTAACGAGAGAGTTCGTAAGGTTTTATTGACTCCTGGAGCTTTCTTGTTGTTTCAGCCACTTACGATCTATCATGCAATTCAAACCATTGGGATGGAGAATCTGACTCTGCAAATAACCAATGAACTTCGTATTCATTATCTTGGTATGTCTCGTTCTGTAGCTCTTAGGAATTGTGTTCTCTTTAACGTTGCTAAAACTATGATGTAAATCTTCTGATAAATGATTTACTGATAGTTTTGAGATTCTGAAGGGCCTCAGAAAGAGCTTGGCCAACTTGGTGTCTTCACTGAGCTGCAAGCTCTCTTCCCTGGTCTGCGCATTAGCGTAAAGCTTGTTGGACCTGACGTTCCACAACATATGTGAGTCCTCCTGTTTAACAGCAACATTCTAGCTGATTTTTTCTTTGCATTCATTCTGATGGATTATTCTCTATTTGTTTGCCTTCATGAACAGGGATGGAGAGAATATCTCCCTTTGCAGATATTCCCCTTGCATGGAGAAAGAATGTGAATGTAAATATCCAACCGAAACTCCCAATTCCGGTCACGAATCAGCTGTGTCGTTACAGCTCTATAGAGGGCTGTACCATCATCGTTACAGTGACATAACAAAGGTAAATTCTCTACACGTCTAGGCTCGAAACAGTAAATCTACTAAACTGTTCTCAAAATGTTATATCCAATTTCATGGCTCCTTGAAAATGTTTTGATTTCTGGAGTGACAATTTTGTCTGAGCAGGATTCACCTCCTCCTCACATAGTGATTGCTCCAAACGCCGGCGTCGCAGCATATCCAAGCTGGTTGCCAACTATTGTATGTTGATGATCACATTCAACGTCTTTTAGCACTTATACATAATACAGATAGCACAATAATATTTTTCTATTTCATTCATTTGATGGTGTGAATTTTGTTTTTCAGGAACTGATAAAGGAGATAAAAGTGCAAGCAGTCTTCTCTGATTACTGTGAAGAAGCTTGTCACCTTGCGGCTTGTTGCATTAAAACCATCACAAGGCAACCTCTGTCACTACCTGTAAGTCTACATCTCCTAGGTTTATCATCCTATGCAACTTGTTTTCAGATCTGTGTTTTTGTTGTGTGGGTTGATGTCAAAATAAGTAGAATATAGGATAAAATATGTTGGGATATATGGTCAGGCTTACGTCTCATCAAAACTGTGCCAAAGAGAACAGAGAGTCGACACATATACTAATGTCCATAATAATGAAGTTGAAAGAAAAAAAGACGAAAACATTTCTTACACTAATGTCCAATTGTCCAATCAAACCTTTGTTGGACAATGATGTTTTTATACGTCTCTTCAAATTACGTATAGGACTAATGTATCCTTAAAAATTTGCAGATTGTGTTGAATCCGTTTAGACAGCCAATGGCGGTGGAAGAGAGTTCTCTGTTTATCCCTTGCTACTCAAACTGCTTCATCTTCGCTATGTAACACTCTCCAAATTACTTGACTGTAGAGGGACCGGACCGGTCTATATGGACCAGACGTTTTCAGAGGAAACGATTGTTATCTACACAATGAATGTGGATAATATCACATCATGTTATGTTGGTTGTTGTAGTTATTTATGTGGATAGGACCATCATCAACTGCATAAGTTCATCATTGGAGTCATTTAATTCTTTGGTAAAAATCTTTACCCCATAATGTAGTGTTTCTAGTGAAATTTTGCAATTATCTCCGACTTCATCTTGCGAGTGTGACACACCAAATGAAATGGGAAAAAAAAAAGTGTAAAATCAGTCACAAAACAACAAATAAACATGAATTCAGATTTCAAACGAATCAATTGAACATAATACCAAACCAAACCGGAACCTGATTGTAAAACCCGGTTATGGAGATTCAACAATGCCAAGTCGTGTCGACGTGGAAGATGATAGAATCAAAAGCAAAGAATTTTTCGAAACTGTTTGTTTCTAAGAAAAGTCGCCAGTTAGTTAAAGTCTATTTCTTTTCTTCCCACAACCAAAATTATCTTTTTTATCTTTTTCCATCTCCCCAAAGTCCAAATTTTCCAAAACTCCGAAACAGAAACAGAGAGAGAAACAAAAAAAAAATCTTCAACTCAATTCACAATGGATCATCTTCAACCTTGACAACACGGAAACTCTTCTCTTCCCCCAAAAATCCTGAAACAAAAATCTCAAATTTTTCACTTCATTGGAGCGATCCGATCGAATGTCTCAGAACCCATCACCACCAACTCGGAAGCTCCTATTGCTCTTATGCCTTTTAGGGTTAAGTTTCTCCGTTGACCTGGGTCAATCCCTGAAGCTCCCCTTCAGCGTCGACGATGTTCTTCCGATGCTGCCACGTCAAGTCTCCTGGCCGGTTCTCAACAGTTTCCACAACGCCGTGGATTTGCTCCCGGTTTTCATCGGATCGGTTACTCCAACTAACTCGTCTCTCGAGTGGAAAGGTGCTTGCTTTCACGGCAACGAAGCTCGCCTCGATATCACCGGCAGCGATCGCGACGTCCCTGGTCTCGGCGGTGGCCTTCTCCATCTCAAGGTTTGTGTCAATTTCACCTTTTTGATCTTCTAGTTGATTAAAAATTGAGGCTAAAAATCTCAACTTTTCTGATTGAAATTGAAAAATTTGCGAACTTTTTTTGTTTTGCAGACATCAGAGGCACATAGCTTCACTTGTATGGACTTATACGTCTTTGCAACTCCGTACAGGATCACATGGGACTATTATTTCTCTGCAAGAGATCATACTTTGAGCTTTGATTCATGGGAAGAGAAAGCTGAGTTGGAATATGTATGTTCTTGACTTCTTGACAAGCTCTCTCTTCTTTGTATAAGTCTTGTTGGCTTAATTGTTGTTCTTGATGAGTTAGGTGAAAGAGCATGGAGTTTCAGTGTTTCTGATGCCTTCAGGGATGCTTGGGACTTTACTTTCATTGATTGACGTGTTGCCTCTCTTCTCCAACACTGCTTGGGGACAGAACGCTAATCTGGCGTTCTTGAACAAACACATGGGAGCTACGTTTGAGAAACGGCCTCAGCCATGGAGGTCAGTGATTGATCCTGAAGATGTGCATTCAGGGGATTTCTTGGCGGTGTCTAAGATTAGAGGTAGATGGGGAGGGTTTGAGACGTTGGAGAAGTGGGTCACTGGTGCTTTTGCTGGTCACACTGCTGTTTGTTTGAAAGATGATTTGGGGAAGCTTTGGGTTGGTGAATCAGGACATGAGAACGAGAAGGTAAAAAAGAGACTTAAAAAGAGGCTCATGTCAGCTTTATCTGATAAAGACTCATTCTTTCTTTGTTTGGCTCCTTGTTTAGGGTGAAGAGATCATTGTTGTGATACCTTGGGATGAGTGGTGGGAACTAACGTTGAAGGATGATTCAAATCCACAAGTAGCTTTGCTTCCGTTACATCCTGATGTCAGAGCAAAGTTCAATAACACTGCTGCGTGGGAATATGCGCGGAGCATGTTGGGAAAGCCGTATGGATACCACAACATGATCTTTAGCTGGATTGATACTTTGGCTGATAACTACCCTCCTCCTCTTGATGCTCACTTGGTATAACAACTTCTTTAAAACCTCTGATTGTTGTTTAAAGATGCTTTCGTGGTGATGATAAAGAAAGTGAGTTGCTTTCAGGTTATTTCTGTCATGTCTATGTGGACTCGTGTACAACCTGCATATGCTGCTAATATGTGGAACGAGGCACTCAATAAACGACTCGGTACTGAGGTATTATACAGATTCCTCTTTTAAGGAAACTTGTTTCTCCTCTCCTGTTATGTTTTTACAGGGCTAATGAGGTTTCTTGTTTTTGGCAGGATCTTGATTTGTATGGGATTCTTGAAGAAACAGCGAGGCGTGGGATGTCGTTTGATGAGTTACTCACAATCCCTGAACAGGATGAGTGGGTTTATAGCGATGGGAAGTCGACGACCTGTGTTGCTTTCATCCTTGCGATGTACAAAGCAGCTGGTGTGTTTGGGCCTCTCGCTGATCACATTCAAGTTACTGAATTCACTGTGAGTGTTTTTCTTGAAGTATCAAAGTCTTGGCCTTTGTTTACATTTAAAGATTACTCTTTCTTGAGTGGGGTTTTGTTTCTTTTCTTGTTGTTAGATCCGAGATGCGTACACTCTGAGGATATTTGAAGAGAACCAGACGAGGCTACCGAGTTGGTGTAACACGGAGGAAGGTAAGCTTGAGTTCTGTCAGATTTTGGGTGAGTACAGAATGGAGTTGCCAGGTTATAACACTATTCAACCGTACCGAAACATGAACGAGAATTGTCCTTCTTTGCCTCCTCATTATGAGAGGCCTTCTCAGTGTTAGGAAATATTAATCAACCTGTTAATCTCTCTCTCTCTCTCTGTTTGTTGTTTGTCTACTTTTGGTTTGTTTATTGCTTTAAGCTTTACCCTTTTAGTTTATAGGGGAGCCACGTTTGAGAACAATCTTGTATGTGAATATATGATAATGCAGTTTATCGAATCTAATGTTGGCTTAACCATAATACCAAACATTCCTTTAACCATAATACCAAACACCAAAGCCATATATAAAACGAAATCCACAAAGAAAGAAGAGCATCACACCCAAACGAAAATCCTGAAAAGCATTGAGAGAACAAAGGAATGTAAAGTGAAACTAGAAATAACTTGTTGCAGAATCTGAAACCCTCAAGAGATGATCCTCGGAAAAAACGTTTTAAGTTTTTTCCTTTGGTTTCTTCACGAGCAAGTTTGAGAGACCAATGGTCAATGCAGAGGAGGACGTCAAGGAAGCTCTGAGAATGCTAATGAGCTGCACGATAGAAGCAAGATAAAGAAAATTCAAAATACTATCACCGAAAAACATACCTCGAGGAGATAAATATTAGCAAGATAAAGAAAAGTAGGATTCTTGATATGTTAAATATTACAAACATACCTCTGGTTTGGAAATGCTAAGCTGATACTCCTCGAGATCACTTATGCTGCCTACCTGCGTCTTCTTTAACAAGCCAATGGTCGAAAATGAATTCATCGGAGTTATGGTAAGATCATTAGACACGACAAACTTTGTATGTTTCTTCATAAACCCGCTCCCACTTCCTGATGAAGTTCCAGGCTTCACTTTTGGATCATTTGGATGCAAACGCACAATTTTGCCACCATCTGAGAGAGATCTTTCAATGCTCCTGGCGACTTTGTAACACGAGTAAGAGTAATAATTCCGAGGAATGAAACAATCATACGGTACTGATTGGCTTGTGTAGTTAAGCAGATGGATGTTAGAGAAAATATAATAATAAGGATGACGACAACTTCCGGAAGCAGTTCTTCTACAAGGACTTCTACACAAATTTCCAACACATCCAAAGATAGTATTGTCATTAGACAATGAGCAAGCCAGCTCAAGAGGGAGAACAAGAAAGCTTAGAAGAGAGTTAATGAAGTCTTCATTGCATTCAGCATAAAGAATCTCCCTGTCAAGCTTTCGAACAAATACTTTCACTGAACATACTTTCCCCTTTATTGTCGCTGGAGGAGACAACATTAGATGCTTCCTTGTCACGCAAGTTTTTCTGAGAAATGCGCATGTCAAGGGAGATTCTGAAGTGAACAAACATCCCAGTAGATTCAACACCTATAATTCAGAGAAAATTATATACTATTACGTGAGCGACAATGAGGACAAAAAAAGAAAAAGAAGATGAAGAATCCAACAAGTACCTCTTCGAACCCTACATCAAGTAGGGTTTCACGCAGATCACTACAATCAACATACCCTAATTCATTAAGAGCTTGCATGACTAGACCAATAGAGTTCACTGATACTTTCAAATCATCAGTGACAATGAATGAGGATCGGCAATTGACTAAAACTCCATCTGCATTGTTTCCTATGACTTCTCCAACCTGTTCTTCTTCTGGGACCGGAATTTGAGCGTTCATCAAGGATCCACAACTACATCTTGAGGTGTTAAAATTGCTGTATGCCCTGCTGCTGCATGAATCAGTAGTCTGAAACAATTTTGGGCAGACAAAGAAGTTGGTGGGATTAGTGTGACTCATGTTCAGCTTGAGCCTACTGCAATGGATCTCCATAGTACTCTTTGGACACATCAACATGCTCTTGCAAGCTTCAGTCTCAAAGTGATCGATGCCCATATTTGCAACACTTCTGTTGAGGTTTTTGTAACAGCCTAGGACCGCCTTTTGATTCTCCAGCAATCTAGCAACTTTACCCATTGGGAGAGTCAAGAGACTCATGAGCACATCAACGAAATCCTGACCAGCCTCTGCCAAAACAACTTTGTTTGTCTTCTCATCGATGAGAAGTTTCAAGCTAAACTTTGCACTTTTATTCATTATAGCTATTAAGTAAAACTAGTAGAAACCAAATCTGGATGAGAAGGATACTCGAAGATTTGCCTTTATATATTTGAAGAACCAAAGGTTATGAATCTCAAGAGGTTTCTTATCAAGCAGTAAATGAAAATAATGAACCTCGGGAGTCATGAAGCTTTGAATGTGGAATACAAATCGCAAAGGAATGTGATAGGGTTAATTCAACTGAGCAGTGAATGCAAATATCCGCATTTGCTTGTTCAATGAATCTCCTTGAGAAAGTATAACCCTTCGGATTCCAATTTAAACATAAAAGGTGTGACGTTTTTCATTTCTGAAATAGAAATAAACAAAATCTTAAAAAGACCAAAATTCACCTTGAATTAAGAATTTTCATGAGAATTGTAATTGGTGACGGACACCAGGAAGCTACAATAAACTTGTGACGTCGTTAAAACGTGTCAGACAAAGATTCGGTGATGACTTTTCCGACCAAACCAACTCCCACTTTAGAACTTCAAAAACAAAACAAAAACTAGTTCAACCCCTTAGTTTGACTCCGCGCCACTTTGACTTTCCCTCAAACCGCTTACCTAGCATCGGTTAATCCCCCACATTCCCAATTAACCGGTTCTTACATTCTACCAACCAAACCAAAATCTCTCTGTGCCATAACAAGAGTTTTCTCTCTTGATCTCTTCTTATTAGAAGTCTTGATGACCTCTGTAAAGTTTTGAACGTGACTAAGACAATAGATGTTTCCATTGGAATCATTCACCATTTCCTCTCAACATTAACAAAATATTTAAAACCAGAAAAAAATGACAAAACACGCAAACGATTCCCAACGACCTCTCACCCGCCAACAACACAAAACACAAACGCAGTAGCTGACCTCAATTTTATCTTATATTTAAATTTAAAAAACCTTCTTCAAACGGCTTTACCTGTTTTTAGCTCTCTCTCAAAACTCTCTCCTAAAATCCTAAATATTACCTCTAATCCATTTCCCTTTTTTTCTTCGTTTTTTTGGGTGGCTTAATTACCTCCAATCCCCAAAAAACCACCATGAGGTTTTGCGTTTTCGGTTTTTTATCGTTAATCTTGATCGTCTCTCCCGTCTCCGCCTGGTTCTTCCCAAACTCCACCGCGATTCCACCCTCTCTCCGCAACACAACCCGCGTTTTCTGGGACGCTTTCTCCAACTTCACCGGTTGTCACCACGGCCAAAACGTAGACGGTCTAAACCGCATCAAGAAATACTTCCAGCGTTTTGGTTACATCCCCGAAACGTTTTCAACAAATTTCACAGACGACTTCGATGACGTCCTCAAAGCCGCCGTCGAGTTATACCAAAAGAACTTCGGCCTCAACGTCACCGGAGAGCTCGACGCGTTAACGATAAGACACATCGTGATCCCACGTTGCGGCAACCCCGACGTCGTCAACGGTACTTCGTTGATGCACGGAGGGAGAAGAAAGACTTTCGAAGTCAACTTCTCCCCACGTCATGGAGTGCGTTTGCACGCGGTTAAACGCTACACGCTCTTCCCCGGCGAGCCGCGGTGGCCGAGAGACCGGCGCGACTTGACCTACGCGTTTGACCCGAGCAACCCGTTGACGGACGAGGTCAAGGGCGTATTCGCACGCGCGTTCGGGAGGTGGTCTGACGTGACGGCTTTGAACTTCACGCGCGTCGAGTCTTTCTCCACGTCGGACATCACGATCGGGTTCTACACCGGCGATCACGGCGACGGAGAGCCTTTCGACGGCGTGTTGGGGACGTTGGCTCACGCTTTCTCGCCTCCGAGCGGGAAGTTCCACCTCGACGCGGACGAGAACTGGGTTGTCTCCGGCGACCTCGACAGTTTCCTCTCTGTGACGGCGGCGGTTGATTTGGAGTCGGTGGCGGTTCATGAGATCGGTCATCTTCTCGGTTTAGGGCATTCTTCGGTTGAGGAATCGATTATGTATCCGACGATCACGACGGGGAGGCGTAAAGTTGATTTGACGAATGATGACGTAGAAGGAATACAGTATTTGTACGGTGCGAATCCTAATTTTAACGGCACGTCTCCGCCGTCGACGACCACCACCACCACGACTCGGCAACGAGATACTACTACTGGTGGCTTTGGACCCTTTGGTGCCGCCGGGAGAATCGACGGTTCGTCGAGGTTGACGATTTTCAGTCTTTTGTTGTCAACCGTCGGATTTTTCTTGTGGTTTTTACCGTAGATAAGTTTTTTTGTTTTCTTACTTGATTTATTTAGTTTGATTTTATTTTTACCTCATGGCTTAATTCTTATTTTTTTAATAAAAAGGATGGGGATGTATACACAGATATTCAGATATTGGTTCCTTTCTACAGATTTTTATTTTCATATATAGATTTGTAAATAAATTGCTTCAGATTGAAACTAGTTCCTAACAATGTTGATTTTCGTGTTATACATTTTTTTTTTCTGTTTATAATATAGAAATTTTTGGTGATTACTGATTAGTATTCATTACAATTCAGATTAGCTAGTGACTCCTCTAACTTTGTTAAAGTCCAAATGTTCTTACGTCGTTATACGACTTACGATGACAAAATAATCAAAAAGGAATCATAATGAAACGTTCTTGTTTGTCATCTATGGTTAATTAAACGAAGCTACATAATATTTAAAAATAAATTATAGAAAATGTAGGTACTTGCCGTATATGATTTTGAACGGTTTTATCGTAGTTATGTGTACGTAAATAGCTAGCAAAATGTTTATTTTCTACCCATTTGTTAGGCATATTTTGTTAGATTTATATGTGAAATTATCAAATTTACAAGTGAAACAGGAAAATGATGGCCACGCGCGCACCACGTACGATCGGTTCCAAAAAAAGGACCTATATCTCCTCTAGAACGAGACAGGTTTAGTTTCAGTTCCCATCTCATTACAAAAGTAATAGAAGTTTGAAAACCACAATCTATGTCCTCATGTCGTCCATCAAGCCTCGACATTCTTAATGTAAGTTGTAATGATACATACATTAGCACACTACAACAGAATTATTTTTGTTCATTCATGGTTCACACAAATTCTTAATCCACTATATGAAAGCTCGGGGATGGACAGTTTGAGAATTTGGTCTGGTCTTAGAATTAGTCTTTTATTTTTGTTCTTCGTTTAGTCTTCGAGTATTATGAAACAAAATATTTGTTATTGTTTCTTTCTATTGTGGTTATTGTTTCATGTTCTTTATTTTGTTCCTTTTCTTTTTAGAATTTGAATGATTTATTGTCTCATTACAATTCTTAGATTGGGTTTCCTAATGGGACAACAATAACAATTAGCAATACAGAGAAACTTCGAAGAAAGCTTCTAAACATTCCAACATGATGAATGGTAAGATTTTATTAATTCATTACGGTGGTAAAATTTATCATGAAATAACATACTATAAGACTAATCTTTTTTCTTCTTTTTTTATAAAATATCATCCCAAGGGAAACATAAAGGCTTAAAGGAATGATCACGATAGATGTTGAAGCTAATGGTTCGGATCTCAGTCTCAGCTTAGTTCGGAGTGAACGAAGAGTCGAGAAGTGCGAATGGGCTTGAAGCTAGAAAGCCCATGACGAGTTACAAAGGAGGCATGGGCCGTGTGACGTGTCAAGGCCCACCTAAAGAGTTCACCTGAAATATAAACAGAGGATAGAGTTAGTTAATTTGTTGTAACGTCACTGTTGACTTTCTCTTTCCTCTTGCTCGTTGTATTGCGACGCCATTAATAGAGCTCCGAGAGCTTATCGCGTGAACTCTGTAACTCAAGAGATCTAGTGGATTTCCAGGGAAAGGCCTGAAGAGAGATGTACCTGGTGGTAGAGTGGGGAACTCTATAACTCGTCGTGTGCTCCTCTCTCGTCGGGAAACCCGATCAAACGAGTGAGTGAGCGTTAGATTCACCAAAGTGAATTAGGCGAGTGAGTATCGGCTACAAGTGGTATCAGAGCGCATGTTCTAGCGCAAAGAGAAGATACTCAAGGCGATTCAAGAGAAAGCGGAGAAAGGATCGGGACTTACACGGCAGAGCAGATCGGAAAAGTTTCACGGACCGGAGGTGAAACTTGATCACCGGAACAAGACGGATCGGGACGATCTTCGATCGTAAAAAGGATCCAGGGAGTCTCTTGTTCCTTAAATCTCATCCTTGAATTTGCGTCCCAAAATTCCCAAATTGAATTCGTTCATAAGATCTGCGTTGTTGATATTCGTACTTGTTCACTGCAATCGGATTTTTTTTTGTTTACCTGCAGGAGACAAAAGGATATAGATCAGTGAGTCAGATATGGATCCAACACCGGGAAGGTTCGAGATGGATAAATTTGATGGAAAGGGAGATTTTGGGATGTGGAAGTACAAGCTACTAGGACAGCTTGAGATTCAGGGACTGTCAGAGGTTCTACAGGATGGAGCTACGCTGTACAGGAAATCAGAGAAACAGGAGGAAGGATCTGAGCCAGTTCTAGATCCGATCAAAGTTGCAAGAAACGTGAGGGTAAAGAATCTACTTGGGTCATGCTTAAGTGATGTAATCTTGCGAAAGATCATGCATGAAGAAACGGCGCTGGGTATGTGGAAAGCATTGGAAAATGACTACCAGACTAAGTCGCTACCGAATAGAATCTACCTCAAACAGATGTTCGCTAGCTACAAGACTATTGAGGAAAATTTGGATTCATTCCTAAAACTCATAGCGGATCTAGCTAGTCTAAACATCAAGATCTCCGACGAAGATCAAGCAATTCAGGTCTTATCGGGCTTACCTCCACCATACGAGCCTCTGGTTCACACGCTCAAGTACGGCATGGGCAAAGACACCATCACTCTAAAGGAAGTTACGACCTCGGCCTATGCAAAGGAGGTGGAGTTGAGGCAGAAAGGTCTTCTCGGAAAGTCCAAAGCTGCATCAGAAGGTCTGTATGTTGAAAACAGAGGAAGATCAGAAAAGAGAAATGACTACAAAGGTGGGAACAACAGGAGAAGCAAGAGCAAAGGAAACGACAAGCATAGGTCGAAATCTAAGTCTAAGTTTAGACCTAAGGCTTGCTGGATTTGCGGAGATGAAAACCACTGGAAAAAGGATTGCCCCAAGAAGAAGGGAAACAATCAGAACAAGCCACCAAGCACTGCAAACATAGCTACCGTCCTACCTATCACCACGGCTTTAACTGTTAGCTTGTATGATCCAAAGGAGAAATGGGTTTTGGACTCAGGGTGTACGTTTCACATAACCCCGAGAAAAGACCTACTTTCAGACTTCGAGGATTTGGACGAAGGAAATGTTCTAATGGGAAATAACACAGTGTGTGAAGTGAAGGGTAGAGGGACTATAACTATAGACAATCCTGATGGTTCTGTGGTTATACTAAGTAATGTGAGATACATTCCAGAAATGGGAAGAAATCTTATCTCATATGGTCAGCTGGAGCAGTCAGGTTGCAAGTACAGTGGTGGAGACTTCAAGGTTGAGTTCTACAAAGGGGATAAGAAAGTGTTAGTCGGAAAGTATGAGCAAGGTTTGTACTATCTACAAGGTCAGATCAGAGTACCTGAGGTTAATGCGGCAAAGGCAGTTGTAGATATGACAAAGAGATGGCATTCCAGATTAGCTCACATGAGTCTGTCATCAATGGAGATTCTGGTCAGGAAAGGTCTTCTCAAGTCAGAAGAGGTGAAGCAGCTTGAGTTTTGCGAAGCCTGCACAATGGGAAAGTCTCATAAGCAAAGTTTCAAGAAGGCAAAACACACTACAAATGAGATCCTTGGTTATGTCCATTCAGATCTTTGGGGATCACCTAATGTTACTCCAAGTCTATCAGGTGCAAGATACTTCCTAACTATGATAGATAACTATTCGAGGAAAGTATGGATCTACTTTCAGAAGACCAAAGATGAGGCTTACCAGAATTTTGCGGATTGGAAGGTGTTGGTTGAGAATCAAACGGGGAAGAAGCTGAAATGTTTGAGAACAGATAACGGGTTAGAGTTCTGCAACCAACAATACGACAAGTTATGCAGAGAATCAGGAGTAAAAAGACACAAAACTTGCCTGTACACGCCTCAGCAAAATGGAGTCTCAGAACGGATGAATAGGACGATAATGGATAAGGTCAAAAGTATGTTACAAGAAACGGGATTGGAAGGTGAATTCTGGGCAGAAGCGGCTTCAACGGCAGTTTACATAATCAACAGGTCACCGTCTTCTGCGATTGAGTTTGAGGTTCCTGAATATCTGTGGACAGGGATCAAACCGGGCTACAGTCATCTACGAAGGTTTGGGTGCGTAGCCTACGTTCACACAGTTTCAGATAAGATCAGTCCTAGAGATACAAAAGGTATACTTCTGGGATATGCGCAAGGTACAAAAGGTTACATGATTTGGCTACTGGATGATCTAAGGGTAACAGTCAGTAAAGATGTTGTGTTCAATGAGGATCAGGTCTACAAGCAGAGGGACTCAGAGACTACACAGACAGTTCAGGCTACAGGTAAGCAAGGTAAAAGGAAGGTTGTTACCTTCAGTGATGATCTGGTTGAGTATCAGTCAGAGGAATCAGAACAGTCAGAGCAGTCAGGGCAGTCTACATCAGTTCCGTCTTCAGTTCAAGGTGGAGCTGCTCAGAACACAGAAACAAAATCAGAGTCAGAGTCGTCAAGTTCGTCAGATGATGAAACCGAAGAAAAAAATGAGGTTACTCAGGATTTGAGTGAATACCTTCTTGCTAGGGATCGAGATAGAAGACAGACGAAGAAACCGTCGAAGTATGGAGAAGCAGATATAGTCGCATTTTCACTCATATGCGCTGATTCCATAAATCTTGATGAACCCAAGTCGTATGCAGAGGCTCAACGAAGTAAAGACAAGAAGTTATGGAACGCAGCTGAGGATGAAGAGATGGACTCGCTGATTAAGAACCTCACATGGATCCTGACAAATAAACCAACAGATCAAAAGGTTATTGGGTGCAGATGGTTATATAGATTGAAACCAGGAATACCTAAGAGTGAATTGCCAAGGCACAAAGCAAGGTTGGTAGCTAAAGGATATGCTCGAAGGAATTGACTACAACGATGTGTTTGCACCAGTGGTGAAACATGTATCAATTCGGATTATGCTATCAATTGTGGTAAACCAAGACATGGAGTTAGAGCAAATGGACGTCAAAACAGCTTTCCTACACGGAGTCTTACAAGAGACAATCTACATGGAGCAGCCAGAAGGTTATGTAGTGAAAGGGCAGGAAGATAAAGTCTGTTTACTCAAGAAATCTCTCTACGGTCTAAAGCAATCATCCAGGGAATGGAATCTCAGGTTCCACAAGTTTATGATAAAGAAGAACTATCAAAGAAGCAAGTATGATCCATGCGTCTACCTAAAGGGCACAAGTTATGAGGATATGATCTACTTACTGCTGTATGTTGATGACATGCTAATAGCGTCGAAGAGTAAGTCAGACATCAAGGACCTAAAGGAGATGCTAAGTTCAGAGTTTGAAATGAAAGATTTGGGTCCAGCAAGGAGAATTCTCGGCATGGATATACTCAGAGACAAAAAGAAGGGTGTTCTAGTCCTATCTCAGGAGGCTTATCTACAGAAGGTACTAAAAACGTTCAGTATGTGGGATTGCGGAGAGGTTCAGACACCGTTGGGGTCACATATCAAACTACAAGCTCTAACTACACAGCAAGAGGATGAACAAGCTAGAGAAATGGATGAAATACCTTATGCGAGTGCTGTTGGAAGCTTGATGTATGCAATGGTTGGTTCCAGGCCGGATCTCGCGTATGCAGTTGGTATGGTAAGCAGGTACATGGGAAAACCAGGAAGAGAACATTGGTCAGCTGTTAAGTGGATAATGAGATATCTAAAAGGTGCTTCAGGTAAGTGTTTAACATTCACGAAAGAAGCAGGACTAAAGGTAACAGGCTACTGCGACTCAGACTATGCTACAGACTTAGACAAGCGGAGATCAATCACAGGGTTCGTTTTCACAGTTGGTGGAAATACAGTAAGCTGGAGATCGTGTCTACAGAAGGTTGTTGCGCTATCTACTACTGAGGCAGAGTATGTAGCGTTATCAGAAGCTAGCAGGGAAGCAGTATGGTTAAAAGGAATTTGTGAGGAGTTGGGTTTCAAACAAGGAGCAGTGGACATTTATTGCGATTTCCAAAGTGCTATCTACCTAGCGAAGAATCACATGTTTCACGAAAGGACTAAGCACATTCAGGTCAAGTACAACTACATCAGAGAGGTAATCGATGAGGGTGATGTGAAAGTCCTAAAGATCCATACTTCAGTGAACCCAGCAGATATGTTAACAAAGTCGTTACCTGGAGACAAATTCGGCGGATGCTTGCAGACGCTGAAGGTTATCGAAGCTTGAGAGAGCTTCTCAGGGGTCGTCGTCGGTGATCTGTTGACAACGGCGATTCCGGTGAGATTGGTCGCGGGAGTGACCATGCAGCAGCAACAGATGAGATTTGGCAGCTTCAGGGCCTTGTTGAGGTCAGATCGAAGGCGTTATCACCGGAGTGGTTGGTGACGGAAGTCTTAGCTTCAAAGAAGTTTGGAAGCGGAAGGGATTTAGCTGGTTGTTCTTCCGGTGTTGAGGAACGGGAACCAAGGAGGCAGCTAGGAGAGTAGCTTGCCGGTACCAGGCATGAAATCCACGGAGACGCTTTCAGGTTTTGAAGTGTCGGAGAGAGAAATCGCCGAGATCAGAACCAAGGTGGAGATTTGTTGAAGCTAATGGTTCGGATCTCAGTCTCAGCTTAGTTCGGAGTGAACGAAGAGTCGAGAAGTGGGAATGGGCTTGAAGCTAGAAAGCCCATGACGAGTTACAAAGGAGGCATGGGCCGTGTGACGTGTCAAGGCCCACCTGAAGAGTTCACCTGAAATATAAACAGAGGATAGAGTTAGTTAGTTTGTTGTAACGTCACTGTTGACTTTCTCTTTCCTCTTGCTCGTTGTACTGCGATGCCATTGATAGAGCTCCGAGAGCTTATCGCGTGAACTCTGTAACTCAAGAGATCTAGTGGATTTCCAGGGAAAGGCCTGAAGAGAGATGTACCTGGTGGTGGAGTGGGGAACTCTATAACTCGTCGTGTGCTCCTCTCTCTTCTCCTCTTCTCCTCTTATCTTCTTTCTTCTTCTTCTGCGAAACCCGATCAAACGAGTGAGTGAGCGTTAGATTCACCAAAGTGAATTAGGCGAGTGAGTATCGGCTACAATAGATACGACAAATAGGATTATCAAGGTTGCCGTTGACCTCCCAATCACATGTTCTACATTCATCATAAGTTCCAAGTGGAGTATCATCTCTTGATACTTCAAATATATTAAACTCGTGAGATTCACCTACATTCCACGTAAAATGGCAACGGAATTTCGTAGTTTTCGAAACTAACTTTAAATCTGAAACCCCAAGTACCATTCCAAGGGATATGGATCAACCCCAAATCATCATCGCTGGATCTGCAATGGACGTTTAGAGTCTGTTTCTTTGCTAAAACGTTGTGGATAACGACATGTTTTGGTGCAAAAGGCCAGAAGCCATCAATGCCATATCCCGATGTTGACCCTGCAGCATTTGAAACATCGAACGCCAATGCAAAGAGAACAAGAATATATGAGATCATTAACACTAACATGCAATGAGATTTATTGGAAAAAGCCATGGTTATGTAAACCATTTGGAGTTGGTTAGATAAACTTCAAAGTTCAAATGCATTTTGCTTCCCTATTTATAATGACTAAATTATTTAGGGATCACAATTCTATGGTCAAAGTTACATTGGCGTTTCAGCATAAATTCCATTTGCTTCCTATTTATAGATGTTAATAAGAAGAAAAATATATTTGTAATGGTAACTAATTATTTAGATAACGTTAATATATTTTCTTGGTCAAAGTAACATTAAAATACAAATATTTGTCTTTGGTAGTATTTATGTTTTTACATTTGTTACTGAACAATATCTGTTATTGCCATGTCATCAAGTCAGAAAGTTTCAAACGTACCAGAAAAAATATAGATAAAATTAGGGGTTCTTCGGAAAACACCATATTTATATTTATAAATTTGAAAAATACAGCACTTTTTTTCTTTTCAATATGTGTAAATTTTTTTGTCTATATTTGAATTAAAAACTACATCTTTGAATCGATCAAAAATAAAATACCACAAAACTAGTACACTTAAAAATACATATCTCACCTTTCAATATCATAATATACTTGAATTTTTGTTTTTGAATTTTTTTCTGTAATGCCATTGTAAAAGCCTTTTACCAGAAAGGGACATGATAGAACGTCAATAAAACTACGGGGTAAAATGTGAAAATAATGTACAAATCCGAGGGCATATTGTAAATTTCCTTCCAGTTGATGACATGTGAAGCCTCTTGGGTTTGTAATCATAATTGTGCAGCTGCTTCTAAAGCGAGTCCGTCACGAGCCTAGTCGTCCTCACCGACTATATAAACTTTCCGATTTCGTTCTCACCGGAAAATTCCCCGGGAATTTAAGGTATATCCCCTCTATAATTGAATCTTCTGGTTATACCTTTTTGGGAACCTCTTTCACTCTCTCTGTGATATGGAGTCGATTCGGCTCCATATGATTAGGGTTTGAAGGAGAGTGATTTGTGGTGTTTTTTTTTCCGGCTCTTCCTTAGATCTTCCCGTAAGTGAGAATTTTGTTACAGTTGTTTTTCCTAGGGTTTCGTCCTCAAATGTCGGAAGGTTCTCGTCGGAGTAGGGTCACTATCACTCTAGGTCGTAGCGGCCAGGTACGTTTCCTCTTCATCCCAAAGCTCGTATCTGCCTAATTTGCTGTAGAAAAAGCAACGTGTTAAGCTCCCACTCATGTAATGTGTGAGAGAACAAGCTTGTAGATGATTTGATTTGGTGATTTCGTGATGGTATCTGGTTTATGCTAGTGATTTTGGAATCTGGAGATGATTTTTGTAGAACTGTTATGTGTTGGTGTTATGAGCTGAGTCTAAAAGTTGGTCTTTTGTGATATATCTCTTTTGCAGGTGGTAAATCGAGATGGAAGTGATGAATTTGAGTTGCCTAGAGCTGGGACCAAGCGGTCTGTCAAAGAGAGATTAGGAAATCAGTCAGATAGTTCTTTTCACGGGAGTGATGTGGTCAGTAAAAGGTGTTTCCACTTTCCCTCTTCTTTGATGTGATGTTTTGACTGTTGTCATGAAATTTAAGCTCTTTTTTGGTTCATTGGGTTGGGAATAAGGAGTATTGAGGATCTCTGGATTGATTGATAGTTTGGATGTTATGTTTAAGTTTCGTTTATGTGTTGCAATCACTATAATACAGAGTTTTTTGCTCTTCTGTGTATATATTGGATTTAAGGAGCTTCTTAATTTGTGATGTTTTGATTATTGTCATGAAATCTTATCTCTTTTATGGTTCATTGGGTTTGGGAATAATGAGTATTGAAGATCTCTGGATGGATTAATGGTTTTGAATTCGTTTATGTGTTGCTGCAAGGGAGTTTCTAAAATACAGAGTCTTTGGCTCTTCTTTGTTTGTTGCAGGCAAAGAGGGGAAGCGAGTTTCAGTGGAAATGGTATAAGATATGTGAATTACTGGATACGAACTAGCATCTATGCTGGTTTTTGCTGACCCAACCACTCTTTGTTACTAAAGATTTGCAGATCAGTGAAAACGATCTCCGGTTCAAACTGATGCGGAGAAACGCTCAGAAACGAGCTCAGAGCGAGGAATGCAGCACTATGGATCTTCGTGCAAAGCTCTCCAGCAGGAGTGAACAGCATCCTCCTCGCAGCCTTGATACTCGGCCGAGGGATGTCCCGTTACCTCCGTCAAGAACTGCACATGGTTCCTCTCAGAGGCTTTCATCGAGCAATTCTCATTCCGCGTGGGCCCTGGATGACATACGGCAGAGGTCTCCTCCAGAGAGATACGTGAGCTCTTCCAGGGGCGTATCTCCATCAAGAAACGGTGGAAGTAGCATTCGCATGTCAAGGGATCTATCGCCGCCGTCAAGAAACGCTGGAAGTAGGATTCGCATGTCGAGGGATCAATCACCGCCAAGAAGTAGCATTCGCATGTCAAGGGATCAATCACCGCCGAGAAATGCTGGAAGTAGCATTCGCATGTCAAGAGCTCAATCACCGCCAAGAAGGATAATCAGCGATCCGAGGGACCTTTCACCACCAAGACACGCTGGAAGGATGATTAGAAGTCCGAGGGCTCAATCACCACCACCAAGAAGTGCTGGAACTGGAAGGGTAAGTGGCAATCCAAGGGATCTATCACCTCCTAGAGACGCAAGAAGCTTCGGTGGTGGTGGTTCTAGAGCTCTGTCCCCAGCTAGAAATGTGGGAAGCAGCTACATAGGCTCTTCTCGTGGCTTCTCCCCTCCTAGGAATCCCGGTGGCAGCTACATCGGTTCTTCTCGAGGGTTTTCTCCTCCTAGGAATCCTGGTAGCAGCTACATTGGTTCTTCTAGAGGTTCTCCTCCTCCATCTAGCATTGATGATTTTCATGGACGAAGTAGGATTCTTGATGATGTGACTCATGCGAGAGGCTCATCGTATGTAGTTGGAGCTCCAGCAAATGGCACTACTTTCCCAAGGCCAATGTTACCTCCACCTGTCCCGAATCCTCATCCGTTGCCTCCGTTGAGTCAGCTTCCTGCGCTTGGAACTATGATGCAGAACCGTCCCTTCCCTGTAAGAACTTTTTTATCTTCCTCTCAATATGTGATTGTAGAAGAACCAGGATGAAACCTTTTTGGCCCTGCTCTATGTTATAATATGTCATGTATATACATATATGCTTTGTGCTACAACAGGTGGGAGAGCCTCTAACAGTTGATAGCTTTCTTGAATCAATAGGACTGGGAAAATACACGCTTGCCTTTAAGAGAGAGGAAGTAAGTGCTTTTGCCATTCTTCTTCTTTTTTAATCAAATCATAGAGCTTTGCGACTAGTTTTATGTGTTCTTCTCATGTTGGCATTGTAGGAGATACAATCACAGATAGGTTGTTTCAAAATTATTATTGAATCCGCTGAAATATGATTAACTTGTCGTCTGAGTTGTGTTTTCTTTCTTCATTGACTGATATGACAACAGGTGGATATGACTACGATCAAGCAAATGAAAGAAAGTGACCTTAAAGATCTCATCATACCAATGGTACTTATCCAATTTTGATGCTTTAAGGGAATTTTGATATGTTATTTTTAGCAGGTTTTGTTTTGAACTCGGTACAATTTCCATTGATGCAATGCAGGGTCCAAGGAAGAAGATACTTCAGGCTATAGCCTGCCTTCCAAATCGGTAGCAATGATGGTTACTTGCTGCTTCTCACTCTTTTTTTTTTGTTTTTTGGTCTTTGTTGGTGCGGATTGGTCCAAAAAATACTTTTAGATGGAAAACCGAAAACTCTTATCTCCGTATAATTGTAAGCAGAAGTTTGTTTTGTAATTACTCTCTGCTGTCCAATTTCCGTTTTTTTTTTTTTACTGTACTGTTGAGCGAAGCAGCCTGTTATGGAATTCTTTTTGGTATGAGATGTTTTGTCTTTATATATAACAAACTAACAGTCCTGCTATTTTCACCGTCATTAACAAAGTAACAATTCTTTACCTCAATCCCAACACCAATAAGTTTCATACCTGCTATTTTCACCGTCATTAACAAAGTAACAATTCTTTACCTCAATCCCAACACCAATAAGTTTCATACTGTAATTTACAATCTAAATAAAAGAACAAGCATATAGCAACGTTTTTGAGAACTTGTTGATAATTGAGAATTTGATAGTGATAGTTACGTCTTTGTATTATTCCCCTTCATATTAACATAATTGAGAACTTGTTGCCGTTACTTTTTCTTATCTTATCTTGACATTTAAATTATCGAAGTACAAAGAAACAAAGTTAGTCATTAAGGAACAAAACCTCTATTTTAGTTTCTTTGGTGAAACGGAAATCAAGCAAAAACGAAACCTATTAAGGCCGATTTTGAACTTAAGACTCCAACCAGAAAAAATATTAGACTAGAAAACACATTGCTGCGTGGTTTTCAATTAAGGAACAAGACCTCTATTTATAATGCAACTTCTCCTCCCAATTACTCACAGTCTTCCGATGTGGGATGTGGGATTTTTACATGAAAGACCCAAAATGCGCTAGTAATGATTTAAGTTAAAACATGTGTTACATGGAAACTACGTCCGAGGTATGTTTCCAAAACTCGTTTTCCTACGTTTCCTAAAATTTACAATTTGGAAATTCGTTGAAAACGCACGTTTCCAGCACTTGTGTTTCCGAAATTGACAAAAAAATTATCTTTTGTTTTTTGAAAATGTAATCATTAAATAATTACATAAGAAAATGCTTTTTTGTCTTTGTTGGTATCATTTCCGCAACCTTTAAAATCCCAGAGAGAAACCTACGGATGCTATGTCTCTTTAATGAAACACTTGCTTCATCAAAGTCTTCACCAAAGCCGAGAGATACATCCAGCTTGACAATAGAGTCCAAGTTCTTTATCACATAACTCTTTGTTATGCTGTCATGGATCTTCAAAAACCGTAGCAGATGAGCATCAATCTCAACTTCAAACTTATCATCACCTTTACCTAGTTTCAAGCTGAGCCTCTTCACTGACAAAGACTGCACACGACTCCACATGAAAGACTTTAGGATAATACCAATGCACGACAATCTCCAGCTCTTCCAAGACAGGACAGGACGAGACAAGATTCCCGAAAATCCCAACACAATAAGTTTCATAGTGCCATTTATATTCTAAATAAAAGAACAAGCACATAGCAACGTCTTTGAAACTCGAGTTCAACACCATCAAATTTTCATAGTATTAGGATTCCTATTATTTTTGTAATCCTTAATAGTTAACATAATTGAGAACTCGTTGCCGAACTTTTTTTTATCTTGACCTTTAAATTATCGAAGTACAAAGAAAGAAAAGTCAGCCATTTTGATATTGAACATTAATTATGATATTTTTTTGCGTTAAACTAATTAATATATATATATATATACACATTTCCAAACTTCAATTTTTCAAAATTCATGTTTCATGTTCTTATGTCTTAGCGAAGTGCGGACAATGAATTGGTTGTAGTCAGTTTCAGAGACTCGTATACCGCATCCGCATCCGCATCCTTTTATCCTCTGTGGCAAAGTAGGATAAGTTTGTGACTGTGCTTTATGTTCAAATTCGTTCCTGCGCCAACAAGTCCATACATCGTTGAAAATCTCAAATTTGATATCATCCGTGTAGTCCAAGTCAAGACCATTAATGACGCTTTTTGGAGGGGACCCTAATTGGAACATAATCAGATGAGTCTTATATGAGTGTTTGGTGATGCTTCCTTTTGCAATTTCTTAGTTTCAAATACTTGAGATTGGTGGCCGTTGAAAGATCTATTACTTTTCTCAGGTTTTCACATCTGCACAAAAGGTTGAACTTTTAAATAAGGTATCGATTAATGTTTTAGATGCTGTTTTCTTTTCAGAAGAAAAAATGAGATAATGTTTTAAGAAAATATTAAAACTGTTTTTCAGTTTTTTTTTTTAATGTAAAATGCAAACGCAAAGGCATATCAGCCAACAGTGTAAGCCAAATGCTAGCACTAAAGAACTACATATATTTTTATATTGACATCTGAAATAGTGTGCACGAACGGATTACAACGAGCTAAAAAAGCAAAACAAAAAAACAGCAACCGATTTAAAGAAAGCAAAGAGAATTAGAGAGAAGGAAGAAGTGATCATCAAATAGAGGAAAGTGAGAGAATCAGTTTTTTTTTTTTTTTTTTTGTACATTCTTAAATTCGGGTAGAACCGATCTATTCGATCTTCTTCTGATCAGGTCTCTTAGAAGTGTACATACTTCAACGAGTTCCTTCTCAACTTGTTCTTTGCTTGATGTCCGTTTCACCAAAGAAGCTGCAAATGCTAGCTGAATTTAATTTATTCGCTTCAAGAGTTTAAGGGTCATAAGAAAAAGCATATGACAACGAGTTCCTTCAAACCGTACTAACGATTACAAAAATATTGAGAACCTGAATACTGTGAAAACTAATGGTGTTTGCCTTGCAACCATCAACAGTGCGACGACTTAACTTTTTTGATGGAAGGAAACGATGCAATGAACTGAACACTTTATAGTTTGGGTGAAAGAGAATATGAACGAAGTGGTTACTAAGAATACTTTTGTGTTTAAAGCCCAAGCTTATTTCAGGCCCATAAATTTCCACGATGTGTTTTAGATCAGTAGTAGCGTCGTTTTAGTCTTTCGTTTCAAAGTCCCACATCGGAAGAATCCGACTAATTGGCAGCAGAAGTTTCATTATAAATAAAGGTCTCGTTCTGTCGTTTAAAACCACGCAGCCATGTGGTGAGCACAAAGCGAACTATTCTTTCGCCTTTTACTAAAGAATACCGTGTGCTCTCCACGCTAAGTGGCATACGCCTATTTTTGGAGGGTCCCACTTTCGAGTGGGCCCAACAGTTTCAGTTAAAATATTTTAATCCTGGTTCGAGTTTAATTTCTAAACCGTCTCAGTTAATTTCAATTTTTTTGTAGACTTACTCGCAATTAATTTGATTCATTAAAAATTCGATGGACATCTTGGAACATTTAAAATTTGCCAATCAGACAGCCTAAGACATTTGGTTTCGTGAATTAGGAAATGTAAATTATGTATTAAATCTAATGTTTGATCCTGTTAAGCAACGTGATAAATTTACAGAAGTTAAAATTTCAACCTCTAGTAACTGTTACCGAAACTTTTCTTACATCATTACATATCTTTTCAAAATCGGTGTAACTTCTTCGGGAATTACATCAAAGTCTATAAATGGGCTTTTACTGGGCTTAGTTTATAAATGGGCTTTTCGCATTTATCTAATTTGAGACTTTCACAATTCCTCTTTTCTTTTCGACTGTTTAGGGCATCTTCCCCAGATGAAGCAAAAACTCCATTTCGTTGCCTACGACTGATAGATTCATCGCTGCTTCACATTCCGGTGCTCTGTTCTTGTAATCAATCAAAATCGGAGAGCTTCGATTGCTAAAAATGAGCTTAATTCTCAGATTCCGTCAACAATTATCAATTCGGTTATCTCAAACCTCCAAACTCTCACTCGCTTCTCGAATCGGCGATTGCCGGAGCTACGGACAACCGGCGAGAAAACAAGACGACGATGACGACGAAGAAGAAGAAATCGATCCGAGAAAGCTCCCAACCGATTACGATCCCGCGACTTTCGATCCAACAGAGCACCGTAGTCCACCAACGGAGCGAGTCTTCAAGCTCGTCGACGAGATCTCGTCTCTCACGTTATCGGAAATCTCCGAGCTCGGCGCGATTATCATGAAGAAGAAAGGAATGACGGAGCTACCAACCGTCGCCGTCATGAAACCCGGAGCTGGGATCGTCGCCGGCGGAGGGATCGGTCAGGGACAAACCGGTGGTGCGAGTGAGGAAGCTAAACCGGAGAAGACCGTGTTTGAGATCAAATTGGAATCTTTTGAAGCCGCTGCGAAGATTAAGATTATTAAGGAGGTGAGGAGTTTTACGGATTTGGGTCTTAAGGAAGCTAAAGAATTGGTGGAGAAGACTCCTTCGATTTTGAAAGCTGGATTGTCGAAAGAAGAAGGTGAGAAGATTGTTGAGAAGTTGAGGGCACTTGGTGCTAAAGTTGTTTTGGAATGAAAAATCAAATCAAATCAAGGTCTGTGTTTTAACTTTGGATTCTTCGATTTACTTATGAGCTTGAGATACTGGAAATTGGAGATGGTTAAGATTATACATAAAAGCTTTGTTTCTCAATGCTATAATTTGGGTTCTGAGAGATGAAAAAAAAACATGAATCTTTGTTAGTTTCGAAAATGTATCGCAAAAGTAGTTTATTTCTTGGCAAGATATTCGAAAGTTTGGGAATTGTGGACTTTTTGTTTTAGTGTTGTTTCATGGTTCTGATCTTTGACTCATAAGTCTGAATCAAAGCATATTTCGTTGGCTCCTCTTTTGACTAGTTTTGGTTGATATTATCAGGTTCTTGAATCTGAAATCTTTAGGGAAATTAAGTAAATCAAATACCAGATTACGCTAATTGAACAGAACCTGCTTGCAGAGCCACCTTTCACATTCACATAGATTGTCCTGTAACCTTTATAATACTGAAAAAGCATACAAATTTAGTTACAAAACTGATTTTAAAAGACAGAACCAATGTTTTTGAAGACAGAAGAAACTGCAAAAGAAATAACATGATTGGATAAAAATTCAGACCAATCTTCCGTTCTCAATTCTCAATGCTGCTCCTGCGACAGACGCGACCGGATTTACATTTGAGGAAACCACTAAACATGTTTTCTTCTGCCACAGTATCAAGATGCACAAAGAAACAAAACTTCACTCAGTAACGCAGGCTTAGGCTTAAGGATACTTAAAAAAATCACAAAATAACATAGTCGCTTTTGTGATTCTCCATTGGTTGAAATTTTCTCTCTACATGTTTCATCTACTGTGTTGTAGTATACATAATACACAAATGATCTAATAAAAGTCACTTCAAACTTCAAAGCCTTTTCTACTGTTAAAACCTTGTCCAAATCATACTAGAAGGTACGTTTTCCGCTTTTTGCTTTGTGGAAAGGAAATGTTTATCCAAATGATTAAGAGACAAGTTTCCATTTTTTATATATTGAGGATTTGCTTTGTGAGAAGAAACTGTATACCCAAATATTTATAAGGAAACAAGTTTTCCATTTTTTTGTTAAGAGGGTTAGCTTTGTGGAAAAGAAATTGAATTTTTTTTGTTAAGAGGATTTGCTTCGTGGAAATTATTAAAGAATTAATATTCAACTTTTTTTGTTAAGAGGATTTTCTTATTGGAAAAAAAGAATAATTTCCTAATATTATTAGGAGACAAATTTTCATTTTGTGTACAGTATATATAAAATTACAAATAATAAGAAATCCTAAACTCGTAACACACAACAAACACGCAGCACAACAACAACAAAAAAAAATCTAAGAATGAGCAAATCAGAGGTAGAGATACCGATCAAAAGACAGAAGACGAACACCAAGGAGAGAAATATGTATCTTCCGGAGGAAATAGTGGTAAACATAATCGCAAAATTACCTATTCAAAGTATCGGTAGGGTTTAGGTCAGTGTGTAGAGAATGGAAATCGCTAACGAAATCTGCGTTCTTCCGAGATCTTTACCACAGCAACTCCAACTCAGCCTCTTGTAATTGGTCTATTCTTCACAGAAACTATGAATCGATACATTCTAGTTTGGAGGAAGTGAAACTCGATTTACCATCATCGCATAGTAATAACAACCCTTCTTTTCCGTTTGTTTTTACTCCAAAGAATAATAAGATCAAAGAGATTAGGGTTGTGGCTTGCACTGATGGATTGGTTTTGCTGCGTCTCTGTGAAGAGGACATGGAAATACGTTACTACGTTGGGAATCCCGTGCTACCACAATGGATCCTACTCCCTCCTCCTCCTCTTCCCACAGAGACAGAGGAATCCCCATTCGTTTATACTTTCAGTGATTCGGGACTTGTGACACGAAAGCACAACAATGGAGCCATCTTAGGTTACAAGGTGGTTAGAAAAAATAGCCGAGCACGACCATGGAGTTTTGAGATATTTTCATCGGATACGGGTAAATGGAGTGTTACACAAGTCACCTGTCCCGGACCTCATGGTGGCTTTCTGCTCAACACATCCAATCCCGTTTCTTTTAATGGGAAACTCCACTGGCTTGATTTATCCCGCCGTGTTATTGTCCATGATTTCTTCTCACACGATAAACAAGCTCGAGCCATAAGCCTACCCGACAACTTGAAATGTTTACCAGCATTTACCATTAAAAACACTCCATGCGGCAAGATGATCTGCACCACCTCGCAAGGATATTTTGTGCTCATCGATGTTGGGTTTATAAAAGAGGTCAATAGCTACAATGTTAGGGTCTGGAGGCTCAAGAGTGATTCTTGGAGCTGGGATCATGCATTGGAAATCAACATGGCTTCTGTAGGACTTGGCCCTAGCTGTGTTCCAATGGCAATCGATATCGAAGTCATCTACCTATGGGACTTGCAAAGCAAATGTTTCGTCGCTTGTAATCTCCGGACACTTGCAAAATCTTATGGAGCTCGTAAAGTTGGTACTCCAGTCAACTCTAACCCTTTTGAAACTCGTGAAACCGTCTACAAGGAAGATGATTTCCGCTCAGAGCACCTTTCGTTCCTTTCGCATTTTGTTCCGTCCTTGCAAGTCCTACCTACTACCCTTAGGAAGCCCAAGATGATATATATATAATTGATGTACGCAGACGTCTTTTTAGTGTGTTAATTAATGGCTTTTATCTTGACTCAAAGTTGTTTTATCTTGTAATCTAATAACATACTTTAATGTTAAGATAAACTTGCAGCGTTTGCATGTTGCTAATTTCGGAGTTTACAAATCTTATTTAAAAGATAAAACCAATATTTCGGAATACAGAAACTGCATACAACTTTCTTCAACTTGTAACAAAATAACATGATTGGATAATTAAAAAAACTCATACCAATCCTCCGTTCTCACTTTCTGCTGCTAAGCACATGGAACAAGAAAGCCATATAATCCAAAGAAAAGAAAAGGTTGATGAAGTTTGAGAGAATAGCTGAGAAAGCCCCTATTGACCATCATAGTCGCTTTTTGTGATTCTCCATTGGTTGAACTTTTTCTCTGTACATGTGTTAATTTACTTTGGATCTTCGATTTACTTATGAGCAATACTGTTAAATTGTTATTTCAAATGAGAAGCAAAAAACAAAAACTGATCGTGTTATGTAGTACTGAGGTCGCTTCAAAACCTCTTCTATTACCCAAATGGACCAAATCAAGAGGACAAGTTTTCCGTTTTTTGTTTTGCTTTTATTTTTTTGAGGATTTGCGTTGTGAAAAAGGAATTGTATATATATACAAAAAAAAAAAATATAAGGAGACAAGTTTTCCAATTATTTTTTTTAAGAGGATTTGGTTTGTGGAAAAGAAAAAAAATATATCCAAATTTTATTACAAGACAAGTTTTCGTTTTATGATAAGAAACCCTACACGAAACACAACAAACACGCAGCACAACAACCAGTCAACCACACAAAAATCTAAGAAGGAGCAAATATTCAGAGGTAGAGATACCGATCAAAAGACAGAAGACGAACACGAAGGAGAGAAATATGTATGTTCCAAAAGAAATAGTGGTAAACATATTCGCAAGACTACCGCTACAAAGCATCGGTAGGTTTAGGTCAGTGTGTAGAGAATGGAAATCGCTTACGGAATCTGCATTCTTCCGCGAGGTCTACCATAGCAACTCCAATCCAACCTCTTGTAATTGGTCCATCCTTCGCAGAGATAACGAATCGATGCTTTGTAGTTTGGAGCAAGTGAAACTCGATTTACCATCATCGCATAGTAATAACAACCCTTGTTTTCCGTTTGTTTTTACTCCAAAGAACAATAAGATCAAAGAGATTAGGGTTGTGGCTTGAACTGATGGGTTGGTTTTGCTGCGTCTCTGTGAAGAGGACATGATGATACGTTACTACCTTGGGAATCCTGTGCTACCACAATGGATCCAACTTCCTCTTCCTCCTTCTCCTCCCAGAGAGGAACATTCGCCATTCCGTGATGGTTTCTGTGACTCGGGACTTGTGACACGAATGCACAGTAATGGTGCATCTTAGGTTACAAGGTGGTTCGGCTACATAGCAAAGCACTGAGCGTTTATAGTTCTTCTCGAAAATGGAGTTTTGAGATATTTTCATCGGATACAGGTAGATGGAGTGTTACGCACGTCTCTTGTCCTGGTCTTGGTGTTTCTTTGCCCAGCACATCCATCCCCATTTCTTTGAATGGGAAACTCCACTGGCTTGGTTACCACGGCCGTATCATTGTCCATGATTTCTTCTCTCACAAGGCTCAAGTTCTAGCCATAAGCCTACCCGCCAACTTGCACCGGGCTCGAGGCTTTTGCAAATCTAAGATGATCAGCACCACCTCGCAAGGTTACTATGTGATCATTGATGCAGAACTGATCAACAGATATAACGTTAGGGTTTGGAGGCTAAAGAGAGATTCTCGGAGCTGGGAAAAAGCGTGGGAAGTCAACTTGGCTCGTGTAGGGCTTGGCTGTAGCTGTGTTCCAATGGCAATCAACTTTTTTGATATCCACGACATCTACTTATGGGACTTGGAACACAAACGTTTCGTCGCTTGTAATCTCCGGACACTTGCAAAATCTTATGGAGCTCGTAAAGTTGGTACACAAATCGACTCTAGTTTTGAAAACGCTTTTGAAACCGTTTACAAGGAAGATACTTTCTGCTTGGAGTCACGTTCGTTGCTTTTGCAATTTGTTCCGTCCTTGCAAGTCCTACCTACAATTTTGGTGGGACACAGACCGTGAGACTCAGTCTTCTATGTTTAGTTTGAGTTCGGTCGGTCTAAAAACCACATACAACAATAATTAGAAATTTTTTGATTTTCTAAACTAGAAATGAAATTTACGCGCGTTGTTTTTATTCACGACGAATTGCAGAACAAGAAGAGAAGCAAGAGGCAAAAGAAAACAGATCCTAATGTAACGTTTTGAAATCTTGAAATCTCCTTACAACAAAATTTTGAACAGATAATTATCAACTCTTAGAGTCACTTTTTGTTTTTTTTGATCATTCAATCATTTGAGGTTGAAGCAGCTTTTGCTGCATACTTGACTAAAACACCGGTCAAGAGAGCCTTCTCCTTCACCTTTAACCTGTAAAATCGTAATCACAAGAAACCAAATCAGTCAAGTAACAAAAACTGGTAACTCTGTTTTTACCAAAAAATCAAGATCACTGCATATATATATATTTTTTTTACCTCTTTGAAGAACCTGGTATTTCTATCTTCCCTTGCCCTTTCACAATCACCTTCTTCTTCTTCTTCTTTTTCTCCTTCTTCTTCTCTCCGGCTTTAACGCCGGTTTTTGCTTCTCCACTCACGAGTTTCTCTCTACCGAGAAGCTTAATCTCCAGCTGGCGAATTCTCTCAATCCGTTGTTCATCTGAAGAAGATATCAAACTCTTCAGAGGTTCAAGATTCTCTTCATCAACCTCTTCTTCTACATTAGACCTATCAAGTTCATCATCATCATCCAGGAGTGTTTCTGCTACAGCTTCCTCTGATTTCTTCGCCTGGAATGAAACTAAAGGTGTCTCTAATCTCTCCTGTTCTCTAATCTCTCGCTTCACAACTTGTTTCCGAGACTCTAAGCCGGTTTCCGAATCACTTCTCAGTTCTATGCTACTAGAGATACCATTTCCTTCATCTTCTTCCACATCCGTTTCATCGTCTGAATCATCTGATTCGTCCCCTGAATCCAAGAAAGCATCTTCCACAACAACATCAGGCTTAGAAAGTGCTTCTAAACCAAGAAACGGAAGCTCCTCAAAGACTGTATCCGAGCATAATTTCTCCTCAGCCACTGATTCGTTTAAAGAGAAATCCACAACTTGACATTTGATCTGCTTCACAACTTTCCCAAATGACAATCTCTGTCCATTGAACTCCTCAACAAACCTAATAAAAAAACCCAAACTTTCATTGCCTTTAAATCACCAAATATTCAAAAAAAACGCTAATTCAGTGTCTCAATTCTCATTACCTGTTTGCATCAACCTCGCTTTTGAAATCAACAAGAGCAAACCCTTTGCAAACAGGATCTTTAGTCTTCTTGTTACCACTCACAGCCGGTGCTATGTTCAAGACGCCACTCACTTCTTTAAACGCAACCTTGAGATCTCTATGAACATTCTTCTTCTTAGGCAGATTCGTCACACGTACACGAAACCCAGTTTGAGTCTCTCCAGTTCCTATCAACAAATCCCAATCAGATTCACAGAAACTTGAGGTAAGTGAAAGAGAAAAAGTCTAAAGTCTAAACCTTTGATCAGATTATTGAGATTTGGCTTGAGAGGATCGTTCTTGAGCTTGTTGAGATTCGCGGCTTGAGCTTTCCAGCTTTGCTCAATTTCGTCGAGCAACTTGTCTTCAATCGAAGTTTCGTACTTTTTACCAACGCCAAACCCTCGAGGCTTCTTCTCCAGCCATTTCTTCATCTTCTCCATCGGCAAAAACTCTCCTTCGTCTTCTTCGTCTTCTCCGTCTCCTTCAGCTTCTAAATCAAATTCATCCCAATCCTCATCTTCCTCCTCCTCTTCATCATCGTCGTTGAGATTGCTTTCCGACTCAATCAACCCAGAACCGCCGCTTCTGCGTTTGTTTACAGCGAATGAACAAAACCCATCGTTTCTATTGACGACGACTGCTCGAAATCTCTGAGGAATTGAGATATACGTAGAGGTTGTAAAACAGGGAGAAATGAGAAACGAAGAAGGAGAAGAAGAAGAATAAGCAAACGAGCACGATGACTGAAAACGGAAGAGAGAATGAGAATGGAGCAAAACGGAATTGCAGAGCGAAGAAGCTCCGTTCATGGTTTGTGTCACTGTGTTTCCTTCGTTATCCTCTTCGTCTTCGCCGGGGAAGAAGAAACTGAGAAATCGCAAACAAAAGTCTTCAAGAAATACTAAATGGGCCTATTTTGGCCTTAATTAAAGCCCATTAAGGTGGACATTTATTCCATTAGGCCCATAACGTTGATGTATAGTTTCGGTCGGTATTCGAGTTGCTTTATCATATTTCTGTCGTAACTCGATGTAACACCATAAATGCTGCTTGCTTGCATTTAGCAAGCCTGGCCAATAATTTTACATGGAATCAAATATAATGGAATTTATTGAAATATATATGAATGTGTGACTTGTGAGACAACATCTTTCAAAGGCCCCAGGTTTCATGAACTTCATAAATAATTATTACTATATGATATATCATGTGTGTGTGTGTGTGTGTGTTTTTTTTGTCACCTTTTTACATAACTAATTTTGATTTGATTAGCTATCCGTGACAAAATCGAAGGACCCAGCTAGAATCATGAGAATTTCTCAGGGCGAGTAAAAAATATTAAGGAGAAGAAAAGCTGAAAATAAAATCAAAAGTAATAAAAAGGAAAAGAAGAAATAAAAACAGTGCAGAAAATACAAAAATGCTAGGCTGTGTGTAGACCCATTGGAGGGATGGGGATTAAGCTTTGTATATATTTACGTGTCCATTTTGTAAATGGACCAGTTCTTGATTTGAAGTCATGAGATCTCTCTCAAATGGGACCATTCCCTCATACATGTTGGTCCATTTCACATGTGTCTGGTTCTGTATATACGTATCTCCTATAAAATTACGGTTTTATATGTGTACATTACATAAAACCACTTTCATATTACCCAACTAATTTTAGGGTATATGGCTTAGATTTTTGGGGTTAAATGTATTAGGATTTGTTGTTAAATAAGACATATATCATATATATCTCCAACCAATAATCAGTGTATTACTTTTGTAGTGTGAGAAAAGTAAGACATTTTAAGCGAAAAAGAGATACAATATAAATGAAAAATAAATAAATGCAACATATCAGAATATTCAGAACTATATTATTATATAGTCAAACATGCACAAGACTTTTTCATTTAAGATCGCCCAATATATATCATTGTTAGATAGTCTTCTTCATAAATATTAATGTTAGGTTGAGTTGGAGCAGCTGTTTGAGTTGGCCTAGGCACTGCTGAGTTCAAAAGCCAGTCAATAGTCAATATAACTTTGTATATTTCTTCTGGTAGCTATTTATATCATCTTTTTGTTTGATTTTCTATTTCAAGTCATCTTTAGGCAGTTCAGTAATACTTTTGACGATAGAAATGTGTTTATATAATGTCACTTACATTATACTATATAGATAGAAAGTATGAAACCACGATAGATATCTACAACTAACTAAGAAAAACTATTATATCATTAAAGCAAAAATCTGTCAAGCCGCCATAGTAATTAATTGATTACATAAAAGATAATAGAGCTCTATAAGATAGACCAAACTAAAAAAACAGCTTAGTGGGTAGTTAGATAAGCAGCAACTTAGGCACTAAAACATTAGTAAAACATCTAATACGTGAAGGCTTTTAGTTTACATAATACATTACATTACATCAGCATGTATGTGTGTCGTGTCACTCGTGTGCCGTGTGCGTACATGTTAACATGTATGTATCCCCAGGTTATCGATACTAATCCATTTTGTAGTAGGTTGAGAAACGTTAAGATCTATCCGGTTATAATCATTGATGAGTATCAGTTTATAAATTAGGACATGAATGGTGCCACGTTTTCACTCGTCTCTCACATTTATAGCGTACGTAATTTCACATGTTTTCATGTACGTTTTGGGTCTACATACAAACATACGTTACACATGGTAAAATATAATAAGTTATTTTTACCAAAAAAGATATATAATAAGTTATAACTAGAGTGTTTGAACTTTGAAGTAATATCCTATGAAATCTTTTTGAGTTATATATAATGTTTTCTTTCTTCTTCTATGCATGTCCCACTATATATGCATGTACCATTTATTTTTCGTACCAGTTAACCTATTTTATCTTACTTCTTTTATAGTTTTTCGTTTTGGTATAACTAAACGAGGAAGTGATAATGTGATACATACATACATATGCATGAACCGTTAAACTTGTATTTCCTTAAGTTCGAGAGCAAATAACATACTAATCATATAAGCTATATGAGGTCTATGAATCATTATTTTTACAATATTTAACAAACAGAACAACAACTATTAGTGTCGTGTCAACATCATTCACAGAAAATTGTTGACATGTAATTGAATTTGATCGGAGCCTCTATGCCACTAACGAGAGAGATAAAGAGGTTATTTAAACAAAAGAAGAAGAAACAGAAGATAGAGAATAACGAAATAAGTATATGTATAGCAAGGGGACAGAAATCGTGGTATAGACTATAGTGTATAGCGAGTCATAATCGGCCTACGCCGACCAAAGTCCAAAAAGATGAAAAAGGGTCCCTTTGCACATTTCCTACAGTTTTGCAAATCTCGATGGCAACTTGTACCAGATTGCTAACGTCTTTCAAAATTAGTTAAGTTAGCTTATTCATATTACCAAAATATATTCTTTTCAATCATATATTCTAACCAGAGCTGATCCTAGTGTTTTAGAAGTTGGAGGCGACTCACAAACCCATTTTAGTTTTAAATGACATTTTAATAAACTTTTTAACTAATAAGACAAATTAGTTTGAATAAAATTTTGATATTATTAGATTAATAACATCATAACTAGTAACAGTACACTTTACGAAATTAGTATCAGAATCACAGCTAAATATTAATCTCAAAATATTACTCAGAAAAAAACATATAATCATGTGCCGTAAACCAGTGTTTGTTTTCTATAAATGTGGGCACTGTCCTGACAACAATTAACATTTCATATAATTAATGGGGTATTAATGTGGCTCCATATTATGGATATATATAGTGAAACACTAAGCCATGAAATATGGTCCTATTTAGAAGAGAGGTATATAACAGTAGAAAACCATAATGATTAGTACAATCAAAACTTAATATGTTATCGCATCAGGTACAATTAATTTTAAAACTTAACTTTAAGAAAAAAACAAAACGAATAGCTCAACGAAATATGAATTAGCTACACACGAAAATATTAAACTAAAAACAAGTTTTATTTTCTTTCTAAAAAAATGTATTTAGTTACTATATCTACAGAGTTTGTGAAAATATCACTATACATCACTTACTTTACAAATATTTAAGGTTAATTCATGTTGTTAAATAGGAGTCTTGAACTCGAATAGGAAACAACCCCAATGTCTAGTACAAAATAAAAATTTAGACGTCATGAATGATCATTTCATTGTAATTTATTGCTAGCTTCAGTTATCTGAGTTCACTGATTTTTCAATGTTCTATTATTCATTTTCGTGATCTCCTTCTAAAGGGATTTCTGAAGAAATGGTACGCAAAATTAGTTCAATGTACGTAGCAACATGTATACCTGAAATTATTTGGCCTAACTATTCCTTAAATTTGTAGTCACACCAATCGGCTTATGTTTATCATTGTATATAACATCAAATAAATACATTATTGTGGTTACATATGTAAGAGATATAGACAGATATGTATCAATAAGATCCGAGTTGACCACTCTACAGGAGAAAAAAACATTTCTGAACGAGTATCAATTTTTTGTTTTGGTACTATTTACGAGTATCAATTAATGTGACGACAATAGTATACGATCATGTGTATTGCAGAACATGATTAAGATACAACATGTATGCATGTACAATATAATTGAATCTGAAATAACCATTCAACAACGATTGTTGACTATAAGACAATAGCTCCCACGAATCGTATTTATTTTTCTATAAGAAAATAGGACATTAACCAAAATGACGAGCCCTACCACGAGAATGTAATGTCAGTCTGATAAACTGTTGTAGGTTGGGAGGTGCATAATTTCACTCCTTTCGATTTTCAATGTTTTGGCTTCATTAATCATTAATGTTAATATATAAATAAACACTACATTTAATAAAATAATGTAAATCTGAATGTCAGCCGTATGTTTTAAATTTTGTCTACCTAAACAGAGAAACGAATTAAGTAGAAGTGTAAGCCTTTTTTTGTGTGCAAAACGGCAAAACCAATAAGACACAACGAATTAATATTCCGCCAAAGATATTTAAAATATCGCCCACAAAATTATTTATTTATTAAAATGTACCCCTTTGTTTCTTGGGAACCCTTGTTTCTTCCATGGTCCAGTTTTCATTGTTAAGACTTAAAACTCAAATTGTAATTTTCTCGAAGCTGTTCCCTTTATCTCCGTTGGTGGTAGCTTTTCCCATCCATTTTTGCTTTAGATTTAGAAAACTAAACTTTTTATTTCACAGTTTTCTAAATCATTTGTACAATACTCAAAACCTTAATCCATGCAATAGCATTTCTTTAGTTATAGCCATATTATATAAATATAAACTAAAAGTGTAGATCGTAATAATAGTTAGTTCATATATTTTAATTCTACTCGATAAAAACAAGTTTATATTTATAAATGTTATACAAAATTACATAGAAAATAAGTAAATATATATTTATACAACATTTCCCTCTAAAACATCTAATCATTTTCAAGAAACAGAGATTATAAAATATGTGAAGAATGTATATAGAACTGCAACTATCATTTTTATCTACTACATATGAAGTATTTTGGAGTTGAACTATAATCATTGCGATGTATTAAGATCTTATCCTAATGACACAATTGAACTAAAGTCTAATGTTATATCGAAAGAGCGATCGATACAAATGAAAGATTTTGTAGGTACACGTGTAGGAAAGTAACTACGGGGATAATTACAACCGGGCCAATGATTTAACACTTTTATGGCATAATTAAAACATGAAGGGACCAAATATGAAATATCGATACAAAAAGGAATGTGAAGAAAATCTCTATTATGC